TCGTTCGTTCGTTCATTCATTACCTCCATCCTTTAACCTGACTTCAACCTTGCTGGTGTTTGCTTCCTTAGCAGCACCGGCTGAGAAGATAGTAGCTGTGTTTAATCCTCCCTGAGCTACTTTTGTCCTTGCTTGAAGTACTAGCGCATCGTTCATGGTTCTGGTCATGGTATATTCTCCGAGACCATTGAACGTATAGTTTTTGCCATCCAAGGTGTTTATGTGCGGGTCGCCAAAAAAGAAAACTGTCGCAAAAAGACAGTGCATCATCAGTGTGAACAGTAAAAACGTCCAAGTGGAGTTAAATCAAGGGGCGAATTTGACTTATAATACAGGTTTTGACGATTCGTCTTTCCTCGTTATAATATCTGTCACTTATTTGTTAGTGTTTTTTTTCAGCCAGTCTATCGCTGATGTTTTCTTCAATAAGTCAGTTGTTTTGGGTCGGCGACTGCTCGCTGTTATTAATCCGTAGAATATGGATTACGTATTCAGCAGAGTCCTAGATGCGCTGATGACTTAAGGATAACGATAACGACATCTATGGCGAGAACATACAACTATAAAGATAGCAATAACCAAATTCATATATAATGACAATAATAAGCACGGAAAGAAAATGATTTTTATATAACAATGATAACCAATAGATCTCAGTAGAGCGGTAATCGAAACCACACGATCATATCAATTCTGAATCGAAGTGACTACACATTAGCCTGGATAGTAAGCGCTTCCGCACGAGTGCGTCGAGAAAGTTGGGACGAGGGCAAAAAAGAGAAGAGAAGAACAAAGGACACTTTTGTCTGATTGGCTGTTTGATTTTGTTGTGTTCAGTCTCCTCACCGCGCGCAATGAGTAAACAAAGAAGGCTGCCAAAGCGAAAGTCTTCCTTCGGTCGTTCGGTCAAGATGGCGTGTTAAGGTTTACAAAGTGTGATGTCCTTCTCTTAGCCCATAGTACTTATGGGGGCGTTGACAAGATTTTTAATATGCGTATATTGCTGAGTGCGTTGCAAAAAGAACTCATCTAAAGCGAAGAACATCGGTTGGGATGGGAAATTTTTAATTTACAAAATGCTACAATAAAGAGTGTTTTGGGAGGAGGAAACGTTTTTTTCCACTTCACTCAAACGTCCTGCTCACCCGGAGAAAACGGAGAAAGGTAAGCTTATTGTTTATGTGGTATGTGTTATCACTCAAACTGTGTACAACGTCTTGACCTTTAAATGTTTAGATGTTGTTGAGTTTTATATAATCTTAGGCTTAGTTTTTCTATTTCTTGCCAGGTTGTGAATTTCTGACTTTATTGCCTCTGAATAGGCTTAGCTACGTAATTCCGGAAATATGGCCTAAAATTCTTAGAAATGTCTAAAATTCTCCAAAAACTCTCTAAAATTCTCCAAAACTTTCGTTTTTTGATGGCGATATAACAAAAAGGAATGAGTTGTAATCGTAAAACATCGTTTGTTACCAATGTTTAAAGGTTCCAAGAAACATCACTATACATTTGTTTATATCTGTATTTATCTTCCTTAACAAACGAATGTCCCATAGTGCTCTAGAAACTGCTGTAGCATGTGAGCGGACTGAGCCCTCTCCTGGTCGGTAGGAATACAAAAAACGTTTTTTCAACGTTTTTGCCCGTGAGATGTTGTCAAAATGTCGGGTGAATGTTCAAATTGCTCTAAAATTCTCCAGTTTGTCAATTTTTTTCTAAAATTCCCGATATTTTTAAAAATTCTTTTTTTATGTCTAGAATTCTCCCCAAAATTCCGGAATTATGTAGCTAAGCCTACCTCTGAATGACGAAGTGATGCATGTAGCGACTCACAGACTTCCTTATTTTTTCATTTTTTGGCAAAACATTCCTCACCACGATCCCTTCTATTAAAATAAGTTACCTGTTTACTACAAAACTAGAGAATAATTGGAGTCTCTAAACGTCTGGGTGCTTTCCTAACGGATGTGGTTCACTGTAATTAATGCTAAAGGCGGGACCCACCATATACATGTACTTGACTCAATCACTTTTTTGCTGGTTATTTAATACAAGTAAATGCAGTCCATAGTATTGCTGAGACTATCTGCCGCTCAAAATTGCTTGTTCTGTGAAAAGTACGAAAACGCTCGAAAACCCGAGAAACCTGGGAATAATTCGCACCTGCGCAGACAAAAGTCACCTTTGCTGGAAAGAAGGGAGAGGGATTTCCTGTCTACCCTTCCCCTTCGTCCAGTTTTTGCTTTCGCTCCAACTTTCGCGCAATAACTCGATCGGGAAAGCTTGCTACACAGGCTATTCGTACAGGAAAACTTACGCCTTGGAATTGGAAAGTAATCATCACAGAAATCCAGGGGACGCACTTCGTAGTACAGGTCACAGTTGTTAGATTCATCACAGCACAAACGTTCCGCAGTTTCGTCATCCAGTAACTCGTCAGGTCGATCAACAAAAGATAAGGTCAGGAAGCTGTTAAACTCGTTTAGGAACGGGAAAGAGTAACAGCATTTTTGTCTGGCAAAAGCAAATACGGGGTCTCCACCAATGTCAGTGTTAATAAAAATTGTTGTCACCGAAGTAAAGCACCAGTCGCCCTTGGAAATTCCAAAAAATGAAAATCTGGTATCAAAAAAGGCCTGCCAAAACGAACACGGGCAACTGGTGAGAGATCCCACTGCGTTTTGGAGCTGACTTTGCATGTTACTTGTTTGGTAGTCATGCCAGATAAAGCACTGTGCGGTTGCATCATCTCCTTGTCTGTCTTCGATTCTGAAGAAATATTCCCCTCTCCTATCGGTGTTACCAAGGTGATCATCGAGTTCTTTCACTTCGGGTGTCCCTGAGCTACAGTAAAGAAAACTCACTGTAAGGTAAGGTAAGGTGATGTTACACGGGAGGATTCGCAACCACGATTTTTAGCGCAACACAGCGTTGCAATGTTGGAACAATGTTGTAACTATTCGAAACAATGTCGCAACAATGTTGCAACGCTGTGTTGCGCTAAAAGTCGTCGTTGCGAATTGTCTCGTGTAGCATCACTTTTACAACATTGCGAGCTGAAATGTAATGTTGCGCGTTTTAGCACCCACGGATCAACAGTGTCTTGCAACGAATGATCGCCAAAAATTGTTGCAGAAAGTAGTACTTTTTGCCGAGAATAAGTGTATAACAAAAAGCATTTAAAGTTGATAAGAATTAAACTATGAACACCTTTGCTCTGTAAACGTAACTCAATTTCTCATTTCTGCGTTTCAGAATTAGTTATTGCAAGGTAAACGTAGTTGCAAATACTCTAGGTTAACTAGAAAGGATCATGTTGGTAGTCCTCGATTTCCTTTTAACAGGTTTTGGTTCTCCCGTGTTTTTGTCACCGTGGATTTGTACTACTACAAATCGTGTCATCTGGGGTCCAATAAGACCCTAACACTATTTATGCTTACCTGCTATATAGATAAGAGGCATGGCAAAGAAACGCATAGAGGTCGTTAAAAAACTAATTTATGAATTGTTACTCGCAATAGAGCAGTTTCACATGATGTTACAACCATGATGGTGTACCAAGACAATCCTGTCGGGGTTGAGGTCTGTTCTTTTGAAAACGTTTTTTTGTTGTTGTTCCAATGTTCGCCACGCAAGTGAAACGCTCTATATCCCTGACCACGTGTATCAGAGAGAGATCGGAGCGTGTTTGATTCGTTTACGCCCGTCCACATGAAAACACTAAAACGAGAGAAATACGATAGCATCCCTTACAGCGCGTGCGTAATACTAGTAGTATATGATGCATGACATGGAAAACCGCCTGTTTCGTCCGTCCACACATAGATGAGAAGCCGGTGTTTTTAAATCTCCTTCCTGGGGGCCCGTTTTGAGAAACCTGCGTTTCTGGTGCCCGAAAACGCCGTTTACGTGTAAATGGAAGGCTAAAAGGAGAACAAAAAATCCGTTTCCAAAATTATACAGATTCCAAGATATCCATACGTGTGCACGGGGCAAAACGGATGTGTTGATAGGCCATTTCCGGGTACCCCGGGCCTTTGTTTCAAAACGAGGTTAAGTGCTCAGCCTTTGATATGCAAATGATTTTTCATTCTCATGCAAATAAAACTCATTTTCACAAGAAAGGTTGTGCACTTGGCCTCATTTTGAAAGTGAGGGTTTTGGAACTCGGAAGTGGCCCATTGTTACGTGATAAGACCTCACCTATCGAGACTAGGATACTTTAAATCTGGCTCGGCGAAGTCGAAATCTCCAGCGTTGAAGCCTGCTACAGGATAGCCGTCATACAAGTCTGGGAAGAATTCACTATATTTGAATACAAAGGTTAAAAAGTTAATATAACAATCTTCCTATGCTTTGATGGGTCCTTATAAATGAATTCGACGATGTCCACGATAATTTATCGTGATAGTTTACCGCTGGGTGGATACCTTAACTGATTATCTGCCTTTCTATATGGGTTTATCAATTTCATCTGCCCTTAAAATGGTACCAAAAAGAGCTCGGCAAAGAAAAACAGACGGAAGTTTTTAAGACATGTCAGGAGAGCTGAGTATGTAACTAAAAACATTTCACGCCAAACTTGTGTAGGATAAACGTCCTTTTTAGAATGATGAAAGGAGCTTTCCCATGATACACACAGAAGACCTCTTAGAATCCATACAAAGGAAAGCCTTGAGGATAACTTTTGGCACGACAGAGTACGCTGATGCTATGGCCATAGCCAGCCTAGACACAGTTAAAGGCAGGGGAGTTGCTGACTTTTAGAGGTTCATCATAAATGCGCGGCAACATCCTCATCCCCTCATAAAAGTTATCCCCTCCCCCACGTACCACGAGTGAGAATATCCTCTTCGTCACCGCAATCCGAGACCCGCACATGGTTGGACTAATGAACTAAATGATTTTGGTACTGTCAAATGTCTATATGCAATTGTGTATGCTTTTTTGCTGGCCTACCCAGCAATTCAGTCAATGCTACATATAGAGGATATTACATGGCCGCGCGGGATGCGAATTTTATCTTCGAGTGCTGAAAGTTTTATCTTCGAGATACTTTCAGCACGAGAAGATAAAAGTCGTATCCCTAAGCGGCCATGTAATGTTTTGTTTATTTCATAGATACTGATGAAATTCCTACATAAAACACAACTTCTTTTTCGGCAAATCTTCCTGAATGTTCTTCAAGCTCGGAAAAAGTATCGATGTGAAAATTTGGCAGTTCATTGAGCAAGTCACCAGTGACTGTACCGTCTTCACACCTCGAAGCCATTTTGTGAATGAAGTTTCAAAAGAACCGGCCACACGCCTGAGCGGGAAGCTCTCTTGTAATTGGCTAATCATATTAGTAACCATGGCGACACCAATATCCTCACACGTGAAAGATAAAAATAGTATCTTCACTGCGCGCGATGAAGATATGATTTTTTAGCGAAAGGAAAAATCCTGGTATTTCATCAGTATCTATATAATAATAGGGTAAAATAAACAAGCATCTTTCTATCTAGAAGTATGCACATTGTCTTTCTCACCAGGTGAAAAATTTTGCTGTGACGCATAAGTATGGCGCCTTGCATTTAAACGTAACGCAATTCGCAGTGGCGTGGCTAACGCTGTAGTGCTTCCACTTACAAAATCGGCGGCGCAGACCAAGTGATAGCCCCGCAAGGGTAGTGGTACTTGACGAACGAATACGTTCCATTAGTGATGATGACAGCCTGGAATGTGTTTGTCTAAAAGAAATAAAAGTGTAAAAACATTGCTGAGTGCAAAATAATTTACTCGACGATAATATAATCGGATTATTAGACGTTTCTGTGTAACTGCCCACCTACCCCTCCCCAAAGCCAACATTTTGCCCAAAGAAAGAACTAAGTGTTAAAGTTGGTTAGGGGAGGAGTAGGTGAGTAGTTTCCCAGAAACGTATATTGATCCATATAATCAACTACTGAAAATTGGTTCCGTGGTCAATACAGTAGAAATACAAACAAACAAACAGACAAAGACATGCAAGATCGGGAAAGTTTTCAAGAACAGGCGAGAGAGAGAGAATGGCGTGTTACCCAGGGGTGGTCAGTCGGATCGGAAAAAAAAACAAGAAACGGTGGCGAAAGTTTTCAAGAACAGGCGAGACATAGAGAATGGGTTGTTACCCAGGGGTGGCCAGTCGGATCGGCAAAAATAGGAACGGTGGCGACGGTTTTATACTTGTCCATTATTTTTATCCCGCGGGACCTCTTGACTTATTGACTGATCCCTATGTTGACAGAGCGAACTACACTACGCAGATTTTGCGAAGAACATGTGGTGAGAATATGAAACTACACATACCTCATACTTTAGAAATAGAACGCAATTAATTCTGTTCCAAAAAAGCAGATGAGTAGAGACCAATTCTCGCAATATACACCCCTGTGTACAGATTCTCGTAAATGATCACCTCCCTTAAGCGACCACTAACTCTTTACATTTTTGTTGGACGTTTACGGTAGGTTCGGCTGTACTTATATTTCTCGTTCATTCTACAGCAGGACATGCCTTTCTTTGCCAGTAAACCACCCAAATCATTCTATGACCCTTAAATATCACTTACAAGTTCCTCTTCAATTCCATCTCCAAAGAATTCCTCTGGTCGAAGACGAAGCCACGTGACCACAAGCACCCACGAGGCCGAGAAACCTTGAAATGCCTCCGACGGGCGCGTGTGATTTCTGACTTCTTCACTAGCATTACCGAGGATATAGGCCGCCATCTGAGTTTGAGAATCCTTAGTGTAGTTTTGGTAGTACACTACGGAACGATTGACATAATGTATGCTGCTGCAGTCTTCTGGATCGGCACAAAAAGATTCAAAATAATCGACTCTTGACCAATATGGGGTCAACATGGGAACATGGAAGGGGAAGTTGACTACATCGTAAGTTGGAATAGGGCGTTCCATTTCAATTTCTGCGTCGAAACGTATCATTCCATTAGCACAAATCTAGAAGGCAAGACAAAGTTATCCGGTTAGGGAGTTAGGTTTCAACTGAGACGAAAGTTCTCCAACCACCCTTACCAAACAACGAAAAAGCACAACTTGATCTGAGTACTTACAAAAAGCCCAAAATGCTGATTTCCGAAGAAGTAAAAGCCTAAACCAGGGTTAATAGGCAGTGGTATACAGTATCTTGCTTGCACGTCTGTCACTAACATTTCACGATCTCCTTGTTCTTCTCCATAAGGGTACATTATATCCCAAAAGCATTGAACTGCACAAAACAGGAAAAAAAACACAACTGAACAACCGAGAATTTTGTCATTTAGAAAAGACATCCAAAAATAAATAGAAAGAGACCGCTGCGAGGTTTTTTAGGGAGGGATCCCACACTACTGAAAAATATACGTTCATGAAAAGACTATTTCTTGACTGCAGAACTTTGGGATGAAATTAGGCTCTGGAAGGTAGAGGTAAGCGGAAAGCTAGGGAGCATAATGTCAATATATGGCACGTTTTGTTATATGGCTGAAATTCCCGGGGGGTAAACCTTAACACGAGTCAGTACGCCCTTTTAAAAATAGCAATAATGATAATAATGAATAATGTTGTTGCTGTTGTTGATGATGATGATGATGATGATAGTAATGGTGACGATGATGGTAATTTTTTGCAACAAATTTGAAAAAAAAAACAACAACAACCGTTATTTCATCTCTTGAGCTGAAATGTTAAAAATCTTAGCTGTTAAAAAATACATAACACCTAACAAGCCAGATTTGCCCGCACGTCGACTGAAAATCGCGACTGATGACCCAATGAAAATGAACTAATTGAAAGTCTATAAACAAGGCAACTTTACTGTCACAGTTGGTGTGGCCTATTTTACCTGGTTCTCCACAGTCCTGTCCTTCGTAATTTTTCGGAATCGGACATACACAGAAGAATGTGTAGTTATTTGCAGCGTCGACGTAGCATGTTCCATTGTTCTTACATGGGTTATGCAGACAAGGATCGTCTAATTATGGACAGTGAGAAACAAACGAAAAAACAAATATTAGTCCGCTTTCCTTTGTATAAAGAGCGCCATAAAAAAGTGAAAATAATTTCTGCATGGTATAATTTCTGTATGTATAATTTTTGTATGCCCAACGTACTACAGATAGAGTAGTACAACGGTCACTGGAAACAGAGTCCGGCTGAACACTGTTAAGTGTATAGAAATGCGAATATCCTTTACGAAATCCCATTAAGAATTTGATCCCTTTCTCATTAACGGCGATACTTTAGAAGTTGTAGACAGTGTATAGTTATTGGGTCTCAATATTTCTAGTGAAATAAGAAGGCCTCTGAGAGATTATATTTTTTGGTACAATTTAAGAGAGCTAAGGTTACTCGCACTGATTTAGGGCTCTGCTATTCTAGTTGTATTAGATCAATTATGGACTATGCAGTACCGGCCTTTCACTTCAGTTTGCCTAAATATTTAATGCAAGCATTGGAACGTATACAGAAGAGAGCAATGTCCATCATCTGCTCCGGTGTTAGCTATCATGAGGCTCTTGTTATTATGAACTTTAAGGAATTAGCAACCCATCATGACGAAATAAGTGAGTCACTTTTTCACACAATCACCGCCTCTATAAGTTAATAACCTGCACTGCACGAATCTACTTATTCATTAAGCTGCGTACTACCTTTTAACACGCCACGTTTTAAAACCGACCGTTTTAAGAATAGCTTTGTTATCCTTTGATGTCTTAAAGCAACTAACTTGAAGGTTAGAGTTTTCGAATTTCGCAGCTTGTATTTCCAATCGATAACTTTTCTTAGCATCTCATCTCTTGTTAGCTTTTTTATTCCTTTTAATTAAGATAGATTAGTTAATGTTTAGATCTATAATTTAATTTTTGTAAGGTAAATAGGCAATTCAGGTTTCGAACTGCTATGTATTTATGAATTAATAAACTTCAAACAACAGCATCAGAGCACCTATCGACATTTAGCGCCTATAAAAGGCGGGAACTTTGACGCCAAATTCACACACAACTGTGGCTTTTGATTGAACGGATCCTTTTTCTCACACGTGAAAAAAGATCGTTCGCAATTCTGATTGGACGTATCATTTTTCTTTTCACGTGTGAGAAACCTCGTTCGCTCCTCTGATTGGCTAAAACTCATTTGCGTAGGAAAATTTACGAAATGGCTTTTCAGTGAGTATATCTCAGTATGGATATAATAAATATGGCGGTGTCCGACTCCGCATAGTCTGAAATGTCAGACTAGCCCCTGTATCCTCGGGGGTAATAGAAGAAAGGAGAAAGAGTTGAAATTTTACCGTAATTACAGACATCGCCGACAAATCCAACTGGGCATGTGCAAGTAAAGCTATCTACTCCATCAAGACACGTCGCCCCGTTATGACAAGGACCACTTGCACAGTCATCTATATCTGTAATACAAAACAATTGATAGATCATTTTTGTTTCCCATACTGAGTAAAGTAACAATAAGTGGTTTGCAATAACTCGTTCCTCAAATCAGATGTCTTGAATCTAGTGTCTTGTTTTCTGTCGCTACATATCATTTTTTATCACTAACAACGTGCCTTTTTTTGTTTAAGGGACTGTGTCACGGCTGGCTACTTCATTTTGTTAAGTAATGCAAATTACACGCCCTTATCCGCTATGAAGATTGAGAAATTACTTGTGAATTACTTGTGAATGACAATATATCTTCCGGGAATTACTTCAAACGTTATCCAGATTAAAAACATTTCTTTTTAGTTGATTAACCGTTTGTAAATATAACTTGTTTTTTGCTGCTTTTTTTCTGTTTTGTACGTTTTCTTTTGCTTGCTTTTTACCATAATTATATTTCAGTATCATTTTGCCGCTTATTTATTCATTATATTTAGTCTTAGGTTAGGAAGAAAGCTCATATAATAAGCTCCAAGGTTTTTATTTGAGCCTCCTAGCCAGAAAAATACTTTTAATTCTTTCACTTACAATTTACGTCTCTTTAATCTTTAAATAACATTTTTGTAATATATTGAATGTCTGTGTGCATATGTATTTCTTTTTTCTGGCAAAAAAATAAACTGAGACTGAAACTGTTACAAAAAACAAAAATAACTGACTTTGAAAAACTGTTGTAAACAAGTTTTCCACCACAAAAGCAATCCGTTTCAATTTTCTTCAAGTTTGTCTCACTTATAGGAGCTGTGTCACGAATTTCAGCCAAAGTAGGTAATTACAAAATGCCCGTTAAATTAAGAGAAACGTGAAAATAACCGCCTAAAACATTAAAGGAAGGTTAAAATAACACAACAGATACAACAGATGCCACGGATGGGCAAAACTGAAGAAGATTGAAAAGGATTGAAATTAGGGTTTTGGAAAACTGTTCAGCCTAACAGTTTTTCAAAGTTGATCTCTGCTGTTTGCAACTTCAAAAATAACGCTCAGGAGACATTTGTTTGTGTCGATTCTCTGCTTGTGTCATTTACAAGTAATTTCTTTGCTTACTTTAAGTTCCATAGCGATTGAGGGCGAGTAACTTGCAAAATTAAACAAAATGAACTGGACTGCCGTGACACAGCCCCTTTAATTTTGTAGTAGTAGTTCACATTGTTTGCATTTTGGTAAATGCCATGACACGGCTTCTTTAACAACCATCATCAAAGCAACTTATTTTGCATACAAATCCTACCAACTGGGGTTAAAACAGACCCCATAACAAAAGTAGCTTTAAAGCTATACAGTAGTTTATAACCTTTAGAAAATAAATGTTCATTAAACTTCTATTTGTGAATGCAAATATGAACATAGCTCCTTGAAATCAAAGGAAAACGTTTACGTGCAAAGTAGACAAACATGCTTAGGTTACTGTCAATGTCGTTGCTATTGTTTTGCTGCTGGGGTCGATTTGGGCCTCAACAGGAAAATGAGCCCCACGTTTGTATATCCACATGTAATATAAAAGTAATATTTGCATTCAAGGTGGCTTATACATGAGGACAAATTCCTTAAATTTCGAACACACTGTCCAAGCATGTGAGCTATGGCAAATGTTGATTACCAGCAGGGGTATCATTAGACCCGCTTAGTAGGACGAGGGTTAAATCCTACCTCTCTTGAGTGGTAGTGGTGTAACGATTAATCGAATTCTCGACTAATCGCAATTATGACCGTTCGGTTTGATTCACGATACTTCGCTTCTACATACATACATAAATATTTTATTTAAGGTATCATAAGAAATAAACGACACAAATAATACCCTAAAAACGAAGTTTAAGAGGTTAACCCTATGTAAATAAACTTCCAAAAATAAAAACTAAAAATATATGCTTATGAATAAAATCTAAGATAGATAAAAACCTAAGAAATACGCATGTACGATTTAACAGCTATTTTAAAACGTCTTAAATTTCCTATCTCAACAACATTGGCGGGCCGGTCATTCCATTCACGAATAATTTTAACAAAGAAAGAGTATTTATAACAATTACAGTTGGCCGATTTAACTTGCAGTTTGTAGTTGTGATTGGACCTGGTACGTTTTGAAGCAAACTCAAACAGATCGCAAAAACAAAGGCTATTCAATCCGAAAACGAGTTTATAGCATTCAATCAAAGAAAAATAATAGCCTTCTATCAGTCAACTGCGACCACCGTAACATTTCGTAGCGATCTTCGTATGACATCTCTCCCCTTCGCTGACCTAACGCCAACCGAGAAGCTCTTCTCTGAACTTTCTCTAAGAGAACAATATTCTTAACTAGGTAAGGGCAGCATACAGGGGAAGCGTACTGGAGGATTGTTCTCACAAGAGCCTTGTACAATGTGGAAAAGATTTCCTTGTTTACAGAACCGATTGTTCGCTTCATTAGACAAAGAACTTTATTGGCCTTATTGACAACCTCAACAACGTGTAAATTCCACGAGAGGTCATGCGAGATTGTGATGCCAAGTTTCGATTTTGGTTCGATTTTTACACACCTTTTCCAGGGTGCCCTCAGTGAGTTATTATATTGTAAAATCAAAATCCAGAACTCTTTAAAATGTGCGTTTTTGATTGACGAGCAAAGAAGAAAGCAGTTCGTGGGCCATTTTGTGCTGAAAAATGCTGTCCTTCAACCACCCCTTGCGAATTTCCAAACAAGGCAAACCATGTGCTACACGCTCTTTGTCAGGTTCTCAAACCCTCAAACATGGCTACGAACCAAGCGACTGTGAATCCTCATGTCCCTGTTACTCAAATTGAGGGTTTAGGGTTACATGTTGTTAACATTACGCGTTATGTTATAAGAATTAAGAAACATTTACATAACAGAATCGAAATAATCGAAATCGAATCGAATCGCAAGTAATGTGAATCGTTACACCACTATTGAGTGGACGTGCACGCAAAAGTAGTATGTCATCTACCTTGTTCGCAAACTGATCCATTGTATCCAGGTAAACAGGTACATGCTGCTGTTCCATTTTCGACAAAACATGTTCCACCATTTTGACAAAAACGGATTTCGCAGGGATCTACAATAAGAAATATTACATATTCATTAGTAAGACTCCAAGTTGCTTATCATTTCTCCAGGAACTACATTACTGAAACAAAAATTTTAATGCTTCAAATTTTATTAGTTTTTTAGGGAAATGTTTAATGATATTTTCAGTATACGGGAGAATTGAAGTTTCTATGCCCCCTTACTTTCCAGCAAGTAACGTTTTTTAAATCAACTTTTGAGTTAAATCGAATTTCGTTATATTATGTGGTTGTGTGCAAAAGGTTGCATTCCTTTTAGCCAAACTTTTTTCGGATTTAGACAATTCAGATTGTTTGGATTTTCGCGCTAGCTGGAACAAAAATCTGATATAAGATTGATCCATACAGTAGCTGCCGGTTGCTCTGATCTTCCTCCCAATTTAAACACATCGTTTGTTATTCTTTCCGCTAAATTAAGTGGAGAAAGGGAAAGAAAAGTAGCTCTTTAACTAGTGGTGGTTCATAATGGGAATTGTCAACTTAAAATAATCTGAAATTTGATTCAAGAAAATTCAGAACACAATTACGAATTCTCAAGTGCTGAGAAGAGCGTTCTAAACACACAGGCATTGGACATTATAGTTTTACGATGACAAAATGCAAGCGTTTTCGCTTCCTTATGAATTTAGAGTTACTGGAGAACTTGAGTTTAATATACTACAATCCTTCAGCGGCATACAACAAAGTAAAATAACTTTTGCCCAAACTAACCTTGAACCGCTGTTTTTATAGATGAACGAGCACGATCTTGCAATCGAAAAGCTTAATTCGTTAAATGGAATAAAAATTTAAAACCAGATTGAGATACCAATCTGAACGATCCAAGTGCGGAGATGGATCGTTCAGATTGCAATCTTAGATTGGTTTAGCCCTTAATGGAACGAAAAATCAAATTTTGGATCGCAAAATCCGGATTTCCATTGGCCAAAGGAATGCAACCAAAGTTTGCTTGCAAGTTTCAAAAAGAATCATATTTAACTAAGTTGAGATGGTTAATTGCTCAGTTCAAAGCAACTACAGAATAGAGCTTTTTCACTCACGTCGCCACCAGCTATACGAATTCATTGCGACAACAGAAGAGTTCAACTCCCAGAGGATTGGTTTGGGACACAAACATGGCCGTCGTTTTATTGTTTTGGGACACCAATATGGCGGACATTACGTCATGTGAACTACTCGCCACTTTAGAAACGAGGAGAAAACTGGGCCGACTTAGCTTTGGCAAGGACTTCTGGGCTCGTTACTAAGAACGCGCCGGTCAGCTATTGGCCAATTTTTCCATGGACCCAGCAAAAGTCCTAGAGGGTCTTTCTTTGCAAAACTTAACTTAGGCCAGTGCCAAAATTAGCACAATTAACACAATTCCATACCTTGTGTAACCGATGATGGCACATACTCTGAACTCGAGCTGGTGGGCTGAATTGATTCTATTAATGCAATAAAGAGATAAACAACTAAAAAAAAACAAACGCTAATAAAATATCATGATCCTTTTCTTCTCTTTTATTACACTTCTGATCTGCATCGCTGGAAAATTGAAGCAAAGACGTTTTACTGCTTGTCTAAATTTACATTTATTCACGTTCAAAGGCTGCTGATTTTAATGAAATCTAATCATTTTATAGTAAATTGAAGGGGTTATGCCATACGCGATATTTCGCGGCGCCACCTTTAGTTTCCCCGCGAAATGACGCTTGAGGAACGAGTGCAGAAATCCATACTGGTCACATGTCAATGCACAGATCTGGGTAGTGCTTCTAATTGGTTGAAGCAAATTTTCCTTGCAGCACGACTAATCAGAAGTACTTCCCAGATTTGGGTAGTGACACGTCATCAGTCTGGAATTTCTGCGCTCGTTCTTTAGAGGTCACTTCGCGGGGAAACCAGTGGTGAAATGTCGGCTGTATTCTCAGGCTGAAGCTGATTTCAGCTTAGCTTCCACCAATAACTGTGGAACTTCGCATCACATAGCCCCTTAAAATCGCAATCCACTGAACAGTTTTTTTTTTTGACGCTGCTGTTTGTTTCGTCAAATATACTAAGGACAGAAAATATTAAAAGAATGCTCCCTTTTACCAAAATGTCCAAATTTTCGGCCCCGTTTTTTAATAGATTGTGTGGTGTAAGATTTCGTGATGCAGCCTATAGAATTCTGAAAAATATTAAACCTTATGTAAACAAAATATTACATGTACCTGAAGTTTCCGAAACACTCAAAGACGAGGAGGAGAGTGTGCTCAATCTTGCTGTACCAATGGGCGAAGTTAAAGAAGCTGACAAAGTGCTGAACGACAATGACGATGAATATATGCTTGCGGTTGAGAATGATATACTTGCCAACGATAGGATGCTGAGAGACGTTGAAGATGACGTTGCACTCACAGATGACGTACTCAGTGATGAGAAACTCATAGATAAAGCTGAAGTTGAAGTCGAATACGCGCTTATAGAAGAACTAGAAAATGCTCCAGCCACAGAGGAAGTTGAAAGTGAGGACGCGCTTGTCGACAACGGGTCACTTGAAGAAACTGAAACTGACGATGAAGATGTGCTCACAGATGAGAAACCGGGCTGTGAAGATGAGTAAGCTGTAGACTCAGTGGATAAATAACTTGGCGAAGTTGAAATTGAGGACGCGCTTGTCGACAATGAACCACTTGAGGAAATTGAAGCTGACGACGAAGATGTGCTCACAGATGAGGAACTGGACTGTGAAGATGAGAATGTTGTAGACCCAGATGATGAGGAGCTTGGCGAACTTGAAAGTGAGGACGTGCTTGTCGACGATGAGCCACTTGAGGAAACTGAAGATGACGACAAATATGTGCTCACAGATGAGGAACTGGACTGTGAAGATGAGAATGTTGTAGACCCAGATGATGAGGAGCTTGGCGAACTTGAAAGTGAGGACGTGCTTGTCGACGATGAGTCACTTGAGGAAACTGAAGATGACGACAAATATGTGCTCACAGATGAGGAACTGGACTGTGAAGATGAGAATGTTGTAGACCTAGATGATGAGGAGCTTGGCGAACTTGATGAGGATGACGAGCTTGGCGAACAAATGAAGATGACGACAAATATGTGCTCACAGATAAGGAACTGGACTGTGAAGATGAGAATGTTGTCGAACTTGAAAGTGAGGACGTGCTTGTCGACGATGAGAGGAAACTGAAGATGACGACAAATATGTGCTCACAGATGAGGAACTGGACTGTGAAGATGAGAATGTTGTAGACCCAGATGATGAGGAGCTTGGCGAACTTGAAAGTGAGGACGTGCTTGTCGACGATGAGTCACTTGAGGAAACTGAAGATGACGAAAATATGTGCTCACAGATGAGGAATGACGAGATGAGAATGTTGTGACCCAGATGATCACGAATGAAAGGAACTTGGACGATGAGTGAAGATGACGATGTGCTCACAGATAAGGAACTGGACTGTGAAGATGAGAATGTTGTAGACCTAGATGATGAGGAGCTTGGCGAACTTGAAAGTGAGGACGTGCTTGTCGACGATGAGTCACTTGAGGAAACTGAAGATGACGACAAATATGTGCTCACAGATGAGGAACTGGACTGTGACGATGAGAATGTTGTAGACACAGAGGCTAAATAACTTGGCGAAGTTGAAAGTGAGGACACGCTTGTCGACAATAACGTACTCGATGAAACCGATAACGACGTTGATGATTTGCTGACCGAAGTCGAAAAGGAATACGAGGACGAAGATGCTGAAGCTGATGATTCTGACGATGATACACTCGGTGAATGTGAAAAGGAATCCGACGTTGACAATGAAGAAGAAGTGCTTTCAGACGAAGAAGAGGAACTCGTGGAAACTGCTAGGAAGAAAAATTATATATTAGCAGCATACAATCATACAATACTACCATGCAATCGGTTTGTGGTTGGGTAAGAACCCTTAAAAGGTATATTTAAGTAATGTACGCATTACCTGAAAATATGCTTGACGAGTAAGTTGAGGATAAAGATGTGCTCATCAATGATGAACTAACAGATGAAGAAATGGAATAACTATCAGAAGAAGATGTGCTGGTAGATTCAGTAAAACTCGCAGAAGAAGAAATACTTGAGCTCAAGCTTAATGTGCTTGCTGACAAAGAAACTGTACTAGACGCTTGTGAGGTAGATGGCCTAACCGACGAAGAAATGGAATAACTGACAGAGGGAGATGTGCTGATAGATTCAGTAAAACTCGTAGAAGAAGAAATACTTGAGCTCAAGCTTAGTGTGCTTGCTGACAAAGAAGCTGTACTAGACGTTTGGAAGGTAGATGGCCTAACAGACGAAGAAATGGAATAACTGACAGAGGGAGATGTGCTGATAGATTCCGTAAAACTCACAGGGGAAGAAAAACTCAAGTTAAGTGTGCTTGCTGACAAAGAAGCCGTATTAAACGCTTGTGAAGTAGATGGGCTAACAGACGAAGAAATGGAATAACTGACAGACGGAGACGTGCTGATAGATTCAGTAAAACTCACAGAAGAAGACATACTTGAGCTTAAGCTTACTGTACTTTCTGACAACGAAGCTGTACTAAGAGTTAGTGATGTAGATGGGCTAACAGACCAAGAAATGGAATAACCGACAGAGGGAGAAATGCTGGTAGATTCAGTAAAGCTCGCAGAAAAAGAAATACTTGGGCTCAAGCTTAGTGTACTTGCTGACAAAAATTCTGTACTGGACGCTTGTGAGGTAGATAAGCTAACAGACGAAGAAATGGAATAACTGACAAAGGACGATGTGCTGGTAGATTCAGTAAAACTCACAGAAGACAAACTTGAGCTCAAGCTTAGTGTGCTTGCTGACAAAGAAGCTGTACTAGACGCTTGAGAGGTAGGTGGGCTAAAAGACGGAGATGTGATGGGATTTAAAGACCAGAAGAAGAAATGGAGCTTACTGTAACTGACAACGAAGGACTAAGAGTTAGTGATGTGATGGTAACAGACCAAGAAATTCCGACAGGAAAACTCTGGCAGATTCAGTAAAGCTCGCAGAAAAAGAAATACTTGGGCTCAAGCTTAGTGTACTTGCTGACAAAAATTCTGTACTGGACGTTTGTGAGGTAGATGGGCTAAAAGACCAAGAAATGGAGTAACTGACAGAGGACGATGTGCTGGTAGATTCAGTAAAACTCGCAGAAGAAGAAATACTTGAGCTCAAGCTTAGTGTGCTTGCTGACAAAGAAGCTGTACTAGACGCTTGAGAGGTAGGTGGGCTAAAAGACGGAGATGTGCTGATAGATTTAGTAAAACTCACAGAAGAAGACATACTTGAGCTTAAGCTTACTGTACTTTCTGACAACGAAGCTGTACTAAGAGTTAGTGATGTAGATGGGCTAACAGACCAAGAAATGGAATAACCGACAGAGGGAGAAATGCTGGTAGATTCAGTAAAGCTCGCAGAAAAAGAAATACTTGGGCTCAAGCTTAGTGTACTTGCTGACAAAAATTCTGTACTGGACGCTTGTGAGGTAGATAAGCTAACAGACGAAGAAATGGAATAACTGACAAAGGACGATGTGCTGGTAGATTCAGTAAAACTCACAGAAGACAAACTTGAGCTCAAGCTTAGTGTAGTTACTGACAAAGAAGCTACACTAGACGTTTGTGAGGTAGATGGGCTAAAAGACCAAGAAATGGAATAACTAACAGAGGACGATGTGGTGGTAGATTCAGTAAAACTCGCAGAAGAAGAAATACTTGAGCTCAAGCTTAGTGTGCTTGCTGGCAAAGAAGCTGTACTAGACGCTTGAGAGGTAGGTGGGCTAAAAGACGGAGATGTGCTGATAGATTTAGTAAAACTCACAGAAGAAGATATACTTGAGCTTAAGCTTACTGTACTTTCTGACGAAGAAGCTCTACTAAGAGTTAGTGAGGTAGATGGGCTAACAGACCAAGAAATGGAATAACTGACAGAAGGAGATATGCTGGTAGATTCAATAAAACTCGCAGAAGAAGAAATACTTGAGCTCAAGCTTAGTGTACTTGCTGACAAAGAAGCTGTGCTAGACGCTTGTGAGGTAGATGGGCTAACAGACGAAGAAATGGAATAACTGACAGAGGAAGATCTGCTGATAGATTCCACGGAACTCTTTATTGCTGCAGATGAGGATGTAGTGAAAAAATATGAACCAGAGCTTGTGCTTGACAGAGAAAACGTGCTCGCAGACGATGAAGATGTTGATGAGCCTAATTGGAGCAAATAACGATAAACTTTGAATAAGTAATAAAAGGTATGTCAAACAACGAAAGTCACTACCCTATGAACAGTTTACCTGATGTTGGATAGTAGCAAAAACAGGATGACAAACCTAAAAAAAATTAAACGAAGGATTAGAAAATAATATATTACAGTGGAACCTCATCTTTGGTACACCTCTCTTTAACGAACAACTCCACTGCGGGGACACAAAATTTGGTCCCGGAAAAATGCCTGCAAAACGCTGTTACCTCTATTGAACGGACAGCTCTATTCAAGGGAAAGGGACACTTTTTATCGATCCAGAAACTTCCATTAGCACGTAAAAAGTGACTGACCACAAAAAGCGGTGATAATAACAGGTGTATTGACTAGTCACAATGACGACAACTTTCACAACATGAACTATCTCACTTTTGGGGGGGGGGGGTTACTTTGTTTCGATTTTTGTTTTAACCTATTGCTAGGTTTTTTATATCTCACTGTCTTTTAAATCGCTGTACAACACTAGAGGGAATTCAACACACAATATCGCAGGGATAAGTTAATCATGATTTTTTATATACATTATCTGTTTGAAATAATAACTGCAGCAGATTCCGAGATAGAATATAAATAGAAAAACGTTGTATTTGTTGGTTAAGTGTTACCAAACCCCAGCCCGACCTCCATTCAGGGGACACCTCTCTGATTCAGGGGACACTTGCGTCGCTCCCGAGGGCGTACCCGGAAAAGAGGATCCACTATGACTTACTTTGAGAAGAGGTGCTGGAAACAGACTGGGAAAATGAAGACGACATTGATTGGGAAACACTAGAAGACGAATCTGTCAGGGATACACTGGGCGACGACGAGACTGTTAACGAAAGACTATATGAAGACGAGCTCGATTGAGACACACTAGGCGAGGATGAACTTGACACGGAATAACTTGTTGACACAGATGAGGAGCTTGACTGGGACACACTGGGCGACGACGAGACTGTTAACGAAAGACTATATGAAGACGAGCTCGATTGAGACACACTAGGCGAGGATGAACTTGACACGGAATAACTTGTTGACACAGATGAGGAGCTTGACTGGGATACACTGGGCGACGAAGAGACTGTTAAGGAAAGACTTTCTGACGACGAGCTCGACAAAGACATACTGGGTGAGGACGAACTTGACACGGAATAACTTGTAGTCACAGAGGAGGAGCCCGACTGGGACACACTAGAGAACGAATCTGATTGGGATGAACTTGACCAGGAAGAGCTTGTTGAAGAAATACTGGTCGAAGGCGAGGTTGACTGAGTAGCACTTGAGGATGACCAGGTGCTGGAACCTAAAAATATAAAAAAGAAGCGATTTCATAGGCTAGTGAATGATAATGGTTCAGGAAACACAATACGTGTCTGGTTTACATTAAAGACTGATGAACAGCAAGTTGGACGTCAGCACATAGTGGCGCCACTGGCTGCCACTAACGGTACATTTGTAGAGGTAGACCACAACACTAGGGAAATTTCCCTCCTTTCCCTACTGTTTTCGTACAGTATTGTGGGTTCTCTTACGTCCCCTTCCAGTACATTAGGGAGTTTAAGCAACGACGACGGCGACGGCAACGAAAACGGCAAAAAGGGAATAGAAAAACAACAACTTTGCACGTGCATCACGCTTTCTTGTACATTTCTTAGCCATCGCTGCACGACTACAATGTGAAAGTGCCTACCTTCACGTTTTGTAGAGGACGGGAACACAAGACAACAACTTTTTTTTTTTATTCCAAAACTTTGATACAGTCCTTCAGAATTCAACTCCAAAAAAATGTGCCGACATTTGACCAATTAAACGAGATGGAATAAGCACGATAAAGTTTCAGGCAGCGCGAATTCACTTTTTAAGAGACGTTTTTGTAGCCGTCGCCGTCGCCGTCGTTGTTGCTTAAGCTCCCTATTGATGAAGAAAAAATGAAAGAGAGAAGGCCAAAAGCTTCGCCTCACCGTCCAATGACGCGATCATCTGAACTCGAGACATGATCTTTTTAAATAATACCCTAAATAGTGGTCAGGCAAGGGTTTGAACCCGGGCCTCTCGTTCAAAAGATTCAACAGGTCGGTGCTATCCCAATTGTGCTAACCGGGCACACTTTTACGCCAACGAAATTTATACTTGCTCTGACTCACAGTTGCAAGGAAATTTGTAAATCGCAATCGTAATTTTCTGGGGGCGTTTCCATACAATCGACAATGGATGCTTAGTTAATCAGAAATTCAGAGGCATTTATCATTTATCAATTACTTCTCCAAAGTAACATGTAACATGTCCAGATATGATAGTGCATGCATGTGTACAATTGTACGTAATAAAGTCACTTACTTGATGACCATGGCGTCGAACAAACACAGATCAGCTCACCTGTTTGGAAGGATCAATAAATATTAACCTTAAGTTATTTTCTAGAAAAAGCTCAGAACGCAGTTTAAAGTAACTTGATTCTTATAAAACTCAAGACAGTAAAATTGGCCGCTAATTCAAACACAACTGTGAAACAAGCAAGATCTGTTCGATGGAAACGTTTAAGGCATGTTAAAAAAACGCACTTGATTAGGCGTCAATGTTTTTTTTTTTTTTTTCTACCTAAACCCTGTCTAAAAACTCTTTATTATTGTTTAGTTTATCCTTATCTTCATTATTGTATTATTGTCTGGGGATCTACGTACAAAACCAATCTTCGCCGTCGTCTCTTTGCAAAAGCGAGTTATCAGAATTATTTCTAAATCAACTTTCGATTCTCATTCAGACCCTATTTTCAAAGAATTAGAGCTACTAAAACTTTTCGATATTAGACAGCTAGTATTGGGTAAACTTATGTTTTCTCTTAACCATTCTCTTTTGCCTTCAAAGTTCAACAATTATTTTTCTTTAAACAAACAAGTCCATAGCTATGCCACTAGACACGGGAACGATTTTCACCTTCCTTCTTGTAGAACAAACCTTCGCAAATTTTCTGTCAGTTTCCAAGGACCTACTTATTATAACTCTATAGAAAATGACATTAAAGAATCTAATTCTCTCCACTTATTCAAAACGAAATTGAAAAAAAAATTATATATGAATTATTAGTTATAAATCTTGTAGTAAATAGTTATATTTCTTCACATGTCTGATATTATTTTTATACTTATTGTTACTTGTACCATACCCTATACTTTGCCAACTCAGTCTATGTAATCAGTTAATTTATACTTACCTTCATTGTATTTTACTTTCGATCCTGGCCTTACCGTTACTGTTAACTTTATTTTTACTCAGAGGGGGCCCAATGTCTATAAGCCCCATGGTTTCTTTTTGGGCTTCCTCGCCACTTTCATTTGCTTTTGTGTAACTGTCTTGTTTTATCGTTATTTGTATTTTGTGGTTAAAGTCAAAGTTAAAGCACGAAAGTACTACTTTACGTCTGTTACTAGAGACGGCGCCGCCATTTTACTTGGTCATCCTAGCTATGCAAAGATCCAGCCGTTTACATTGGAAAGGCAATACTTTTATTTATCACTTATTTAAGGCCTGAGTATTGGTCCAGCCCTGGGAATTGACCGCGCTACCTTCCACTCTGCAATCAAGGGCTCTACAGACTGAGCTAGTCTTGCCGCGGTTTGAAAATAAAATGAAGCAAAAGGACCTCCAAGATTGCCAAAGCACGGAAAGCGGCGGATAAACTACTGAAGAGTTGCCTGAAGAAAAGCAACATAATGTCGGTGGAACGTGCCAGAAAGATCACCACCCAATAGATAGATTCTCAAGCCTAATACAATGTATCTATTTCACAATAATTTTCATTCACGACAAACAAGAACTGATACTTTGAGAAGAAATGGTGGAAATTGATTGGGACATACTAGAAGACGAACTTGACCGTGAAACACTGGACGAGCCTGATGGTGAGACACTGGATAAAAACCAGGTCTGGGACACAGTTGACGTGGCAGAAATAGAGCTTGAATGTGATTTAAAGGACCATTATCATAGCCTGCGAGCAAGCTCTCCTATTTGGGCAAGCGAAGCGAGCCTCGCGAGAACGCGCGAGTGAGGGGCCGAAGAAAGGAGAGGCCTCTCCTTTCCTCTGCCCCTCGCGGCTTCGCCGCTCGCTCGCGCGTTCTCGCGAGACCCGTTTTACTCGCCCAAACAGGAGAGCTTGCTAGCAGGCTACCATTATCATGATTAGAAGCGTCAAATTTGCTCGTCATAGAAAAACTAGTAAACCTTGTAAACGTTGCAGCTACGCATACTACATGTATACGTTATCGCATAAATGTTACTGTACTAATTTATTATAGTCTTCAACGTTGGGTCCACTAGTATCCAGGTCTAGCCTTGATTGGTACGGTATTTTACAAAAAAAAAAAATTCTAAAACCAACATGTCAATGCATAGGAATTTTCAAGGGCTCGTAATAAAGCTCTTGTTGTTTTAATTCCGGAAACTCGGGTTTACCATTCTGTTCCCCCTTTAATCCGTGTGGCACGAAATTTCTGCGAGCACTTTACTCCCAATGGTTTTTCATGCTGGGGATTTATTTTCAAGATTTTCAAGAAGTCGCGTTCATTTGGAATTACATAACACTTTTTGTTCAAATGCAATCGAAAGACTACAAATACAAGCGAAAGAACATGCAAAGCTACAAAACACGTTAATTGGTTTAGCTCTATTAAAATTAAGTCTTTGTGCCTAATGCTGTGACAGATTGCCTCGGCAACTGATTAACAATGGCTACGATAAAGTAGTCCCTTGAGTTATCAGTGGCATTTTCGTTTCTACACCGGCGCTCTTTTACAGTGGAAAAACATTATTATCGAGAGTTTTTTTGCAGGAAACATTTCTTGCCTATCGTGAAAAAAATTAAAAAAAAAACCAGCATAATTGGAAGGAAAAACTTAACTTTAAAACCGAACGACAGGTTTTCTTTCTATCTATCTTTCTTTTTTTCTTTAGAAAAAGTGAATTATTTCTACAATTAATTTCTAACAAAAGGATGAAATCGAGAGACAATAAATAAAAGTGATGACCCATTAATCACATACTGGTTTACTTCTTCTCATACACTGTATTCAAACGATTTAATCACTTTTAGACACTGATTCGTATTTTGTATCAAAAAGTGGGTAACGATAATGAACATGACGTTAAACCCTAACACGGAAATTAGTCCGTGAATCCACCGTACTCAAATTACTCCTTCAAAAGGAGTGGAGCTAGTTGCATGACTCATGCCCAAAACACCAAAATTGACTGAATAAATTAAATGGCCGAGTCTCGAAACAAGGACATATATTTCCTTTTAATTTTATGAAACATATATATATATCACCTATCAACATTTCAGTTCTAGAATTTTGCAGGATGTTTGATACATTAACCTGTTCTAATGGCTTAGGCTCCCACGTATCTTCTGTAGCTTAGTGGTAAAGCATCTTGACTAGTAACAAGAAGGTCATATTATTGTTTGAGACTCCTATTGGGAAAAACTCTCTTTTTTTGGAGTCGCCTGTGCACTGACTAAATAAAAAATCTTTTTTTCTCTTTTTGTTTCTGTTGACAATTCTACGATATGAACGAAATCCAAGTTATGTCAAAGCACAGATTATAGTTTAACAGAAAATCCCTTTGCCTTATCACTGATTGTAGTTTAGAAACTTCCACTAAACATGCTAAAATTTCATCTTTCTTGAGGTTGTTTAGTAGTTTTGTTCCATTAGACGTCACAATAATCTTATTCTTCTTTAAAAATCGAATCTCTTTTGCGAAAACAATCATTCTGATTGGCACCCGATTGGATAACTGCTTTTGTGTATAATCAGTGTCTTTAAGAAAACTTGTCGCGTCTTATCAACCATGCAGAAGAATAAAACTGTTACGTGATTAATAAAATTTGTTCAAATTTTAGGTCTGTTTTCGCTTCAGCATTTGCAGGAAAATAACACATTTAAAAACCCTTCACATGCAGCAATAAATTAACGACAGATGGTATCACTCCCCTCTGGGACATCGCATCAATATTGACATTTATCCAAGCAACGCTGAATATCACGCAGGGCCTTTTATCATTTCTTTTTTTTTTTTTTCCTTAGCAGCTCATTTTAAATTTCTCAAAGAGTAATTGTAACGCAAGCCTCGATCTCACTGTAGTTTTCTCTTTGATGTGAAAATCATTATTCTTTTTCTGAGGTGAACCGAATTCTGCTCGATGTTCCCGTCTTTTCTGGATTGCGGGTCACCTGCCGGTTCATATAAAATGTTCCTTGATCAACATAAACTTATTAAAACGAGGTTACGCACGCTTTGAATCGCGTCGACAAACAGATGTGTATAGAGGCAAAAAGCGCGCTTCCCATTTCACGCAAAAATGGTTTAGACACTCCCCTATTGGTTTGAACCTAAAAGCAAAGTTTCGATTCACAGATCATGACGCCAGATAGTTTCCAAAACTCTTCTTGGAATGAAATACGATATCCCAGCCTAATTACAAGCTCATGTTACAGTTTTCCTAACTTCAACACAAAGAATCGGAACCGACTGAGAACTATAACCTGGCAGAGAAATCTCTTGAGCAGTTATTTGTGAATTATTTTTTTGGTCGCTATTTTAAAAATAACTTGTTCACTTATAAATGTAGCTGCCACTGGAAACAACATCTCTTGAATATTCTGTCCAAACCTGAATGATCATTTTTCGACAAAATTTGTCAAACCACCGATAATATGATCAAAAGAAAACTTACGGCGTAAAAAATTCATTTCACCTCACTATCATATAAACATTACGTGAACCCGTTTAAGTGATTCAAAACATGTCATAAAAACGTTGGGAAATACTATGTAGTAAATGTAGTATTACCTTCTGAAAAGTTGGTTAACGCAGATACCAAGTAAAGTAATGTGACAAGAACACTTCTAAATTCTCCAAACTTATTGCCCACCATTTTACATCAGGTTGGATATTCTTGGATCGTAGAATAAATATTTCCTCCACTTCCCCGAAAAATCGATTAGCGAATTTTGCCTCAGGTCCGGTACGTCATGGAAGTGCAGGTGTATTGGGCGCGCATTTTCGATTTATTTGTTTAAGACTCCTTACACAGGCAAGGCATGCCTAATCGTTTTTAACAAAGATTGTTTGCTATGACAACCACGGTAAGTTACCAAGGAGCCAGTCATTCATGCTGTTAAAAACCGTTTTTAACATTCCATTCCCAGACTCACACACTCCAGAGATGTTTATATTTCTAGCAAACATTGGCTATCTCGGATCACTCTGACGACCAATCTCAAGTTTGAATACAGGGGGAGGCATTACCTCAATACCGCTTTGAGGCTGTGTGTCGTTAAGGTCCCACGTTGCTTTCCAAATCTGTGATGGGGTTCAGTTTTGAGCAGTTTTGTCTTAGGTTGAATGAGGGGGGACAGCGCTACGCAAAATAATCTTTTCAAAAGCTTCCCCCGGTTTTTATGGAACGACCACATGAAATTAAGTGCCAGTCATGTGGGACCGGAAAGGATTTATGATTGAAAATCGCCGATAACAAAAGCTCAATAGGTGCATTTTGTTTTAAATTGTGCTTCCGGGCGCATAATTCAAATGCATGAGGTTTCCTAATCACTCTTACATGGTATTGGACAAACCCAACGTCTGTTCAGTGTTCGCAACTGCCAGAATCTCATCCTACCGTTTTTTGTTCTTCAATGTACTATCTTCGATGATTAATTTACTTGCCAAATAACGAGAGAAACAACTACGATCTGCGTAGAACATTCTCGTTTTTGCCTCCTATGAAATTCTAGACAATCTACAACAAAAAAAATTAATTGTTTTTTGTTTGTAAACTTTTTATGGATCCTAGGTCAACCTAAAAATAATATCAATCAGAAACAGCGACTAAAGAGATACTGAAGAGTCAGCCGAGGATTACTCAGTGTTCTTATTAGAAATTTTCACTGGAAAGAATTATATGTAGTCAACTAATTGCTTAATCAATGTTTGTAAATTAATACGTACATTTAAAAAAAGAAGAGTAGACGTTGAAATTACGATGAGACACGTGATATTGCATGTTGCGAAATCAATTATCAATTAGTTTATGCGTCTGCGTGGGTATGTCGAGTCATTGAGCACCCGGCAAGTTTGGAGAGCACGAAAGAGGTAAGAGTTGCTCGAAGAGCATCCGAGTGCAACTCCGGCCCCCGGAGTGCTCTCCAAACTTCCCAAGTTCTCAGTTTCTCGACATAAGCACAGCTGAAGAGTGAACTAATTGTTTTATAACATTATCAAAAATATCAGTGCAGCAGTTACCTTAAATGTTTATTATTATAACGCCCGCTCAAAGCAGCACGCGTCAAAATAGCTACGTGACTATATTTTTTTTACAACACAGTTATGTTTTTGTCTTAAAAGTGAGAGAAAGTTTAATCAAGTAGCTCAAGATAGCAGTCAAAAAGATTGTAAAATCCACATTAAGGGTCCGGAAAACTAGTAATTCATCAAAAAATTCTTTTTGAAAGAAATAACTTTGCAAAAAATGATTTGCACACGCCATAGCACGAATTTGGCATCTTCAAGAAACGTTGAAGGTGAAAACGCCTCACTTCAGGTTGACATGCCTCACTCAAAAACGCCTTTGCTAAAACTCCCTAATACGGAACTAGGTAGCCTTGTTCCTAGCCTGCGAACCGCAGACGTATTTGCGGTCGTCGAAGCGACGACCGCAAATATGTCTACGGTTCGCAGGCTAGGAATAAGGTAGCCGCAATCTTGAATTACTGCACATTTAGATGGGTCATGAAAGTGGTACATTTACATGCATGGTTAATTGTTGATTGGGTAATACGGACATCCGTCAATGCAGACAACGGACTTTGTTCTCTGGCCCAATCAACACTGCGATTCACATAGAACGTTAACTTCCGTCGCCAAAACGCTCACTTTTTTGAAACCTGTGAGCTGTTAATAATCTTAACACTGATTTCCTGAAAGTGTAATGTATAAATGAGCGAATGAGGATTTCTAGGACAGAGTCCGTAAAATATCGGCTTTTTGTAACTAGGAGTGCTAATGCTGTGTTTTACTTTCTTTCTTTGTTTTGTTTTATTTTGGCCCAGTAAAGGATGTGCAGTGTTATTATGACTAACGACCGACTTTGACGACACAAAGACGGCTGCGTAGATGTTCTCCCCCTTAATAAGGACATTGTCTTTGGCCCTCTCAAAGTCTCTAACGCGATTTGACTGCACGGCTTAGAGAAAGGAATAAACAAAGCGATACTGAAGACAAGACGCTCTCACGACTATAAGTCGCTTATGAAGACTAACAAGTCACGGCCGAGAATTGTTATAACTGTTATTTGTAAAAAGAACAAAAAGGAAGAAAGAAACCGTCTGTGTTTGCATGCTTCTTTCTCTCTTCTGTCGGTTAACCGTTCAACCTAGCTAAAACCCATTAAAACCCTTCGGCGCGGAGTCTCGGTCAAGTATAAAGATATGCTATAATTGATTTGAAATAAAACAGAAAACTTTCTAAAGATTTTCTAAAAACTTCTGCGTAACTGTTTGGCAGTCATGATCGATTTGAACGGTACTTTGAATGAAATTTCATCTGTAGTACGAGTCTTGTTTCAAACAATACATTCCGACTTTTCTTGCATCTGTGGCTTTGTTAGTACAGCAGTGTTACGCTTATTTTCTGTTTCTTTATTTTCAGTTGGCTTTATTTTCAATTCGCTTTATTTTCAGTTCTTCATAGGTTAATTTACTTGCCAAATAACGAGAGTAACAAGTACGATCTGCGTAGAACATTCTCGTTTTTGCCTCCCATAAAATTCTAGACAATCTAGAACAAAAAAATAACTATTTTTTGTTTGTAAACTTTTTATGGATCTTAGGTCAAGCTAAAAATAATATCAATTAGAAACAGCGACTAAAGAGATACTGAAGAGTCAGCCGAGGATTGCTCAGTGTTCTTATTAGAAATTTTCACTGGAAAGAATTATATGTAGTCAACTAATTGCTTAATCGATGTTTGTAAATTAATACGTACATTTAAAAAAAGAAGAGTAGACGTTGAAATTACGATGAGACACGTGATATTGCATGTTGCGAAATCAATTATCAATTAGTTTATGCGTCTGCGTGGGTATGTCGAGGCATTGAGCACCCGGCAAGTTTGGAGAGCACGAAAGAGGTAAGAGTTGCTCGAAGAGCATCCGAGTGCAACTCCGGCCTCCTGAGTGCTCTCCAAACTTCCCAAGTTCTCAGTTTCTCGACATAAGCACAGCTGAAGCATGAACTAATTGTTTTATAACATTATCAAAAAAAAAATATCATTGCAGTAGTTACCTTAAATTTGTATCATAACGCCCGCTCAAAACAGAACGCTTCAATGTCTACTTGACTATATTTTTTTACAACACAGTTATGTTTTTGTCTTAAAAGTGAGAGAAAGTTTAACCAAGTTGCTTAAGATAGCAGTCAAAAAGATTGTAAAATCCATATTAAGGGTCCGCAAAACTAGTAACTCACCAAAAAATTCTTTTTGAAAGAAATAACTTTGCAAAGAATGATTTGCACACGCCATGGCACGAATTTGGCATCATCAAGAAACGTTGAAGGTGAAAACGCCTCACTTCAGGTTGACATGTCTCACTCAAAAACGCCTTTACTAAAACTCCCTAATACGGAACTAGGTAGCCTTGTTCCTAGCGCAATCTTGAATTACTGCACATTTAGATGGGTCATGAAAGTGGTACATTTACATGCATGGATAGTTGTTGATTGGATAATACGGATACCCGTCAATGCACACAACGGACTCTGTTCTCTGGCCCAATCAACAGATTCACATAGAACGTTAACTTCCGTCGCCAAAACGCTCACTTTTTTGAAACCTGTGTGCTGTTAATAATCTTAACACTGATTTCCTGAACGTGTAATGTATAAATGATCGAATGAGGATTTCAAGGACAGAGTCCGCAGAATATCGGCTTTTTGTAACTAGGAGTGCTAATGTTGTGTTTTACTTTCTTTTGTTTGTTTTGTTTTGTTTTGTTTTATTTTGGCCCAGTAAAGGATGTGCAGTGTTATTATGACTAATGACCGACTTTGACGACACAAAGACGGCTGCGTAGATGTTGTCCCCCTTAATAAGGACGTTGTCTTTGGCCCTCTCAAAGTCTCTAACGCGGTTTGACTGCACGGCTTAGAGAAAGGAATAAACAAAGCGATACTGAAGACAAGACGCTCTCATGATAAGTCGCTTATGAAGACTAACAAGGTCACGGCTGAGAGTTGTTATAATTGTTGTCTGTAAAAAGAACAAAAAGGAAGAAAGAAACCGTCCGCGTTTGCATGCTTCTTTCTCTCTTCTGTCGGTTAATCGTTCAACCTAGCTAAAACCCATTAAAACCCTTCGGCGCGGAGTCTCGGTCAAGTATAAAGATATGCTATAATTGATTTAAAATGAAACAGAAAACTTTCTAAAAATTTTTTAAAAACTTCTGCGTAACTGTTTGGCAGTCATGATCGATTCGAACGGTGCTTTGAAAGAAATTTTTTCTGTAGTACGAGTCTTGTTTCAAACAATACATCGCGGCTTTTCTTGCATCTGTGGCTTTGTTAGTACAGGAGTGTTCCGCTTATTTTCAGTTCCTTTATTTTCAGTTCGCTTATTTTCAGTTCCTTGGAACTCCAAGCAGCTGTGTATATATAAAGACACCTGTAGAAGGGACCTAGATTATTCTCGAAAACGCTATACTTTTCGCTTACAATAGGGTACTAATTTTTATTCAACGAAAAAAAACTTTTGGGTTTGTAAAACTTCCAAATTGCCAATATTGTTGCCTGTTTTAAAATTGTCAATAGACGTGAGAATTAAAAGAAAACTTCTTTGGTGTTTCTGTCTGTCAAATAGTTCAAACGGTTTTCTCTTTTTTGTACAGCTGTTATAACTACTCGTCACTCACAATTTTATTCCCAATCAACATTTTAATTCAATTTTTTTACATGCAGAAGCAAGACAGCCTTTCACAGTTCACCAGGTAAAATGGACTTAACCTCAATATTTTTGGCCTTTCTTGCCTTGGAAATATTTGAAACTAACCACAATCTTGTCCAGGTAAGAGCCCTTTAAATATTTAATGTTTTAGTTTCTCTTTATGCAGAAATGCATCTCAAAAATTAGGAAAAGAATTAAAAATCTAGAGGAATACGGAAACGCGGATTAAAAAAAGGTCCTAAAATTGGGCTAGGAGACGCCTTCACAGAAAAGGTGTAGGAGCCACTATAAGGAAAAAGAAACTCAAGATCACCACAATCTTACTAGCCTCCAGTTACTGGACTGAAAGACGGAACTGAATTACAATGTGGGCTGTTTGTTGGAGGGTTATTTAAAAACAACGTCCGAACCAATAGGGCTTTTATCAACGGAAAAAATAATTCGCGATAAACGGGATATTACCACTACTTGGTAATCGTTTGAGTCATTTCATATCATAGCATGTACTGGACCTAACCATAATTTTATTCATTGAGCACCGCATCAAAGTAAAGTACTGGGTGCACGGTAGCTTTCACTTCAATGATTTCATGTTAAGATTCAATCGGCACCTAGCAAATTAACAGTTTTCGAGAATGAATAAAATCTTTGTTGACATCGAAAAAATATATCTATTTTCGCAACTTTTGTTTTTATGCAGCTGATCAAAAACAAGATTCCCTAAATTTCGTATCTACACTTCCCATGGCACAGTGTGATGATCGAATGGCAGCGTAACACGATAGCCTCCCACGCGTGACGAAGCGGTAAGAGCGTCTGCGTGCGAGGCCAGAAACTCGAGTAACTAGGAAGCTTAAGCATCGAAGACGGTAACAGCAGCGAAACCGTCACCGAAAAAGTCATCGCTCTTATTGCAACTCTTTTAATTTCTCAAATGTTGGCGAATTTTTTAAGAGTTGAATTCTAAAGGACTGTATCTAAGTTCACAAAAAGAAAACAGGGAGCTAAAGCAACAACAACGGCGACGGATTAAAAACGTCACTTAAAAAGAGAATTCGCGCTGCTACAAACTTAGTCGCGTTTATTCCATCTTGTTCAATTCGACAATGAATAATGGCGATAGTTTCAAGAGTTAAATTCTAAAGGACTGTATCTAAGTTCGTCCTCCATAAAACGTAAAATTTAGAAGTTTCATGTGTTCCCATCCTCGGCAAAAAATGTACAAAAAGGAAGTTTCACTTCGTAGTCGTTTTCATGTTTTGTCAATCAGCCATTCTCGTTGGCAAAGTCGTCGTTGTTTAAGCCCCTTTGTTTACATTAAAAAGCATTGATGCATACTAATGAATTGCAAAGGTGTTGCTTTGTCAATCTAAACCTATTTTTTTTAGCCATTCTCGTTGCCGTCGCAGTCGTCGTTGCATAAGCTCCCTTTGTTTGTCATTAATGTTTTGAAGGTATTGATATGGGGGCATACTAATGAATTCTAATAATTTAATAATCTGCTTACCTTTGAAATGTTACAGGCAGACTACAGGTTCTCTGACGTACAAGCTACCTACAAAATATACAAGAAACGATTGTACGGAGATGTAAGTATGACAATATCAGCAGAAAAAAAAACACAAAAAAAAAGACCTCCGACCCTCCCCCAACATTCTTTTAAACCAATTATGACAGACCGTAACACTTCATGTGGACTTCATGTTCTTGATCTATTCCATTTGCGTTTTCCATTACTGGTCATTTTAAAAATCAGTATAGCGCTCCGTTTGACTAAATAAAATAAGCCCCCCCCCAAAAAAGTGTATGACAAAAATATACCCACAGTGGGCTTGATAGAGGAATTACGGTACACTGTCTTATATTTCAGGGTACCTACTACGGGAATTACCCGGTAGGGAAAGGTCAGTGTACCCTTGACCCTTTGTCGCCGATGGCTACCCAGGCGGGATGGATTCGTGTCGCTGCTGGGCCAGCAGTCTATCGGCGATCCCTGGGATGTGGAATGTGCCTAGAGATTACTGGTACAGGTACTGGAAGCGGAAATAATCCCATCGTAGGAAAACGAAAAGCTGTGATAGTCGATCAATGTGCAGCTGGCTGTGGAAACAGTAAGTTCCTTTATAAAGTATACTACCTTCGTTATTCTCCACGATCCTTGTTCCATAATCATAATCTCTTTCTTAGGGGCCCTGCCTTTCAAAACAAGCAGGTGTGAAGGAAAGTTAATTAGTTCCCAATAGTCAAAGCGTTCAGATTTTCATACATCAAGATTTAAAAGTTTCTTAGTCACGTCTTAGAAATATAATGAAGTATCATAATCATTATTCGTTAAACACTTGAAATGATGAGCAATGGAGAGTAGCGTGGTGGGGGCGTGGAAAATTATTGATTGACCCACACGTAAGAAAGCTTACCTGGCATCCACGTCTCCTTGGTTCGGATCAGTAAAAGAAGGTTTTCTCCACCTGACCTGTTAAATGTATGTACCCTGGTTAAAAGCTGAAAAAAAAAAAAGAAAAAAAAAGACCTTTGCCAAGATTTCGTCTTTATTAAAAGACTTCATCAGGGCAAATTCGCAACATATTCAAAAACTTATTGATAATTAACTAAAAAAAAAACAAAAGAAATAAATGTTTAATAAGCGTCTTCTCAATGTGACAACGTCAAAGAGTATATATTCTCCGCATCTTCCAGATCTGGGCAGTACCTAATTAATCGAATAAGAAAAAGAATAATAAAAATGAGTAAATGATCACTGTGTTGTTTCCTTACCTCCCAAACATTGCTCTTGATTGTCCGGTTCAGCTCAGGTGTATAAGTGGGTACATTGTCAATACGTTCACAATTTCTTGGAAATTAAACTTTGTTCGGATTCCTCTAGGCCCAAAACCAACAAATGCCTAAAGCAGTGGCAGGAAAGGACACCTCAACACGGCCTTTGGTCTTACAGGGGCTCAAAGGGTCTGTAATACTGGTGCGCCCCAAATAAGGGCAAAACAGCTGTCCATGGCTGTCACTGCCCGGGTGATATGGCTATGCGCAAGCGTAAGGTACTGGCCACGCCGCAAGTTGGAGTCTGGCTGTGTCATCAGCTTTTACTTTGCTCTGGGAAAACTCTGGAAGGACAGTCAGTAGTATCCTGTCAGTCAGGACAGTACAGTCGACTCTCTCTTAACGGACACCTCTGTAAAACGGACACATCAAGTTGGTCGCTGCCTATCTTTACTCCCTTTTTTGCCTCTCTATAAGACGGACATCTCTCTAAAACGGACAAAATACGTCCGTCTTAGTGATAAAAAGAGTTGACTATACTAGCTTTAAAGGCTGCCGTCTGTCTTGGATTTGCAACTTGTTCTGGCTCATTTTACAACTTTCTCTGATCATTTTTATGTTTGTTTAGTACGCTCTATCGATTCCTTTTTAGATGGAATGGACTTCTTTATTCCCGGAGATGGAAGGTGGAAAATCAGTTACGTTGCTATAGACTGTCCGACGATCCCAGGAAGAAAGGGGAACGTTCAGCTTCGATTCCAGGGAAGCAATCCTTGGTACATCAAGCTACAAGCCAGAAATACCAAGTTAGTATTTAGTGTCATGGCATACACAAACTGTAATATGTAAGTCTACAATTGGCGACAAAATAAAGACGCTGTCATTTTTTAAAAAGTACCATAGTAATAATAACAATAATACTAATAATAACTTTATTGGATAGCACAATTACTGCAAATTCCAGTAGTTTTCATTGTGGTCCAGATACAAATATAAAATACTAAAAAGTACAAGAACACAAAAATAATATTAAAAAAACTCAACCATAAAAAACAGAGCACTTTCTTCCCACTCCTAGTCAACGTTGGGTAGTTGGTTTTTGCTGACAGGCCTCGTGTTGGTTTGTTTATTCCTGCTCACCAGTTTTCATGAGCAGCGGCTACGACAACAAAGAAAACGGGGAGAGGGAGGAGAGGTACCACTGATAATTGCCTTCGACTAATTTGATGGAGAATGTATAAGTCGTCATACTCGTCGTTCTGGCCAGTGTCTCAACTAATTTTGTCGCCGATTGTAAATATAAGAGAAACAGGAGAAAGCAGAATTACTATATTGGCGTTGTTTAGTCAAGTCAAGTTTTAGTCTTGATGTGAGCTAAACTTGTATGCATGATATGATACGTACAGCTAAGCTAAATAACGAACACTCATTCATGACCCAGCGATACTATCATAGTTATCACCATCATCATCATCACTATTATCATCATCACCAATGTCATCACCTTCGTCGTCATCAACACGATAAAAACTCACAGCAAAATATTTGTGGAGTGGTGCAGTGTGCATAAAGGATAAAATAAGATAAACTATAAAACTGCAGTGATTCTCCTAAGAAGAACATTTGATAATAAATCAGGAAGATAATTACATATAGACGCGATGAATAAATGGATAATGGTCGTTCGAAACAAAGGAAGGTAATAGCTCTTAAAATCATTACAATGTATAGGGTGCGTATGAGCTGACCTGGCGCTAAAATCGAATCCTCGACGTATTTTCCCTTCTTTACACTACCAAAAAAGCCACATGGTAAACAGTTCAGCTGAGTTATGGTTGCACGCGGCAGGTTGCTCAGGACAAATAAAAGAAGCCCAAGAGTTCCAAGAGGCGATAGCCGAATGCCATTCTAACTTCTTGAATGCGTAGCATTATCCACCAAAGTGCAACCATAACTGGGTGATCAGCCGCGGATATACTTTCCTTGGAAACCACTTCTTTCTTTGTATTCCTTTTTTGTTTGTTGTTTCATTGCCCGTTTTATGGGAAGGTGACGTTAAAGATGATTGCGAGTATTTTCAAGCGCGATTTCAATTGATTCAACCTTGATGATATGGCGAGTATATCACTATTCTTCTGGGTGGCCTATGAACGGCATCCAAATGAACGTCTCTTATCTTATATAGAGTTCCAGCTGCCGGAATAGAAGCCTTGGTGAACGGCAAGTACCGCTGCCTATCTCGTGTTACTGACAACTTCTTCGTCGGCACGGGGCTCGGGAAATTCTCTTTTCCACTGCGTGTTCGTCTAACCGCTATAACCGGTGAACAGATTGAGACGGTTATACCTGATATCACAAATAACTTTAGCTTTCCAAGCAACGTGCAGTTCAAGGGAATTAACGACCAAGCAAGTGAGTAGCTATAGACCATTGAGATATTTAAATAGACTTTACCCACGATACCCGCCATCTTAGAATTGATTATATAAAAGCAAGGTCATCTCAAGGTATTCCAGGGGGGCAAACAAGTGAGAAAATCTGCCAATACAAGAAATTGCTGCCGAGTTTGTGACATTGCTTCTATCCCATCAGTCATTAAGCGCGTGCAAAGATGGTGGGTACCGTGAATAAGGTCTATCGACCTTGTCGATTACGATTGTTTTCCATAGTCTATTTACCAATTATTCCATGAGTACGCGTTGAATATGAGTTGGCTATAATCATCTCACATTCAAAAAGCGCGAGTGGAATAATTGTTTGCTTAAAAACGCCCACAAAATACATCGAGAATTCTTCCCGACCTTATTCGTAAAAACAACCGATTTTCAGCTTGTTTTTAATTTTGAGCAGACGCGTACAGTTACTTTATTTGGAGAGCATGGTATAATGGCTTAGATATCATGGTCACCTTGGGGACAAAAGCAAGTGACCGTTTTAGGGCCTGTTTACATTGAGGTGGGGGACCCCAAGTAGATGAGGTAACCCTCTTAGGTGGTGGGGTAACCCGCCTGTCCATATAATGTCTCATTTTGATTTGATCACGTTTACATGATAGGTGGGGTGACCCCCACAAGTTACCTCACCTATTGGGGGTCCCCCACCTCCATGTAAACAGGCCCTAAGAGAGGTGGCCGTTGTAGAGAGGTTTAAACAAGAGTCATTGTATCGACTGTCCGCAGAAAAAAGTGGCCCTTGTAGAGAGATTGTCATTAGTAGAGGTTCGACTGTACATAACAAATGAAGTACCCAGTTGTATCAACAGTTTACATTCGACCGTCCAACGGTTAACTACATGTAAATTGACTGGGGATCAGACTTCAGAGGGTAGACCAAGGTCCAACACTCAGTGAGTGTTAATTCAAATTATTATTCATTCAAAATATTTTCTCGATTCTGATTGGCTAAAAGCACACGTTTAATTCACCATAAACAATTACTGATGACCAAATTTGGAAGAATTTTGTGTTTAACGAGGAAATGACGTCAAAAATGCAGCGTTTTCGCAGGTTAAGGCACCGTTAACCGAGAAGACCTGGGGACGAGGTTGAGTTGTTTTGGTTGTGAACTTGAAAAATGGCGGACATTTCACTCGTTTCAAGAGTACGAACTAGGCGAAACAATAGCTAAAAACATGGAAAGACCAGCAAGAAGACAACTTGAAGGGCGACATATGCTATTTGGAGAATATTTGCGGAGTTGGACAAACCGAAACGTGCACTATCGAAGATGGACTTGACATCGATGGATCGATGGAGGTATCTAAAGCATGTTTTAGCCATGTTTTTAAACTAGGAATAATTTTGAATGAATAATAAAACAATTATTGAATTCGGCTCTCGGAGGGTGTTATCCGCCTCGGCCAACGGCCTCGACGGATAACACCCTCCTCGATCTCCATAATAATTCTTCATAAGATATTCAGCCTCATTCATTTATTGTCATGTAAATTGACTGGAGATCAGACTTCAGAGGGTAGACCAAGGTCCAACACTCAGAGAGTGTTAATTCAAAATAACCGAGAAGAATGCACTGTCTTTGTTTCACATTCATCTGCATATGGTCATAGTACCTTCTAGTCTTGTAAAAATGTAAATCAAAAAGATCTTTTTAGCGCTAAAAATGTCATAGATTTGCATAATTTCAAAACAACAGGCATTTTTAAAATTTCATCTTATGGTAATTGAGCTTAATCTTGGCAAGTAATTAGTTATTACAGTAGTCTCAGGACCGCATCTGTAAAAGTTTTAACTTTGCCTGTGTCGAACTAACCTTTCGTGCTATAAAGCACTTATAGCACCTACATGTAACTTACATGTAACAAACAGTGTCAAAAAGTGCACGTGCCGATTAGAAGCCGTTGAACAACGTGACTGCGTTAAAGAACCATTTTGTTTTGCAAGCACGCGGGTTTTGTAAAGACCGTCCATTGCCAGTAAGATCATGTCCGAGGAGCCTGTTTATGGAGGATTTCGAGTTAACAACTGTGTTAAGGAAAGTATAAAGAAAAACACTCATAAAACATACGCCCGTTGAATTTAGCTCATTTCGAAGTGTGAACTATTTTTTTTACCAGGCAGTCGCTTACGAGAGTAACCACCACTAGTAACGACCACTTTTTCGAATTTCCGAAGTCATCGCTTACAAGATCTTTGACTGTATATCATTATTTCGACTTTTATGGAAACGGATATTGTACACTTCGAAATGAGGTTGCTTCAAAGGGTGTACGTTTTATCAGAGTTTTCCTTTAAACTTTCCTTAACACGAAATCCTCCATAAACAGGCTCCTCGGTTTGATGTTACACCTGTCACCTTTATACTGTTTCCTTCCTAATAATTTGTTACTTTCTCTCCTCCCTCTATTCAACTCCTATCAGGTAGCTTCTCAAGCATCAAGTGTTTTGGTCAAGGCAATAAATACCCGTATCCTTTAGGCGGGATGTCTCGTAAGTATTCTTCAGTACAGACTATCACAATAGCGGATTCAGATCTGTAAGTAAGTCGGGGGACCCGACCATCCGGTATCTGGTCACCTTGCCACCCAGACATCTCGCCACCAAGAATAGCACTTATCTTAACTAACTAACTATGCCTTCATGAACGGAAATTCCTTAATCGTTACTTTATTTTCATAATTCAAAAAAATGACTAACGTTCCTGCCAGTTTTTTAACCTCTCAAATGTCAAAGTTTACATTCACAGAACCTATACAAGTGTTATAATAAGTATTATTATTCCACTATTATGTCATTTTACCATATAAGGTCAAGAGAACAAGCAAAATACGAGGCCGTAATACACCGTAGTGTCCTGGTTTAACCGGTTTACAACAGGGCGAATACCGGCGGATGCAAAAGGAAGGTATTTTTATAAGCTTGACGAAAAAGTAAAATCTCGGGTAATATTAATCCTAGGTATTAAGCTGTGTCAAGTATTTCAGATTTATTCGTTGGTGGCGAGGCGACTTCTTGGTGGCGATTTCGTTGATGGGGAGATGACTGTAAACCGATCATCCAGTCCCTTGGGGCGGCCGTCCTCGAAAATACCGTAAAATTCCGAAAATAAGCCCCTCCATGTATAAGCCCCCTAGGGGGCTTGAAATTGGAAAATTGCCCTCAAATACAAAGTATAACAAAGCAAAAACGGTAAATTTACTTCCAACTATAAGGCTCGCCTAATCGATTTTGAGACGCAAATTTCCCTTCATAGATAAGCCCCTGCGATTATGAGCCCCTCCCAAAATAAGCCCCTCAAAAAGGGCCTTTGAAAAATATGAGCCCCGGGACTTACTTTCGGAATTTTACGGTATTTTAGGAACCTTACGATCTCAGAACGACAACGGCGGCGAAATCGTCGCTTAAAAGGTGACTTCTCGTTCTTTCGATCTTCATCGAGATTATTCCAGCACACTTTCTTCGTCAAATTTAGGCGAACTCCTCTAGAACTGAAGTTTTTAAGAACCATATTCACGTTTCAAAAGGGAAAAATTTTCTCCGCGGTTCGTCTACGTTTTCCATAAAACGTGAAATTAGGCGATTGTGCACTGGACGGCAAAGAAATGCACAAAAGAGCATGATGCACTTGCAGAGCTGTTGTTTTCTCTTTTGCCTAATATTAAGGTTACCTATTCCTTTTCTGCCGCCGTAATCTGATCCAAAAATAAGGCGGAGGCCAGGGGGCCCGGGCCCCTCCCCTAAATCCGCCATTGTATCATTATATCAGACGTTTTATACACAGTTTTTCATAGCGTATTCTAGTAAGAACGTCATAGACGTGGTATCATAACCCAGTGTTACTCAATGTAACGAAAAAACGTTCCGTGGCGTCTTCTGAGTTTTAGCGTTTCACATCTTCAGCTACTTCTAAAGACTCATGAATATCCTTCACTTTGTTTTCAATTGGTCTCTTTGCGTTTTTACTTATTTTTTTACAAAAATGCCCGCTTTTTAGTAACCTTTACGAAACCCTGTAGCGAACTGAATTTAAATTCACAGACTTTGTCAAGTAGTTAATATCTGACGCTACCCTTACCTTAGAACATTTTCGTTTTTCCTGACCCCTCCGAAGCCATATTGGCAACTTCGAAACATCTTTTTGATGGCCTTTTATAGTTGTAACCGTTTTGAATGCACCAGGAGAACTAATCCTGATCCCCTGACGTGCCTTGATTTGCAGCAAGTGATCCAAGATGTAAAGACGCCTGGCCAGGTCTTCCGTTTGCAGACGAGCGTGACTGTCACTCGTATATCATCTGTTCATCCAAGTCTTCCGCAGCAAAACAATTCAGTTGTGGAAAACTGGCTTTTAATCCTGTAACAGGTGGCTGTGATAACGTTCCTAACTGCAAGTAAAGAAAGTTGCCAAGTGAAAGAAAATGAGCCCATCTTCAAGCCAAGTGCTTCCATGAAAATTTTATGAATAAAACTATGAAAATGCCACGTTGCTCTCATTCATTTTATTTTATGAGATTATCATAAAGATCCAAATTATACGGCAATCACAAAGGTTTTAGCATTTCCTGAAAATCCAATAGAAGTGTTTGTACAATGGAAATTCACTGGTAGTATTTGTGGGTAGGATGGAAGGGTCTGAAACACGTCGCTGAGCCCCAATTTATAGATCAGAGTTGGCTCCCCCCCCCCCCCCCTTCCCCTTTCAACACCCTGCTGTAGGAGACTGAATTTTGGAATCCATCAGCACCACAGACCACAGAAACCACACAATAACAGCAAAAGCAGATTCAATTGAGACCCCAAGGAGGAAACTTTAGTTAGCTACAAATTAATCGTTGTTGTTGCTGTTGTTGTTGTTGTAAAGCGCCATTGGACAGCAACTGAAATAGTGCTATAAAAGTGAATACTTTTATTATTATTTATTATTATCATTATTATTATTATTATAATTATTACTGTAAAAAAATACAAGAGGGATGGAACACTTCTAATATTGCTTCAAGTGCCAACTTCTATTGAAATTATAGAAACATAGGAAAATTAAAATACAGTGAACCCGCCTTAAGACAACCCAATTGGGTGTTTCTTGGTGTTCTCAAACTACCGTTGGTTCGCTTTTGTTTTGTGGTTTGTGTATCACTGAGTGTCTTTTACAGCGCAACTACTGTAGCCATGGCCACCTATATAAATTTAACCAATCAGACAACATTAAAATAACAATACATACCAAGAAAGTTGGCTGTCAATCACAATTACTACAAAGAAACATAATCAACAGGGATCAAAATCAACCAGTTAGACAACCTACAGATGTGACCTTTTGAACCCGTCAAAGAAAACCTACATGATTCCTGAGAGGTCTGTTGGAGTACTAACTGAGAGGTGACAAACATAACATTGCTTATATTTTTTACTTGAGGTAGCATGTTATTGCATAGTGTGGCAACGTTAGCAAAGAAATTGTTTTATCATTCATTCAAAATATTTCCAACCTAAATACATGGCTACCTTTATTTAAAGTTCCCATCTACAAAACATTTGACTGCTTCTCAGTTTTTTAAGAAAAATGAAGGGTGTTTAATTAATATTCCTGCAGCTGATATTCTTTATAATTATAGCAGTTCTTGTCTGTCAAGAAGCATTTTTTCTGTTCCTGCTCTGTTTCTGCAGAGACATGTATGCATCCTCCTTTCTGTCAATAGTAAGTTCAGCTATTTCATATAACATCGAAGCTCTGACTGGTAGGTGACCACCTCAGAAATTCAAAAAAGTGGTCATAACTAGAGATGGTTGCTTGGGAGCCTGATGAGCTCTTGGAAGCAACCGCATGGTAAAACAATAGAGGTTGGTCACTTACGAACACTTCAGAAGCTCATTAATAATTCACAATGGAAAAACAAAAGAAATTAATGTTCAAAGAGTGTCCTTATATCTGATATAGACAAAGCTACAGTGTCCATTTTTTAGACCATTAGCGTAGTGTGTAGTTTCATTTAAGTGTCGATTTATATGAATAAGACTCTGAGTGGTCGCTTACCAGAGCTCAAAAACAAAGGAAAAGTCCAGTTAGGGGTTCAAAAGTGGTCACGGTCACTTACGGGAGTGGTCGCCTACGAGAGTTTAAGTCACAGTTCAAACCGGGTTTCACAAAGGTGGCTGTAACTAGAGCTGGTTGCTTACATGAGTGGACATTTGAAATCTGCCATTATTTTCTCTAGCCCTGTGTTTCTTTGTGTGACATGCATGCGTCCCCCTTTCCGTTGATTTCAATACAACTGACATCAATCGTATTAATTTCTCAATTCTGCAATTTTACAATTTTGTCAACTCTAGCTCATGGCCGGGGGCTACAGCCAATGAAAGATGGAGTATATATTGAATGAATAATAAACCAAGTTTCTTTGATCCCAAAATATATTGATGCTGTAAGTTAGTATAGGTTTAAATTTAATACAGGCCACTTAGTTATCTTACAATTCTTTTAAAAGAGATTATAAACTGTTCCTACTTGACAGTCAGTGAATAACATTCATCTACCTAACTAAGAGCCTGTTTACATGAAGGTGGGGGACCGGGGTGAGGTAACAAGGGGCGCGTTACCCCACCTAACATGTAAACATGATCACATTAAAATGAGAGATTATATGGACAGGCGGGTTACCTCACCTATCTGGGGTACCCCACCTCCATGTAAACAAGCCCTAATTAATTAATATTACCGGTAATTAATTTTTTTTTATTTATGAACTTTAATAAAAGTCCATATCTTTGTAAATCTTTTTATAACCCGAAAGCTTTGCTCCTTTGGCCACTACACACTTTTCCAATGTAATGTTTATTATGACTTGTACACTAGCTCTGATTTCCTTTTTTTTTGGTTCCTATTATTTTTGTATTTGTGTACTTTTTCTTTTTTGAATAAGTGTGAATAAACAGAACTTGAACTTGAACTTGATGTTAAAATATTGTCATACCTTTCATGACAGAATATTAACGCTGAACTTTCTTGATATTCTTGCACGCTCCTCGCTCGCGGACGAAGGATATCGGCAAGTGCACACAAATTCTTGCTCCAGGACCTCCAGAAAAACAAGGAGAGGAACAAACGTTTGAAGAAGCTTCTTGCAGATTCAGCATTCTTGTAAGATATCCCATGAAACTCTGCGCTCTTTGTTTTCCGAGTGGCGCCTGGACCCAGGGGAGTGGGGCAAGTCACCATTGCCTTTGCTTATTTTTCTATCCCAAAATCCCTTCGGCTACGCAGGCTAAGTTCCTTCCTGTGTTTAATTTTTCTTGAACGTGAAAGCAGTCATTTTCACGTGGTAATAGCCAGCGAAAAGAAACGAGCGTAATGGCATGAAAGATATAATGGTCACGCAATCATCAGCTTGCTGTGGTAAAACGTGATGCTTAAAAATCTCCATTTCGGAAATTTCAGCTGAAAATTGGGTTCTGCCTTTCAAGAAAGTTCTTCTATTCAGATAAGTGGGGTCCACACAATCTGTTTTTGTTACGGTCCGTAATTTTGTAGAAAATGTGCTGAATTTAATCATGGCCTGCAAAGAGTTTTCTAGTGTTGTGACAATTTTCCAAAACCACGCAGACCCCTAAGTTCTTCCAGATCCATCTTCCCCCATTTGGTGCTTGGTCACGAATACGGAATACAAGTTACACATGCGAGGGGGGAGGCAGGAGGACCAAAACTCCCGCCTCCCGTGGAAGAACTGCAACCTGCCACCTTCCGCTCTTCCCTCTGCCGATTATACCGTGCCCCGGCCTCCCGCCCTCTATTCCCCCGGGCTCCCAAACTTAACTTAGGGCTTTCCACAAGTTGCTCGGCAACTTTTTGGCAACTTCTCGTATTTCGAGCAACTTTTTGCCGATTTCTGAACAATTTCTCAAGTTATATTCTAATTCTGAGATATCGGAGCTTTTGGTGCTTAAATTGACCTTTCTTCCATATTCACAATGTTTTAGTAGACAATTTATGAATTTCCTGTAAAAAAAGGAGCCAAATCTTTGTCCCCTGTTGGCAAGGATTTGGCTTCGCCTGCGGCCCGCTAGCCTGCGTGCAGACGATAACTAAACTTTGATTAGGAGTTCACCAGAGTTTAATTTCGTCTGCGCGCAGGCTAGCTGCCCGCCGACCTCGAAGCATTTCCGCCGCACTCAATCCCCGCACGCAAAAAAAACCTCTATTATACCCAGGGTATACTTTCACAGTCTTGCTTGCTCCAATCAACTCGCTGCTGCAGATAGATCTTTCTCTCCTCTCTGCTCGTACCGTCGCTGGGAACGAGAAACGGCTACTAGGCTAGGCCCGAGTAATCCCCGAACAAAGCTTGTTGAACAGCTCCCCCCCGCCCCCTCCTCCCCGCGCTCTCTCTCCGCCTAGGAGATCAAATGTCGAATGTAACTAAACTGGAGCTGGTACGTACATTGCTGCTTGTTACAGTACAGTATTGGTATTGGTGAAAGCTGCAGACCTGATTGTCTGGTCGAGGTCGGGCACTTCCGTTAGAGTGTATCATTACAAACAGAAGATTTTTTTTCTGCGCATTTCCTGTATTCCCTGTAGCGCCTCCCTGTGGTAAAATATTTAAAGATTAAAAACTGAAGATGTCCGACGCAGGATTTACCTCACTAGTGATTATTTTATGTTTGTTTGATGTTTTTCCTGTCTCAGATCAAAGCTCTCCTGGATATGGTATGTATTTGTTCATTTTCGATTTTTCTGTTTTGGGAATTCTTTCTCCTAGTATAGTTATTATATATAATATGTTTTGTATACAATCTCCTTTGTTGGCCTCTGTTACGTCAGGGTTATTCTAGAAACTTGAATAGAATAACATGACTCGCTGTCGGGTCTGTCGTATCACTAGGAATTCCTCTACAATCAGAAGAAATGAGTGGAACTCGCTTGACCAAAAGAGCAACAGCTTAACGCGTGCTGATGCGGTCAAAAATCGCTTTTTAAATACTCTAGCTAGCTGCTATTCATCGCCTGTATCCAACACGCTGTATGATTTACGATTCCAAAACATTTTAATTGACGACTAGAATACTGATTACTGACCCCCTTTTTAAGAGGAAAATTCAGAATGTGGCTACAACCGACAAAGCCACTTGGCAATTTCTTTTTTTTTGAGCGATTATGAACCATTATCCACGTTGATTTCCCTGCTTACTTCTTGCCATTTTTGAGCAATTTTCTGTTTATCAGCGCTTGAATCAGGTTCTTAACCCCTGTTGTCCACAAAGGTCAGCTTTGTCAACCCGTTTTTCTGTGATCTTGTCTCTGGCACGTAGACTATTACTCCCGGGTATGGCAGAGGTACTGATGAAAAGGGAATGGTTTTCAGGGTCTTGAGTCTTTTAACAGAGTCAAGGCTTGAAGGCCTTAACCGCACACCTCTATCCAAATTTTCTGAGTGTCCCCCCAGTTCCCAGAGTCTCAGACAGTGGGAACAAACAAACAGAGTGGAATTTCAATTAGTTTGATAGCAGCTGGCACGCAACTAAAGAGGTGAATTGTAAACTGACCCATTTACAAAGAAAAACAAAGGCTATTTAATAGGCGAACATAGGGAGCCGGTCGCTCTTTCACGCCGAAATGATCTCATTAGGCAGGCATTCCTTTGCTCGTCAAACATTCCTGTCCTTCCACCACCCTCACACCCCCGGGGCATGGAACTGTGGTGAGATGTGAGATGGAAGGTTACCGCCGAAACCGCAGCCGCACGAACCAACGGACACTGAGGGATGAGGGGGGCCATAGTAAGTGTCCGTATTAACGAGGTGTCCGTATTAAGCGAGTTGAATTTAGAGTTGACTTTAGAGTAAATGTAAGGGTTTGGACAAGGCAAACTGTCCGTAGTAATGGTGGGTGTCCGTAAAGCGGGGCTTAGACGTCGATCCGGAACCGGCAAGACAAGATAATAAAATTAAATGGAGAGGTTTACCCTCTGCATGCCCCTATCGCAGCAGTAGGCTGATAAACGTCAAGGTTTATCGTCGTTTTTATAGCCTTCCTCTAACTTTTTTCAAAGTTATGTCTCATTAATTATATTTTCACAACCCAATTCGAATAGCCTTTGCCGCTTGAGGGTTTTCAACGTATCTATTTTGCAATAAAGAATTGGAAATTAATTAAGTTGTTTTTAGTAGTGGTCTCTAATTACGCCCGACTACTCTAATGTCCAAACGTGACAGCTGAGTCGGCTGAAGAGCATTAATCTATCAGTCTATGCTGCCTTGGTGTGACATGAAGCACCTTTTCAAAACTTAAATGATAGATTTCCCTACCCTTTCCTTTTTCGAATATTATATTTGAGAAAGGGACTTAAATGAAAATTCCCTACCCTTGAAATATGGGTGAAAGCCTGACACACGCGGGGTGAGGGAGTTCCTTCTCCCCTCGCGTGTCTCCTTCTCGCGCGCCAGTTATTTCTTGTGCCCACTACTTCCAAGCGCCTGCTACGCAGGCTAAAGAAATTTTTGCGACATTTGTAAAATTTAAATTTCGCGATTTTGCAAAAATTTTGTATTTTGAATCATTTTTATTAGCGTTTTTGAGTACCACGATTTACATTTCATTAGCAATGTTATTTAACATGTCCTTGAATTAAATAAAACGACCTTATCAAAGAAACAATAACAACAAACTAAGAAAAACACAACAGCCGGACTAAATGTCAACAGTAACAACAAAGCAGTTCTCACAATGTCCACAAGCAGTTCATGCTTGTACATGAATTATTGTTCTTGAGTAATTTGACCTCAACATTCGGTCAACATCCATGTGAGTCACTATAATTTTCGCGTTATGTTATTTTCGCCACACTTCAGGTGACACTTATTGTTCGCGTCACTTTAATTTCGCGATTTATTCCCCGGATTTATTCCCCCCGCAGGGATTTCGCCCAGAACGCTACTATCCTGAAAAAAATGAGGGTCAATTTAAGAACTACCCGTAGTCTATGGTTGCCATACCCCGCGATACGAGAAACGTGCTCAAGGAACGCTTTAATCTCTTCCTCATAGCCTGTTCGGCAGGCGCTGAGACGGTGGGGACAGCGCCGGCAAAGACGTGAGCTCTCAGCTCTTCATTTCCAACACTCTTCACTATTTGAACGCGTGTAACAGGCTACTTCCATCTCGGCAACAGTGATGACAGGAGGCTGTATTCGCAGGCTTATACCAGGAGAGAATGTTTTGTTTAGGCAACCATCACCTTTTAGAATTCTTAACCTGAAACATGACGAGAGAAGAAAATCCAGAAAATATACAACTTGTTGCTAAGGACAATTAAAGATAAAAAGTTGCTTTTTTCTCAACAGTTTTTGAGCGTAATAATTACATCTACAAGTTCGTTTTTCCTGAGGACGATAAACGCACTTGGTATGAAGCAGAGACGCTTTGCCAAACAGCAGAAAACGGTCATTTGACAAGCCTCGTTTCACCCAGTGAAATCACATGGGTAGACAGCGTAATCAAAAATGTGGTGCCAAGTCAAAGTACAAAGGTAAAATTGTGGATCGGAGGAAGCGACCGGAACGTTAACGATGTATGGGATTTCGTCGATGGCCAACCCCTCCGGTATAACGTTGTTCCCTGGGCCCCGGGTCAACCCAAGAGACCCCAGCAGCACGTGAACTATGAATTCTGTGTAAGCTTGGAATTTCAGGGAGAACGTTCTGTATGGTTTGTGGATGACTGCTTTGAAGCAAATGGATACATTTGTAAGTCTGATGGTAAGTACAGTGTAAGTGGTGCTCAGTTTTCACAGTCTATTATTTGATCAAACTCATGTTTGATCGTCTCACCGGATACAATCCGGATAGCTTTTCGTGACAACATGAAAATCTACCCGGTCTGAATGTTAACAGCACAGAACTGGAACAATTCGTTCCACACATCTCGTCGAACACCGCGCAGGAGCGATAACGACCCACTTTCAAGATGATCAAGATAGGCTGGTATGGTTTTCGAGTCGGCGCGAACAAGAGCTATCCTGTAAAGTGTGAACCTGACTCAATGTAGAGTGTAGTATGAACATAGCCTTAAGGGACAATTAAGCGATAAAAAGTCCTCAAAGGCTTTCCCTACTAGGCGCCAATGCATGTAGTATACCTTTGTTAAGTGTTACCCCATGTAAAGGAATCCAATACAGTCTTGGATTCAGGATACCACGCTATAAATTCCGGATCCCAGGTGCTGAATTCCATATTCTGTTTGTCAGTGTGGAACTTGGATTCCGGATTCCGATCGTCAGTGGGTTCCAGATTCCTTGAGCTGTATTCCAGATTCCAAAGCTCAGGATTTCGGGTTCCTCAGGAAAAATTTCCCGGATTCCGTTATACGGGGCGATAAATGATTTAGGTGATAACCATCAAGTTGTTTTTCCGCAGAACCAGCTGAAAGGTTGACAGAGAAAAGATTTGGATACAGTAAGTTTTATTACATTGGCTTGTTTTTCCCTTGGGTTTTACGAGATTCTTGCAATACGCGTATTTCTAGTAAATGGCCGACCAGCCTCACTGCCCTAAAGGGTACTCTGAAAATAACACAAAGCACAATATTATTTACAGGTTGAATTACAAATTTCAACTTAAAAACTAAATGCAGCACCTTTTAGGATCAGTACTCATATGAGTTTATGCGTAATAGACAACATGAAATACAGCATGTTTCGTGGACAATAACAAGTTTCTCTGGATTACTCGGCTTACACACTGAAACATTTTATTCAACCTTTCACGCAACACTAGCAGCGCGGCTACCAAGTTCATATTTTTACGTCAAGTGAACCAAATGGCGTCGTCGTGAAAGGATAAGGCTGAAATGTGATTGGCTCAGCCGGCAATGTTTTGCAGTAATGTATTGCAGGCCATGTGCGGTTGTGTTGAAGTGGCATATCATTTCTTTAGTGGTGAAGCGATATTATCTTTAAATTCCTTTCGAAAGAAACAAGCTGATGAGAGAATTAGTTTGTTATTCATTCTCACTGACTTTGAATTGTACCTGTTATTTTAGGTTGGGAGTGGAAACAGCACATCTACAAGTTTATTCCATTACCGTGGGCTGGCCTGAGTTGGACAGAGGCAGAGAAATACTGTGAACAAATAGAGGGCGGACACTTACTAAGCATCCGAACTCGAGAGGAAAGCCGATGGGTCACAGAAAGAATCCGTCAGATTCGTCAAATAATAGGATTCTCCAAGTTTTGGATTGGAGCTTCAGATTTTGGTCACGAGGGAACTTTTCAATGGAGTGATGACACCAATAATCGTCCTATAAACTTTACCAGGTATACGGGAGGGGAAGCAGTAACATTACAGGTTACATTCCTAGTCCATCGCACTGGTGCGGAAGGAAACGATAGAAAAGGGGCCACAACCTCAGGCCGGAGTTTCACCCGGCTTTTGTGGGGTGGGATGATAGGGATATTAGGGTCAAAGGGGTCATAGACACCAAAGATGACATGAGATTGACCGGTATTTTCTAAGAGTATTGCCTACTTCTCACTCACTGGGAAAGGTGGATAGAAAGTGATTACTGAGGTTGAGGGTCAAAAGGGCTAAAGATAGCCGAAGGTTACCGAGCCTGCGGGATGATATGGGAGCATATACTTTTCCCCCTCCCAGCTTCCACTGGGATAGAATATATAACGGCTGAGAAGAAGCTAACAGGGATTTAACCTGATTCGCCGTACTCATCCAAATGGGGTGTTAGTGTCTTACAGCTAGGAAGCGACTTTAAGTTGCAGTAACCGACCATCTTATCGAACTCCAGCACCCTTATCTTAGATCTTAGCTGTATCACCAAGCCTACAAGATGCTATAAAAATGGTATCGTAACCCTCCCAACCCCCCGAAACCTAATCGAGCCTATTATTGGACTTGCTCTGTAACTTATATTTTGACGCCATTTTAGTAGGCTCGATTACCAGACGCTGTTCCGGAATTTGAGCCCACATTCATCCCCCTCCACGAAAGAGTCCCTTCGGGGGGGGGAGGGGGACAAAGACCGGACCCAGGAGACAGCGGAGATCGAGCCTACCATTTTAGCCGCTCCACTCATTTTTCAAGGGCGTTTTCTCGGTCTGGAACGTATCGAACCTTGTTTACACATACCGTATTTACTCGATTAAATGCCGCCCTGGAAGAAATACCACAGATGGAAGCCAAAATTAGCAATAAACGCCGCATCGGAAACGCTAAAAACTTAACAAATGCCTCGGCGTTTAATCGAATAAAGACGGTTCGTGAAGTTAAATCGCTACCTGTCCGCGGACGCCTCATCTAATATGTAATTACCTTTAATAATTGTCAGCTATCATTTCTGTTCACCTCACAGCTGGGCAACTGGTGAGCCCTCGGTGCACAATACAAATAACCTCAGGGAGGATTGTGTGGCAATACAAGCTGATCCTGAATGGGGTAAATGGAGCGACGAAAGATGCGTCATTGCGACTCCTTTTATATGTAAAACAAGAGGTGAGTCCTTCAATGTCGTTCTTAGGCCCTGTCCACGCTAATGCGTTTTCGCTGTCATCAGAAACGCATCGATCGATTCGCGTTCACACTGTCGTCTTGATGCGTTTTTTCGACTGTCCACACTAAAACTTTCGAAAACAGTAGAATTGCACGTTGTGACGCACGTTGAGCTTTATACGCCTGCTACAATCACACACGCCTGCGATATTTTCAGTCATCGTTTTCATTTTGATGCGTTTTCGACCGATAATACGTTATGGATGCGTTTTCATTTTGATCATTCACTTTCAAGAGCGTTTTCAAACCGATGCGTTTTCGATGAAAATGCTCAGAGTATTAGGACGGACGGAAGGCCTGAATGCATCAAAATGTACGCGATTTTAAAGAGAAACGTATTTGTGTGGACGAGGTTATAGACTACACCAGGGACCTTCGTTACAAAAACTAAGAAGGCAACGGAAACGTGAACTTGAAAAAGCAACAGACAAAATCTTAATCAGTAAACTGACTTAACAATACTTAATTAAAAATTTAGCTGCCCCAAACTATAGAGGCATTGAAGAGCTGGCCGGGACTAGGTGTTCCACTCAGTTAAAAGCTTGCAAACGCAATCCAAGTTTTTTGACTTCTGTAAACTGAATAATTTTTCTTATTTTAGTTAACTTAAATAGAAATAGTAGAGAAAAAATTCTAAGTGAGCGAGCAACTAACGGACACAATTTTACTTCCGAGTAAACAGCCAAAGAAACTACGTAAAAACAAAAACTACATAAAACGTATTTAAAACAACCAGAATTTTTGAAAAAAATCTATTCTCTACAGTTCCTTTGCCCTGTTTTCTTGTGGGTGCTCTTTAAAAGTTTATTTTTTCTAAGGAACAGTGTATTTCTGTTTAGTTTGCTCCGGGAAAGCAGACCTGGCCTTCATACTGGATTCTTCGTCAGTCAGCGAAAGTGAATTTCAAGAAGCTAAACGTTTTGTGTTGTCCGTGATCGAAAACTTCCACATCTCGGCAAATGGCACTCGGGTAGGATTTATACGGTCTTCTGCAATAGCTAGTGTCATATTTGACTTACAGTTCAGCGCGGATAACAATATTTTACGCTTAAAAGAGATGGTCGACAACATCGTTTTTGGTGAAGGAGGCAGCACAAAACACGAACTCGCGTTGCAGTTGGCTCGTGTGAACCTCTTCTCGGCAAATGGCGGCTCACGACCCGATGTGCCGAAGGTCCTCATCGTGTTAACCAAGGGAAAATCGGAGAACATTCTTGCTGTTGCGCGATCATCCATGGCATTGAAGAGAAACAATGTGACTATTGTGGTTGTAGGAATCGGCGAGGAGGTTAACATAGAGGAGTTGCTAACAATGGCGTCAACCGCTGGCGATATGACTAGGCTGAATACATTCAGAGAGCTCAAGACCCTAGTTAGTACAATGAAGAATAAAGTTTGTGACGGTGAGTAGTACTTGTAAAATAGCCTGTTTTGGGCGGTCAAATTGCGGCGAGCACCCGAAAGTTAAAGAGAAAATTCAGCAAAACTGTGAAAAGTAGAAAGGAGGGAGGACTGTGGAGAGGGGTTAATTTTTGCACCTCGATCCAGTCTCTTCACCCATAATCTCAACATTACCTCGATCCGTTTTACAGAAATTGAAGTTCTCACAGCGCATACCCCTTTCCCAAAATTTTGTCTTTCAGGCGGCCTATATTTGAGGTCGCTATCATGTTTAAGAGGAGATTGGCGTGATTTATATACAATCATATGACATTCAATTGAAAGCAAGCAATCTTCAGAATGAAGGATATGGAGATAGAAACTCATGATAACTTAATGTAATATTTCTACTGCACATTCAGCGAAGAAATTTCATTACCCGGGGTCGAGTCTCGCTTACCGTAAATGATCGATTAAACGGCGCTTAAATGTGCGGTGCTCATTCGAGGGCGGCTCTTATTTCAACTACGGGTAAAACACCGAGGTGAATTATTATAGAGAGAATTAAGTGAGGCGCGTATTAGGTATGCACAATTTAATATACCCTTATTTCGAATGAAATGCAAGATGTATCGTGAAAGCAATTTTGAAGGTATTGCTCGGCTACATGAACCCGGTTTCAAGGGTTTCGCTACATCAAAACTTTAGAACTCACCAGTTGGTCTCGGTCTTATTTCTCAAGCGAGATGGTTTTGATATCTCTTTGTATCAAGCGCCGTAACAAAGGTGTGGCGTTTATTTGTAAATACCCAAATTAACGCCGCGGCGCTTTTTAAATTCTTTCCGGTAAAGGTGCGGCGCTTAATCGATCATTTACGGTAGGCTATGTTAACACAATACCGGATAGCTTTTGGTGCTGACACTAAAAGTTATCTGGTATAGCATGAACACCTACCCGATATGTGACTCCCTACTTTACAGATCGGTGCGGCGCAGCTCCGTTCCGTCACAGAAATCGCGCCGCCACAACAGGTTTATGCGTGTTCAGAGGCCCAATCCGACATGATTTTCGTGGCACCACGAAAAGCTGTCCGGTATAGCATGAACACCTATTCAATATGTGACTCACCACTTTAGAGATGGGCGCGGCGTAGCTTCGCTCCGTTACAGAAATCGTGCCGAAATGACCGTTCTCATATGTAAACAGAAGCCCTATTCGGTTAGGTTTTCGTGCCGGCGCAAAAGCTATCCGGTTAAGTGTAAACATAGCCTTGGTCTCTGATTGCTGAAGTGTGATCTAATTTCCCTTTTCTAGCCTGCGAACGTAAATTTTTTCCAGTCGTCGCTTCTCTGATCTCCACCCAGGTGGAGAGAAGCGACGGCCGGAGCTACGTCTAAGGTCGCAGGCTACCATTCCTAGAGCTACAACCAGTTGCAAAAATGTTGAGTCACTTCCACGAAAAGACGACCTTTCTTGCTTCAAATCGCTGCCATCCCATTCAAAGTTGATAAAGGGTGGAGGGGGGATCACAAGCACAAGATCATGGACAGGCCATTTATTCGAAACTACGGTACAGTGTCTCAAGTACTTTTTGCAACTGTTTGTAGATGAACACTGCCTTCAAAGCGCCGTAAAACTTGAATTCTATTTGATATGAATGTTTATTTTATTAACCACGGGATCTTTTCATTTTGTTCAGAGATGATTAAGAATATACAGAGCACGGCGCCACAAAACTGAAGAAAATCCGAAGTAATATATGACGGTAGATAACTGACACGGAGAGGAAGACGGCCGCATAACTGCTGACTGTGCAGCACAACAGAAAACTAGCAAACTTAACTTTGTCTATTTACTAGATTAATATGAAATTTTTCATGGTAAAAGCTTAAGCACAATACGCAAACAATCTGCTGGAAATTAAAATAAACCTCGATTTCCCGAGACATTGTCATCCTTTCCAGTTTTCCAAGTTTTAGTCCTCTTTATTTTGGCATTGCGGTAATTGAGGGTGTGAATGGGGGTTCCTCGATAACACTGAACACTTCATTTTTTGGCTTTGTAACATAAAACAGTTAAATTTTAGGCATTTGAACACTAACAGTTAAAAAATTCTTTGAAACAGTAAATTTTTTCCGGAAAGAAACAAAAACGGCTCCAAAAAGGCCACTATTATTTTGTTTGGTGTATAGATCAAGGAGTTTTTGGCAATTTTAAGACAATTCCGGACTATTTCAGAAGATTTCTGAAGGCTTCCGAAGACTCCGGAAGACTGTCGAAGATTTCCGAAGACTAACGAAGAGGTCCGACCATTGCCGAAGATGTCCGAAGAGCCCTTCAAACACTTAACAGTATTTTCTTCGGAAACAGTAAACATTAAAAAAACTGGCCAATTTAACAGCAAACACTAAAAATTAAGGGCAAATTACACCAAACATTAAACCCCATTCAGACCTTCATAATTGTATATTTAACAATTGTTCCTCGAGCCCGAATGGGCTCTGAGTCAAGAGTCATTGGCTCAGAGCCCATGAGGGCGAGAGGAATAATTGTTTTAGTAAAATCCAACTAGTTGATCAAAAATATCGAGACAAAGCAACTTTAGCTGGCAAAACGCGATTCAGTTGCCACTGTTTTGGTTTTCAAAGCCCGCGCTTTTTGCTACTAGTGGGCTATAACATAGAGCCTAGTGATAGCTCAACCAATCAGAACGCAGCATTGATAATAGACCACTAGTTGGATTTTATTGATAACAAATACCTTGCCTAGTTTTAGCCTGTCCGCACTCCACTTTCTAAAGTCCCAGAACAGACTAGCCTCGACCCTGCACGGCGTCTCCCCAGACCGTCACGGTCAACGCATTGCCATCTGGTCCGACTGGTCCATCTGAGTGGGAGTGGTTGGCGCGTTCGATTCCAAATCCCGCAATCCTGAGTTCGGATCCCGCTCTAGATGACAACTACCGGCTGGATTTTTTTAACAGTTTAACAGTAACCCGATTTCAATTCCTAGATCATTCTTATCTGTAAATAGCCAACTGGCTGTTAGCTAGTTTGGGTTTTAAACTCAATTTAGGTTATTTGCTTTTGTCGGAATTTTTTTTTTTCAGTAAGAGGACCTCTAAACTAGCTACGCACTAGGGCGACTGAGCGTATCTTTTTCTGTAAACAAACATTTATTTTCACAAAACTAGAAAAATGTGGAGAGTTAATCTAGAAATGTACTTGAAAAATGCAAAGTTTTAATCATTACTTTAAACGACTACAAAAATATATGTTTGGTTTAATTTTATCCTGGGCTTAAATTTTATTTTCTTTTGTTTTTGGTATGGTAATGTTTGATAATGAGTTTAAAATAAAGGAGTAAAATTTAAACCAAGGATAAAATTGAACCACAACACATACCCCCAAGGTACTGGGCTGGTGACAAAGGGAGTGATGAATTCCATATGGATAAACGAAATCAACACTCGGGCAGAAATTTCACACCAAGGCGTCGCCATTGAGCAATACTTAAAATTTTCAGGTTGAAAATGCTCTGAGGAAACTAAATTGTGCAGCCTATTACTTTTAGAAACAGCGTCGCAAAATATAGTGCCCAGAGCTTCCATGTGTTTGGTCAAACTTTACTGAATATTTATCTGTTGACCTTGAACACTCCACAGTGGACTTAACAGTTAGAGCAACCTTGTAGAGCATTATAAGAACAGTACCACAGGAGAGTACTCAAGACGCTCAGCAGCTTTCATTATTTCGAATGGTAAGACTATAGGATTTCATCCACAGAATCAACAGACCGGGGCTACCATTGGTACAGCACGAGCAGAGAAGTACAGCTCAGTAGCCTTTATTTGAATTGTCACACGACAGGATTTTATGCACAGACTAAAAAGTCAGAACCACCTTATTCAGTATAACTGAATAGCACTATTAAGGAAAGTACTGCTCAGTAGTTTTCATCAAACACTAAAATTCTTGAACCACCTTGCATGTACAGAGTAATAAACAGTACCACTGGAAAGTACTGCTCAGTAGGCACTCGCATTTGAATGGTCACACTTAAGGATTTCTTCCACACCAAACTCAACTATTGGAACTGAAATTTTAGCGCAACATCATACACGGAACTACATCAAGAAAATGAAACCTTTCGTTTGAATCAGTTACATAAGTAGAATTTTATCATTCAATTCAAAGGTAGCCGTTTAGTCGGCTCTATAAGCTCTCTTAGTTAAAAGATAAACCACGAAAATATAAAACTTAAGCAAATTATTTCGTTTGTCATTCCTTTGTGGTCCTCATGAAAAAACTAACGAAAATTATTTAGTTAAGGTCATACATGGAAACTTCAATAGCATTCGATTAAAATCGCCGATAACTATGCTTGTATGAGTGCTTTTATCTACTAATGCTTCAGCGAGAAAAATAGGCGTAACACCAGAATTTAAACAAGTCTTTCCTTCAAAAAAGCTCAGGGACAGCAATTTTTATGATAGCACTTCTCTTTAGAAAACTGAGCCGTATGCCAGTCAATAAATTGTATCCGAGTGTCTTTTTTCTAAAAAGCTTTTTCAACATTACGGATTATGAAAAAATATCTTCTAATTACACTCGGTAACGTGGTTTCAAAAGATACTCTTAAAAACAATAACACACCGGGCCATTAAATATTGTTAAAGCCCGCTTGTGCAATAAGAGATGTCTTACAGGAGCCAATTTTCGGATTTCACGTACAAACCTGTCCCATTCCTGTCCGGCGGAGATTAAACCCCTTGTTCCATGGATTAGTTGTTTAAAAATCGCTCTAAAAAGGAACAGTAAAATAGGTACAATAAAAGGGATTGTGAATGAGATCGTTTATTTTCACTCATTTAGCGAGGCAACCTGTTTTCATATTTGAGTGATGTTTTCCTTTTGTAAGTGCGGTTCCATTCTCACTCGAGCCTTTTCGGAAGTAATACTTGTCAAAAATGGTTTGGGTGATGAAAAACTTCCAGACCGAAGCTCATTTTCTTGCTCTATTTGTTCAATACTAGTGCATCGCTATAGGAAGAGTTTGTGCTTGAATGAAAAACCAAACAGAGTGTCAGAGATTTCTTTTCGTGAAAAACAGTGTTAAAATGTAGACAGGTTACATTTGGCAACCACCATCTCAGCATCCGTCAAGAGAGCATTTACTTTCATTCCTATTCAAATATTGTCCAAGCTAATTTTCCTTGCAGCTTAATTAAAAGGAAATTAAACAATAGTACAATTATTTGTTTAAGTAGAGAAATGGATATTTCAAGGTTAACAACTTTTCGTAGCGCATAAAATTACGTCGCACAGTGCACCTGTGGTTGCACTACTCAAATCTTGGGAAACGTCGGAATCGAATTTGATTAAAATCAGTTTTCAGTTTAGAAACTGCTTTAAAACTTATTTTTTACTAGACAGTCATCTATATTCAGATTCTTTGTTCTTTTATTTTCTATGAGAAAATATATTCGTTGGTAACTAGGGGCGTAAACGTCGAACGAAAAGAACGACTCCATGCAGGCTCCTGAAGAAGGTTAGTTTTGAATCAGTTTCAAAACTTTCGCTACCTTGCTTTTCACTAAGTGTATTTCTTGTATCTAAGCGATTTATCTTCTTTGTTATGCATTTGTAGAAGCAAGCTGGCGTTTCGTGCAAGACCGACATCACTTACACTTCGTCCACAATGTATTTGGCTATAAATTCCACAGAGAAATGACAAATTCAATTCGGCCATTGTATCGGTAGACAATATGGAAACTGCGTATCCAGTTACTTAGCCTTTGTCCGCAGTTTTTGCATTATTCATTGTTTGGCAATTAGTGCCCGAGACAAAGGGCAAAGTATGTGGTATTACTATGCGTCTATTTGAGTTGGGCAATAACGTAAATGTAACACTGTAGCTATATGAATGGAAATTACTGAATAACTTAAAGTGGTCTGGCTTTCCGCGCTCGAAAGGCTAAGGTAAAGTTGCTTAGAAACACCAAAAAGAGGAAAATTTCACAAGGTGATTATTCACGGTGCTTTCGAGGCATTTACGTTAGCTTGGTCGATAAAGTGCATTGCTATTAATTCATAGTCAAATTCCTCTGAGAGTTCGAAAACTAATTTGGCTGTCTAGTTCACAGAAGAAGGACATTGTTGTTTACATGAACTGACAGTACACAGAAACTATTTGAATACCTAACCAATCAATGGGCTCGAACACAAAAGCTTTGAAAGTCTTGAATGGTAAAAAATCAAATTGAACAAAAGCGAGACGTCAGTCAACTCCTTGAGCGTCAAGTGAGACACTGCACTATTGCAGTCCAAGGACTGAGACGACAACAGCTTCTTGAATTCAAGGGTCTCTCAAGTGCGAAAATTTCAGTGACCTGGGCATGGCGGAAACTTCGTTCGTAATTCAGCAAACCTTCTCGGACCGGAAGCCTCCTCGCATGCCGAAATGCGCGCGGTGTCGCAACCACGGCAAGGTATCGTGGTTAAAGGGCCACAAGCGATACTGTCCATGGAGGGATTGCAATTGCGCTCAGTGCACCCTGATTGCGGAAAGACAGCGCGTCATGGCAGCGCAAGTCGCGCTCCGTAGGCAACAGACTCAGGAGGAGAGCATGCGAGTCCAACTGACGAAGAAAACACCCGCATTCATAGCACCCCATGTTCCCCCTGTCCCGCAGTTAAACGGTGTTGCAATACACTGCGCAGAGGATAAGGCTCCTGCAGTACTGTACAGGGCAGTTACGCAAGGTAACTTCAATGTTAAGTTAACTAAACACTTTAGGAATTCGTGATTTAGTTGCGATTTTCCGCTCATTTACACATATACATGACTGGCAGGTACAATTTTATAACATGTAGCAAATTGGTATATGTTTGCAGTTTCTTAACTTGTCAATTACACGCCTCCAAGACAAACACAACAGCGTTTCATCTCGGTATGTTTCTTTGCGCTGTTTGCACAAGCGTTATCGTGCGATGACAGGGTGATATTTTGCGGAGAAACCGTCTGACTTTCAAAGTACCCTTTCAACGTCGGAAGAAATCAATTCTCTTTAATATCGATGAGTAGAATATGCACACAAGTTGAGCAGACCATTTAATTAGCCCTTGCTCTTTTCCTATTGTTAGTCAAGGCATTTTATAAAAAAAGCTATATCTTTTCAAGTAAATGAGCAAACCCAAGATATCTATATTAAACTTTGTTTGAATGATTTAAATAAAGGCCCGGCTGTGTTCTTTTCTTGAAACTTGAAAGTTCCAAAAAGAAAACTTCCGACAGAAGGCCTTCGCATCAGAGTCATCCATTGTCCCAAAGAGAAACGAAAAGTTTTGTTTTACGGATGAAAGCTCAACAAAAGGTTCAGGCTGAGCGCTTTTAAAAACATGAAGTATCATTATGCATATTAAGGGCCGTCGGCACTTAAATTTGATAATTTAATTCGTTTTACCATGCCTTTTTATGAATTCTTTCTTTTTTCCTTTTACCAGTTACCTGCCTGAAAAGTCTAAGTTTGCTTCGACAATTTTTCACGTGCATTAACTAAATATTCTTGTAGGTGCAAACGATAGAAATAGTGCATTAAAAGCTTTTCTTGAGATAATTTGTTTCAGATTCGATTTTTTATTTCAGAGGCCAATTTTGTCCGGAACTTCAGTTCTCAAATAAATGAGCTATTATGGATAATCTCGTAAAAGCTTTTCCATCGTACTTAAAATAGATATGTCATAGTGTTTACTTGAAAAAATACAACCTTGATCAAGCATACACATGCAAAAACCGGTATTAAGAAAAACCTGAATGGATCTTTCCCCGAAGTCTCGCCAAGAGGGTGTGGAAAATTGGTTTATAAAAATACGTAACCGTAAGACTAGACTTCATTGAAATAAGTGACATATAAAAAACTAAGGAAACTTTTCGCGGTTACAAAAGATCACGTTCGCTTGTATATAAAAGTTTCTTTCTAATGCTAGTAAAATTCTACAGTGAATATTTTCATTGCCTAGAAACTGGTTCAATCCAGTTGCTTCTCTGAAACGACGTTTTTGTCATGTTATCTAAGCTTCCCCAAATAAAGGATCTTTCCACTGACAAGTAATCGAGTTTGAAAGACGACTGCCCTTTTTAAAGCTCAAATTTCAAAAGTATGGGAAAAAATGTCGATTTTTTGAATAAGTTAGTTCTTACGAACACCATTCGTGCGTGTGTCGATCCCGGAGAAACTAAAACTCCTACTTTCTTTATGTCTTCCATAGACTCTGAAGTTGAATCATGTTTAACACCATCATCAACAGTGTCACTTTGCTCTGAGAGCTAGGGGAAGTTTGGAGATGCCTTTTGAGATGACGTATTAAAAAAATTGATAAAAATTGAACCCTCACTAGGAAATGCATTTCGCGCCTCTCTTTTGTTGGATATTTTATTTTGCGCCGACCCTGGGAACGAAGTTGGAACTGCTCCCGGTTTCGAGCGAATCTGAATCTTTTCATTGCTCTTTTTCCCTCAGAAGCAGAGAGTGAAGTGGTGAGAGACACAAAACAGACAGCTCAGGGGAAGCCCAACGAAACACAAGACCTCAAAATCAAAGAAGAGCCAGTTAGTCCTGTTAGCTTCGAAGAAAATAGATCTTCAGATTCCGAAGAACAAAATCGCAAAAGGTCCTTCAGCGAGGGTGAAAAAGAACGAGAGCAGGAACCCGAGCGTCCAAAAGTACCTCGCCTGTCCCCCCACAGAAAGGAAACTGAGACATTTAGATCATCCCTAGAGCTGCTTCAGCGAATATTCCCTCACCAGAGCAGAGCTATCTTAGAATTAATCCTCGGCGCCTGCGAAGAAGACATCGTCAAGGCCATCGAGTCGCTTCTCCCAGAAAACAGTCTGAGACCTTTTTCATTTCCGCTATCCGTCAGAGGCTTTGGATCAGGGACGCTAATTCCTTGCGACAGCGTTTCCAAGTCAGCGTTCTCGCCCATTGCAAAATCTCCATCTTATGCATATCCGGGAACTCTACCTTTGCAGTCGCCATCTCTGAAAAGCCCGAGTGAAAAAAGCCCGGGTACTCCCAGTGCATTTCAACCGGTCCACCCATGCAGCCCGGCTGAACTAAGCCCATCGCTTCCGGAGAGATTCCAGTTCCCAGTCATGGCGGGGTACTTCTTCAACCGGCCCACGGCACCGTCAGCGCTTAATATCCTGCTGGATTCTCCGCATCAAAGGACTGGGTCAGCTCCACCCTCATCAAGGTTTTGTAGGCATTGTGGGTTTTCAAGCAAAGTTGCGGACAAGTTTTGTAGCGAATGCGGCAAGGCTTTGGAGTAATGAAAATGGACTGAACTGCACATTTGGGGGAATAACTGCTACTTCTTCCTTTCTACTAAAGCCGGACGCAAAGCGAATTAGAAAAAGATTCAAGAATTTCCACAAGGAAGATCGCCGGGTCGTGCCGTCACGGAACAAATGAACCCAAGAATGGAAGAAAAGAACTACTCAGTAGTCTTTCCAATAAAAAATTCATCTCAAGACCTTAAAGTTCGAATTATCTTGTACAGCAAAGAAACCACAGAAAAGTTCAGTGGCTCTATAATTAAAATGGCACACTTGAGTATTTCATCCAGTTTCAACAGTTAAGACCGCGGCTTTGCATAGTGAACGATAGTTTTGCTATTAGGAGTCACTTTAAGTGGCCTCACCTCAGAATCCCATCCACGAATGACATTTATACTTACCTACAAGAGAGAATAGGACTAGCAACAACACTAAAAATTGTTAAGTTTGATTGAGTTGTCACACATCGGACACGTCGGAATCGTTTATCATCGTAAGCAACGCATATTGTGCCGGTTACAGCGGCTAAGCACTTTTAGTGTAGGTTGAGTGACAACACATATATGATTTGTCGCATCACAGTTATTATTATTATTATTATTATTATTATTATTATTACAATAAAAACCCGCATGTAAGAACCTAGAATTTAAGAACCTGTTAGCCTAAAATTATCATTTTAAACCCTCTTTTCATAAGAACCTATTTAGCCTCAAATTTTCAATAGGTTCTTGTTTCACAAACATGATTGCACAGATGAAAATACAGAAAAAAATTTAGTCTAGGTTTCAATCAGTTAAGATAAAGATGAATTTACTGTATGCTTATCATCCAAACTGTATTCTAGTCTATAATTATTTAATACAACAATATATTCCACATCACATATGCCCTGTAGTAGTTATCTGTGCTGATCGTTAGCGCCCCTATCAAATTAAGAACCTATTTAAGAACCTAAGTAGCTTAAAATCCCACTAAATACCACTTCTATAAGAACCTACTCAGGCCAAGTTGGAAAAATCTAGGTTCTTATACGCGGTTTTTTACTGTATAACTTTATTATTATTTTTGCACATCAGTATTGGGAAGAAAAGAAAAAAGTAAATTATTTTAAACACTGCAGTAGTTGAGCCAAGAAGGAAATTTAGAGTGTAAAATGTTAGAAAAAAGTCACCAATTGTAAGAAAAAATGAAGTCGCGATCTTAGCGCAAGGAACTGCAAAGTTATTTTTGGAATATTACCGGAGACAAATTGTGGCATGTGTAAATTACGGATAGAAGGGAGAAAACGAGTTAATTTTATTTTCCTGTTTCTGTTTAAAACCAAGATAAGCCTGGGTACGAACGGACCCTCAGAACTGAAGGAAGGAATGAAATAAAGTTTGCAACAAATCTCATGAAAGGGTTTCTGAAAATATACTCCGAAACATGGATGGTGTACCAGAATCACCGCTGTGATTTCTACAAAATATAATCAAGGGTCACGAACATATCCGGTTGGTGGGTTAACGATCCACGCATAACCTGTTTCCAACCGGCGTGGTGCTGCAATAAGATTCTCGGGAACTCCGCACCTACCCCTCCCCTTTTAACCCGACATTAATACTAAGTTTCCACTTAAGGCAAAATGTTAGATTAGGGGAGGGGTAGGTAGCATTTTTCCAGAATCTAATAATGAGCCAACACTCGCATGCCTCTCTTGCAGTTTTAGAGATTTACCACGTCATAGATGGTTGCGACCAACCACTCTCCCTCAACTGTGCGACCACGAGTTAAGTTCAAAGAAAAAAACACTAATTTCGGTTTTTGAAAAATATAACAATACAAAGAGTACCAATTGATGCCAGTGCTCTAGAGGTTTCATTTTAATAGTCATATACGACTTTGTCAGCAGATCCGAAAGATAGAAACACATTGTACAGCATAATAAACAGGACCACAGGAAAGTACTGCTCTGGCGGCTCATTTTTATACTAAAAAAGTTTGTCCAAAGATGAAAGTAAGAACAGCGTACTTCCTTCCGTAAATGCTCGGCACTGAAAGCGTTACCCATAATAACACCACCAGATCACCAGGATCACCGTTCACAACGTATCTACAAATGGTGTTGTGTAATAAGCCCGCAATGTCCATACGGCAGTGCATGCTTTCAGATTTCAACCACAACCGGCGCACAGTCGTCCGGTTCGCTTTCAAAATCCCAGGTAAATCGCTTTGTTATATGTTTTCGAAATCGGCGCGCCTTTTCAACAAGCCTTTTCTCAACTGTTGTTGAGCTTTCCAAGTTAGAGAAAAACACCTAAAAGAATAAAGGCATCAGCACATCAAAAACGTAATACTAACAGCAGTTTCAGAAAAAAACCGACTGTTTTGCAGTCTTACAGTGGTTTGGAATTAAGTAAAGCATGTCCCTAATAAAACACCACTCGCTAAGGCTTACAAACGAGGCTAGCGCAGACGATTATAGTGGCATTTTGAGAACAAGTACTCGCGACGAAACTATAAAGTAAATTAATGTTAGATGTGCACATTTTGGCCCCAGTTTCAGTCTTGCCAAAAAATCAACAACGTCAAAACTTTCTTTTCTAGACCAACTTATGGCGAGATGATATGCCACTTTAACTTCTCAATCTGCGGACCAAGCCCGATAGCGTTATCCCAGGACCATTCATTATCAAACCTCTGGGGCGGGACTATAGCCGTTTATTTTTTTAGAATTTTTAGAAAAGCTTGTTTGTTTGTTTGATTGATTTTTTTTGGTTGAAATTTTTACTAAAATCTTATAAGGAAAAAAGGGCCAAGGACTTTCGAAAGACTAAACTGGTGCTACAGGGTGGCATCAACATTTAAAAAAAAAATCGCTTTTATGTACCTGTAAAGTTGTGGTGAGAAAATTATTTGTTGACACAATGTCCACAAAGAAATCTTTAGGAATTTCCATCAGTTGAAAATGTAAAACTCCTAGAAAAGCAAAGTAATGCTGGTTTAGTGATAGAGTAACCCTACTGCCTACCGATAGGTAAGTACATTGTCAACTACTTGCGATTAGGGACCTTAACCCTTTAAGTCCCAATAGTGACCAACAGCAATTTTCTCCTTACGATACCCATACATTGTCAAGAGATTAGGTTATGAGAATTAATTAAATGATCACCTAAGAGAAAATACTTTGATCTTTTATCAAATTCTCTCAACTCATTCTTTAAGGAAATGTATGGAGATCAGTTTGGAGAATTTGTATGTGGATATTGGGGCTTAAAGGGTTAAGCAACCACGACAACAACGACAACGACAACGTCAAAAAACAATAGATTTTATGAGCAAAACAACAGCTCTGCACATGCATCACGCTTTTTACTACATTTCTTTGACGTCCACTACACGACCACTAAGTGAATAAGGACTTGAACATACGAGGACGAATGTTCTTTTTCTCTTTTTTTTTAGTCCTTATAAATTCAACTGCAGGAAAAATCGCCTACACTTGAGAAAATTGAGCGGGTACAATAGCCGTGCGCTTGCCGCTGTTTGCCGCCAGTTTTTCAGTTTATATCTTGTGCGTCGCTTCAAGCAGATCTCGACGAAGAATATCCACCCAAAATGCTTTTCTTGTTCAATTGCAAACTTTACTTGAAGTGATGAAATTTTTGTGCAATTTCACTGCTAGAGTTCGTATCAAAACGACTTGTATCGAAACGCCTGATTTCCAATCAGTCGCCACATGTAAGGTAATCCAAGACAGTCTTGGATTCTCGATTCCAGTTTTCAGATACTGAATTGCGGATTCCAATCATTAAGGATTCTGGAATCCTTGAGCTGAATTCCGGATTTGGAGTCACTGTGACCCTTTTTCAGACTGAAAGAAAGTAGTCCAACCCTCTCCCACACTGAATTACAGTAAAACCTTGATATAATGAACCTCTATATAACGAAGTCCTCGGTATATAACGAACGATGTTTCTTTGCCTCAGTAATAGTAAAATATGTGGGAAATAACCTCGATATAACAAAAACTCGTTATAGTGACCTTAGCCCTTTGTTATAACGAGGGTCTACTGCACTGGGAAACACCCATGACAGCTCTGATTCAGGTACCCAGGGGAGGGAGGGTACTTTGGGAAGTTTTGGGTGGGGATGTGCCGCTGGGACCCTGGAACCCTGAGACTATATCAGAGCTAGTTCAGCTGAATTTTGCTACCCTATACTAGACTAAACTCCCCAAATCCCCCTATCCAAGAGTAGCTTTTAGGCTGATTTGTATAAATTTAAACTTGCCGATTTGGCTTTTTTATATTTTTGAGTGGCAGTTCCCGCTTTCCTAGTGTACACTAAAACCTTCAACCAGTTGATCAGTTTCCTGGATGATACCCTATTCTAGACCCAAACTCTGATTTGTATACCCTTTCCCAGCGGAAACTGCTTGAAAACCATACCCTAAGCCTTCACAGCAACACATGCCTATATAGCCCATATATGGCAGTATAAAACCCCCCCGGGATAAGGTACAAAAGCTTTTTACAATACATCAAAGAGCACCCCATCTTCTGTTTCAAACAAGCTTTCTGATGGGACAAAAAAGTGGAGGGTGTCAATCAGTTCTTGTAACCTCCCTATCAGCACTTACCTATGAGAGCATCAAATATGTCACTATACATTGGCAATGCTTCATCACAACTGCACAGCATATTAAGAAGTTTCTTCCAATGCTCAAATGCATCATACACTAGAGAAATGAGACATAAACATTATATCTTTCTTTCTTCATTTGCCACGATTCAAGTAGTCTCCTTCATAACCAGTCTGGCCAGACGATCATGTAATACTCCCTGCCCCCCCAAGGAGAATTTGCATGACTGCAGCCCGAGCAAATGTAAAGGAGACCACCATTCAAGATACATTTGAAATAGCAGGCCCAAGCCGTGACAAAGAGAATACACATCTCAAATGAACCTGATAATTTTAAATGGCCAAGCTCCATACCTGTAACCTCAGTTATTAGGGCATTACCTAAGATAGTGCAGAATCTACAAATAACATTGTGATGATGATGATGATAGAGCGGTTTTCACTTGACTGTCGTAAAACCAAAACCAAAGTAAATATACTAGCCAACCAAAGGGCGTAGTAAAACCAAAACCAAAACCAAAACCAATCCCTTTCGACAGTCAAGTGAAAACCGCTCTAATGATGATGATATCAGTTACTGCATGTCCAACAAAAATTTGCTGTTACTGACAAATCCTACCAGGGGCGGAGCCGGGCGGGACTCCGCATATAAAAGTGACAGGAATGTTCAGTGGAAAATTCAAATTGAACCCCTAATGGAGACCGAAGTGGCTGTACAAGCTTAAACTGACCCCTAGGGAGATTTCCATGTAGTCAGTGTCAGGGCATTTTTTGTAAAGTTCTTTATGCACATTACTGTAAGCGATACCTGAATTGGCAAATATAGTGACTTTCCATCCCAAAACACTCTAAATGAGACAAAAATCTGCAATTTACACCACAAAGCAAGGCGACGAGCATTCCCTGTCACGTTTATGTGGGAGGTCCCCCCCCCCTCCCCCGGGAAATCTTCCTGCAGTTGGAAATGATGGCCAGACAAATCAAATAATCAAGACTATCAATTTCATTGTAGCTGGACATTTTGCAAAGTAATGTATATGTATGTCTAACAAATTTTTTCAACACTGGAATGTTCAACAACAATGATGACCTTGTTTACATTGTAGAAATATGTTCTTTCAAAAACAAACATGGCAGTTTAATGGAATGCCTTTTGCGCTAAATAAATATGTTTTCTTTTTGACTAAGTTGCCTAATGGGTAGCAAACTAAAGATTGAGGCACCTACCTTGACCAACAAGGAAGCACACAAAGGCAAACTGGAGCTCACCCAGAATTTCCTTCCTGTCTTTAAGAAAAAAAGGTTTGTTTCACTTTTAAAGCTGGTTTATTTTGTTGGCATCAAAGTAAGTAGTGGAGTGGTAAGAACATTAAGAGTTTAAAATTAAGTGAAAACAAAAAATTGGAGCTGCAAGCGAAGTCATATTAAGATAGAAAGGATCAGAGTGACCAGAACGAGAATGTTAAATATGGATATTTAATTTTTCCCTGACTCTGCTGTCTCTGTCTCTTATGATGTGGTCAACACTAGCTGGAATGTCAGATTCACTCAGGCAGAAGCCAAACAACTAAACCGATAATCGTCCACTTCCACTACGTCTTGCAACTCATAATATCTTGTTTTCACTTGATCATGTTATTTAAGCTACAAAGCATAAGCCGCAGAGTATAACCTCTATAAAGTTTTACTAAATTTATGCTCAATACTAACTTCTATAACCTACAAAATAATGTGACTGAAACTTCCTGTAAAACTTACAGAAAGAAGGCAAAGTGTCCTTGCCAGTCTCACAAAGCTATAACTTTTCAAAGTGGACTTTTATTCTTCCCCAAAGCACTTAATATTTGCAGTGGGGTGGAAGGGGACCACTTCTTCAAAAACAGGAATATTTCCAGGATTAGGTTTGGCACTCAAACTAGATATTTGATCATGACACATTCTTGGCATTAATTATCATGGCACAAGTCATCATCTTCATTATTCTGTCCGCACTATAAGGCATATAATTTATGAAGGTTGCCATTAGTCCAACCTGCCCTGTTTTGTGACCCTGTTCTGGCCACTCCCATCACAACAGAAAGCTACCAGTTACTCAAACCATCACAGTTAGATAATGACTTCTACATTCTGAGTGAAAGCAGCCCTCAACAATTTAGTAAAATCGCCATTTCTAAAATCAGTTAAATACAACTGATGTATCAAAGGTGTAGACCACCCAACTAGTGCACTGAATCGGCCAAAACAAACTCTTCCCCGACACCTTTTTTACAACAAATGAGTGATTTCTTGTGTGCTGATTGGTCAAGAGCTATGGTTGATAAGAACTAGTATAGACTTTGGAAATGGCATGATGGTGGCTCAATTTGTATTCATTTTCCTCTCACATGTGACTTTCTGATGAGAAATGTCAACGGAAATGAACTTCAAGAACTATCAACATTATGTAAAAAAAAAAATCAACAACAAATTTTTCATTGTCTGTACTCTTATCAATCATAGAAATGATGTCAAAATGTTCGAAACTTTGCAGTGAGACCACTTGCCTATGGCTCTTGGCTTCACTTGAGTTTTGATTATTCTGACGTCATTTCTGTGGTCGATATAAAGAGTGCAGACCATGGAAACCTTTTTTCGATTTGTTTTTGTGAAAATTTTTAAAAACTAACCTTTCATGCTCTTAAATAAGCAACCAAGAACATGACTGCTGTCTATACTGTACTTGCTGATTTCCATGGGTGTTGCTCCCTCTGGGTAATTCTGTCTGGGAAATTCTGTGAATCTAATCACAGTTTCTGGGTCTCGCTGCAGTGACAAAATTGCATCTTTAGATGGAGAACCAGTGTTTCTTGTATGCTGAGGTTCTTGGGGTAGTTCAGTGACAGATGAAATCTTCTTGCATCTGGGCTGAATTCTCTCCAGCAACTCTTTAGTTATGTGATTCGTTAGTGACACCCACTTCTTTAAGTTCTCATGTGGGTAAGGACCAAGAAATCTGTCCATGTCTTGCAGACCTAAATAATTGTATGAGAAAGTAAATAATCTAAATTAACAAAACTTTATAGAACTTTATTGATACTCCCAAAGACACAGTCCAAAATTGATAGAGGCACCATTTGGCAACTTAATGAAAAATTTTTGGTCTCCTTGATTCATTATTTCAAAATTTTCTTTTCTTTCACAACAGCGATGGAAGCATGAGTCAGATTCTGCCAAGCACAGCAGAGGGTCACAGCAAGACACAAGCAACAATGTTACTTCCATGATTAATCTTCAGTTTTCTATTATATAGCAATTAAGATCATTTTCTTTTATCTTCAAAACCCACACTATGTCTGGCTCTGGAAAATACAAACATTTAAGCCTCTTCTTTGTCATCTAGTAACTGATTTAACTAACTTTTGGCAGATTAAAAAGCACCACGAAAAGTGACGTTAATAAAATTAATCTTCATAATTTATAAGGAAGAAAGCACCTGTATTGAAACACCTGTAATGTGCCTTTCACAAGGTAATGTAAGTGAGAGATATCTGCTGTAAACAATACAGTGGCCACAAACATGCAGCCATGCATCAGTTCTGAGCATGACAAAACAAATAACTGTCATGTGAAGTTAGAGGGATAAAATGTAAGTCGAGTTTGAACAAAAACAGAAGATCATCCAATTTTCAGTCACCCACTGACGACTAGCCTTGAAATTCTGGTCGCCAGCTTTCAATTTCTAGGTGCATTGAAAGAGATAGATTCCAATAGTACTGGGACGAAACTGTCAGCTTTTATAGCCTGTGCATGCAAGAAGAATGGGTACCCTAAAAAGTTTAATGACAGACAAGAAACCAGAATTGCTCTTGTGAGAAAAAACATTGTTTTTTTGTAGTTTGTGATAATTGAGTTCACATCGTCTACAACAGCTATTAAATGAGCAACAGTTGAGCAAACACTGGTGTTACAGTAGAACCCATAGTAAGTAGCCACACTCTATATGGCAGGCTAAAGTAATTGTCAGTAAATATTTTCGTGGTAAAATCTTGAGTTTTTTGGGTATTCACAACAATCTGGAAAGTGGTGTACATGACTTTAGTACTGATCCTGCGTATGCCAGCCGTAGATGCTAAAAGTGTGTAAATTCAATTTCCATTTTATATTTCCTGTGTTGTATGATCTTTCATGACAGTTTTTTTTAGGATTGGAAATTCAGAATAGGAATTTTGGGTCCAGGGATTTTTGGGGGGTTTCATTAGAAGCCCTGCAGATATTTTTGTGTTCTGATTTTTCCCCCCTTATGATCATCCCTGTCACTTTAACTGTGGAGAAACCAATTGGAGAACACACCCATGATTCAGTGTTTGACATTTGCAGGAGGCAGATTGTTGACTGTAAATTGAAAATTGGGTGTCACTAAAAATACTGTAATCAAGGTGACATCATCAGCAAAGATCATCTCATTTCCAGGCATCTACGAAAATGTAAGAAAGTATAGCTTTAGAACGTTAATATTTCTTAGGCAAACTTCCACGGCATTGTCCACAAAATGCTGCTGGCTTATCTTCACCAACCTATACTAGAAATACGTTATGGCAAAATCCTTGTGAAGCTTTAAAGGATCAGTAGTGAGAATAAAGGGAAACAAGCGAAAGGGAAAAAATGATCAAAAAACGAAAAGAAAGAAATGTACAAAGTTTAAAAAAGAATGACTTAGCCGGAATTTGAACTTGCAACCTCCAAATCTGCTAGAAGGGAGGATTGACCCTTGACCACTGTGCCACGTCCACGCAGCGACTGAACAACAGGGAGGTTAAAATTATTATACTTAAAACATTTTTCTCTGCCATGAATGCTGTTTGAAGTTGGTGGAGCTGTATTTATCATGAGTTCAAAGATACATTTGAGGAAAACTAGCTTAAAAGCGTATTTCAAAGCCATTTAATTTGCATTATTTTGGTCTTAATTCACTCTGGGGTTTGACGGCGGATGGATGGATGGAGCTGAAACCAGTCTTTGATCACATCGATTGGCGGGAAAGAACTAATTCATTGTTGGTTTGCCTCAGTGTAACATGAATTCAAAGGTGTACACAGATTTTTGGGAAAAGCAAGGTTTTCACAGTAAAAAGCCGACGTAAAACACATTTTTGAATAAAAGATGATAGTGTTCCACAGCATTTGCATTTGCACTTGAAGTAGCATTGCCTGGCAACCTTAAAATGTACCCTGACGTCACAACTGGATGACGTCAACTGCGGACAGCCAAGAGATCTATAGAAATATTCACAACTCAAATTTCTGCCTTGCTGTGCAATCAACTCATGCATGCTTACAACAAATTTATACACCTTGCGAAGGCGCCTTGCTGTGCTCAGAATCAACTCATACCAACACTTGTGATGGCTTCACATATCCGAGGAGAATTGTTTGTTCTTTTTTCATAGGTTATTGTTGTTAATAGATAATGACAAATTGCCAGCTAGTTTGATATTGTACATACACAGTGGACTGACCTATAATAAATTATTGTCTAGTTGGTTATCTTGTCTGTTGCAGGAAACAACTCTGACAGGTCAAGGATACTCTTATGACACATTTCAAATAATGAAAATATTTCCTCAAACATCTTGGTAGTATTATCAAAGGGAAGATAAAAGTCAAAACACAATTACCTAAAACAAATAAACAAATCATACACTAGCCTGCGTGGCAGGGAAGGGGAAGGGAATTAGGGCACCCTTTCCTTTCTCCCTCGCACGCCCCACGTGCTCTGATGCGCCCAAATTCCCCTTCCCCTTCCCCTTTTAACGCCCGCCACACAGGGTAATCATACATAGAATCTTATACTGCTACTTAACAGTGAAAGATGAAACAGTCGAATCATTAGGAACAAGGCTCCTGTTAACGTTTCCTGTTGCTATGGATTCACAGGTGAACAACATATGTGCAGACTGTACTACTCATCTCTCTCTATACAAGTCGATGAAGAACAGCCAAAAGCATTTTGGGAATGCAGCCAATGTAATTTGGGGTTGGAAATATTAATCTTGCTCCCAGACTACTTTCTCAGTTTCTTAGAAGCATGGGAATGAGATGAGACTATAGATGACATCACTTTTATAAGGAAATTTTGACATCAGTCAATGTTCAGTCTTGACATTCAATTTCAACTTGTGCTGGGATTACCTAATTTAACTATGAATTCAAAGGAAAAACCAAAAGGATTCTGGTTGTAGTAGTTAAATGACACCATCATGCAAATGCCTTTTAACAGTCTGCAATCTATGGTCTGTGATCTGTAGTCTTCAGTCTTTTTATGTCATACACCACCCTTATGACGGGTGTTACAAAAACTAAGACCTTCGAAAACTAAGACCTAGAACCTAAGACCCGTCTTCGTTTTCGAGATTACAAAAACTAAGACCCCCTAAAATCGAATCCCTCGAAATATGAAGTCAAATTGTCATCGAAATAGGTCTAATCTGTCAAATTAGCCGTGGTCACACTACAGACTTTTACCTAGGTAAAACCGATTTACCTAGGGCAAATTCATCAAAAATCTGCCTAGGTAAATTCATCTCAGGTTTTGTTTTACCTAGGTAAAAATTCTGGGAAGGTCACACTACTGATATCGGATCCCAAAGTTTTCACGCCAGTTGAATTTTTTGGAGTGTAAATTCAAGAAGGCAAAATGCACAGGGATCTAGCTGATCAAAGAGACGTTTTTTTCTTTTATCTCGCTGTTATTTCTTACGCTAATTCAACGTGCAAGGTGAAGAAAGGCGAAGACGTAGACGACTCGTGCTCCCAAAATTTCTTTCACGGCGTGATCTATGTCCGGTTCTGTCATCAAAGACCTTCGCCGATGAGCGTCTATTGGCTAGCAACCTCGGCATTTCATTTTTCCCTAGCTATTGCTTTGGGGTAGCTGTCAAGGGAAACTCTATTGTTTTCGAGACATATCCAAGACCCAGACGATAAAATTTCCCCGAGGTAAGTTACCTAAGGAAAAATCGGTCACACTTAAAAAATCAAGTTTCCCTAGGTAAACTGTCAACAAGTCGTGTTTACCTAGGTAAAAAGTCTGTAGTGTGACCAAAGCTATTATCTTCTGTCCGATTCTTTCCACAGAGTTTTAGGTCGAATTTAAGGGTAGATTTTAGGGGTCTTAGTTTTCGTAATTTTGAAAACAAAGACCCCTCTTAGTTTTCGTTATTACGTTAACTAAGACCCCTTAAAAACCGGTCCATAATATACATATATGAAGCTGAATTACGACTGTTCAAAGACTATAGGCCGTAAAACAACCAAAAACTATCATCCACGTGCTGACGATCTGCTTCTTCTAAAATTTGCAGACATATCAGTATTGAGGCTTTTAAAAGAGGACGAAAAGCCATAATTGTACACTGAAAATATGCCTTACCCCGCCAATTGGTCTATAATGTTGGTTGTTTATCCTTAAAAATCGTAAAATTGGCTTTCCACATGCTGGAGATGGATTTTTGCCTTTGTGTCTCTGCGGGACTGTCCCTGCGACCATGATTGCATTACCTAAAAAATCACCAAAGGGGTGATTTGTTTTGATTGTTTGTTTATTATATTCTTTCTGCAATAATTATTAAAACGCAAAATTTTCGAGATGATGCCTTGCTAGTTTAGGAAATTTATTCATTCATTCGTTGTTTATTAAATGAGTGATTTTAGCCAGTGTCCCTCACAGGCGATTTCTCCTTGCCCCCAACATACCCCTCAACTACCCGTTACATTGCAACTTTTCACCTTGTTTCCGATGATCTCTGGGGTGCGAATGATTAAAATGAACTGTTAAAAAACGCAATGTAGTATATACTCTTTCATTCGCCCTTTCTAAGAAAGCATTTCTCTGGCTATGGCCTGGCCAGAAAAGGAAAAAAAAAAACAGCATTTTTGTGTGACTAATTGACCACTTGACGACCGGAAGCGATTATGATATATTCAGGCAACGAAGGCAAAAATCCATCTCCAGTGGAAAGCAAATTTTACGATTTTTAAGGATAAACAACTAAAATTAGAGACCAATTGGCGGGGTAGGCATACTTTCAGTGTACAATATTATTATACACAGGTAATGGCTTTCATCCTCTGTTTTCTGCCAAATAATTAGAAGAAGCGGATCGTCAGAATGCGGATCGTCAGAACACGGAGGATAGTTTTTGGTTGTTTTACTGATTATAGTCTTTGAACGGTCGTAATTCGAACTCATATATATTTTACGGATTGGTTTTTTAGGGGGTCTTAGTTTTCGTAATAACAAAAACTAAGAGGGGTCTTTGTTTTCGAAATTACGAAAACTAAGACCCCTAAATTTACCATTAAATTTGACCTAAAACTCTGCGGAAAGAATCGGACAGAAGATAATTTGACAGATTAGACCTATTTCGATTACAATTTGACTTCATATTTCGAAGGATTCGATTTTAAGGGGTCTTAGTTTTCATAATCTCGAAAACTAAGACGGGTCTTAGGTCTTAGTTCTCGTAACACCCCCCTAATGACAGTCTAATGGGCATGTACTGGTATTTGTTCATCAGAGGCCATGCTGAATATTGTTTGGATTCGGCCTCCTCCATTTTACTAAGGTTATGGCAATTCTTGTCTCTTTCCCAAGAAACGAAAGAACGTCCAAAACCCTTTATGTACACCTTATTGCAATAACGTTGTCATAGAAAAAAAGCAAAAAACAAAAAAGCCAAATAGGAATTAATTAGCCATTTGATTTACATTTGCGTATTTTAATTCAGTATTTAACAATTATTTAAGAATTCATTTTAAAATGGTAAGATAGATAGGCATAGTCATTTTAGAGCCAACATTCTAGTCCATCAAAAAAAAATGTTTCATGTCTCAGTTGTTGTTCAGTTGCCAATCTTTTATGTCCTGACAAACAAAGCTTGGTTTGTGGCTCAGGTGAATGGCGGAAGACCCCTCACCCTCTCCACAATGAATAGGGATTTGTTCTTGAAAATTTGATCAGATGGTGTTTGCACTGAAGACTGGCTTTTCTATTTAGCACTAATCTAAAACACGCGTTGAGTTCCTGAAAATTTACCCCAGGCTATATTTAAAAAAAAAAATGGAGCCATTATTTCTTTTTTAGTTATCCGATGTGCTTTGTAATTAGGAAGCGCAGTTTGAAACTAGCAAGATGATTCAGCCAAAATTGCATGAAAATTAAGAAACTGATGCAAATGATTTCTCTCATAAACGTGATTAATATTCAGCTGTAAAATTGACGTGAATGTTGCAAGCTATCATAATTACATGCTAATTAATTTATTTAAATTTTTTTCTTTTCCCAAGAAACGAAAGAATGTCCAAAACCCTTTATGTATATCCAACACAAAAACGTAAGATACCTTGGCGATATCTGTCGATTTCTTCCTCATTAGTTGCTTTCTCCACTAAGTCCTCAGTAGCAGTGCTCCATTTTAGCACCATGATATCTCGTCGGCTAGTGTACAAAAAAAGACCAGTCCTGGGAGCAGTTTGCCCTGCTCTGTTAACAGCACTATAATAAATAAAATGGAGTCCAGGAGGTATCATCTTCACTCCTTTAAACCGTGGACCAACGTTCCACGAGAAGTAATCAATGCCAAATTCTGTTCCTTCGGGAACATCCAAAACTATCAAAGTTGCTCCCTCTGCGTGCAGGCGTTTTGCAACTTCAGGGTCCATTTGTGAGTTCTTATTAATACAAAGACTTATGCACAATATTGAACAAACATATATTCTACTAGGGCACGTTTTTCTTTGGCAAGTTCTTCATACTTATAACGTCAAGCGAACGAAGTCGACCGCCATATTGAACGAGCTGGTTTTAGTACCCAGTCTCTCTCCAAAGTTGTGTAAATTTCCTGCTTTTTGAAAATGTACATTACATCTGTTTTCAATTACACCGTAAAAATGTCCGAAAGCGCTATACACGGGATAAATCTTCCTTCAACAGAGAAATCTTCTTACAAAGGCATGCAAAATGCAAAATCTAGATGGATCAAAATCTTTAGAAAAATATGCAAAAAAGGTTCATATAATATTTATTTGTGTATAACAATTTATTTCCTCTCAATCTTGATTTTTAAAATCTGAGCTACAAAACTCACGGAAATAATGCTAATACTGTGTTTTCGTTGCAAATGACATAAGTATCAATAGTGATAACTATAAATTATATAATATATATAAATACATTGAATAGTCATTGCCTCGAATGTTGTTTGTTTCTAACTAATACAAAGTTTCAAACTTTAAATTTTCTTCATTCTTCAGGATCCAGTCCTTTAAAGGAGTTCATTTTTTCAAAACAGACACTGAGATACTAAGCTATATACAATACTTTTCAGCTGAAAAGGATCTACTGTCACCGTATTAATGTAGAAAAACATAGTGCACATTTTTTACAACCGAGGATCAAATTATAGTTAAGTTTGTTTTTGACATCCACGAACAAAAGTCTTGATTTATACAAAACAGTTGATGGTAAACATGGATCATGTTGTTTTGTAGAAGGTTTTGAAAGTAAACTGCAGCTGGAGTAGTCATGACCAAGAAACACAGATCCATTTACCATCCAAGAAAAGATGGTGATTTAACATTATCATAATGCATGTATCAATAATATTATTAATCTTTAACTGGCAACAATTTATTACAATTACAAAAACAATATCTGGATCACTGCATACTCTGTCACTGGTGACAACCCTTTGTTGGCACTTAAATGCAAAATGCATTTATTTACAATGTGCATCATAATGCAAATGTTTCATTAATGGCATTCAAAATGTTCCTAGTATACTGATCTATAATATTACATCTATCTTTATCAGAGGGATTAGTTTAGAATGACAACATAGAGAAAGCCCAAAATAACCAGTTTATGAAGATATTTGTGGAGACTTCAGATCGACAAAAGTGACAAGTACAATTAGCTGTTAATACAAGAAATAAAAATAGCAATATCTGCACAAATGGCGGACAATATTTGGCCTGCTGCCTGACAGCATGTGAGCATAACTACATGTACCTCTCATCATTGATGCTGAGATTGACCTCACACATTAATCAATCACTGGTGAAAAAAAAACAGTTTCACATTTTCTGTCAGTGAAGTTATATACAGCATATAAGCGGTAGCTAAAGTACAGGATATTCTGGCCTGAATGGATGAATTTTGTAATTTCCTTAAAACAAACAAAAACAAAAACAGCAAAACAAGAAAGATCTATAGATGTTCAAACACTGTCTAATTCATTAAATGAGACAACAAAGGTAGTTATGCTCCCAGCCTTTCAATTTATTACTAAACTTATGCAATTACCACCAGATCATAAAAGGCCTTATTTAGACGAGTTGTTTTTTATTGTTGAAATTGGTAAAATTTTAAAATAAATATCATAAATTAATGATTGGCTGGATTTAGTTTCCAGTACAGTTCAGGTCAAAATTAGTCAATGTACCTCCACATTTTTAAGGGATGTAGTATTTTACCCAGGGGAATTTGACATGCTAAAGATATGTTAAGGTAGAGGTTAAAAAAACATCATTAATTTTTTTGTAGGAACTGAAACATGGACTTGATAAAAAAAGAAACATAGATCTTAAGGCAAAAGTAATTTTTGCATCATTTTTAGTGGTTGTTTTATGGATAATATCTATATGTCACTACATTGACAGTATTCCTCAGTTCTTGAGGAACTAGAATATATCAAAATAAACTATGTTATGTCACCCAAAAGGTGTTAATTTAATTACCCCCTAGGGTGACACGGAAAGAGAAAAATCAAAATTTCACAAGAATCCTTAGAGTTATTGTTGAAAAAGAAATGTAACACAAATAAGGACGTAAGATAGAATAATTCTGTGTTTGACTACGACACAGCTCCAATTAATCCAGCCTCTAGGGCACAATTTGCTATTTTGTAATTTGACCCATATTTTGACATCAATAACTCAGCTGTACGGTAATTCTAACCTTTAGTCAAACACAGATCTGTTCATTAACATGCTCTTTGTGTATTTGCCAAATTTCACAAAGAAATAATGATCCATTCCTCCAAAAAACTGGTTCCCGTAAGTCAAGGTAAATCGGTCACGCGGTAATTAACGCTTTTCCAGTGTGAAAAAGCTTATTTTCTTCTCAAAATCAACTGTTTTTCCTCGATACTACCATCACAGACCTTCTTGCCCGCCATTTTGAATCACCGCTGTGTAAAATGCTCGTGGAAGCCTTAGAAAATGCCAAATGACCTCTCTATAGCCCCCTTGGATTTTGATACGTGACCAGTTGCTAGGTGTGACGTATTTCCGGAAGATGCGTTACTCAGTGTCAGCTTTAATGCAGTGAAGCGCGCCGAAGTATGAAGATTGAAGAAGAGTTTTATTCAAAATTGAAAAGAATTGCTTCTGTAAAGTGAAAGAAATTGGCAGAAAAACAGACCAGAGGATTAGAGGCCAAGAAAACGTTTTACTCTCCCGGCAAAATTGTCAGAATATATCAGGTGGGAAGACACACCGATGTAATGTAAATTTAAAACAATATTAAGCCCTGGAAAATGGAGTATATTTCAAGAACATAACGAATTTTGACAAGAAGCAAGTAATATTAGTCATCACAGCTTTAACAGAAGGAAGAAAAAAATCAAGTTGGAAAGCGGCTGTAGTTTTTAAGCAGTGAATAGATTTTTTCAGCGCATCCTTGATGCTGGAAAAGAGTGATCAGAATCAAATTTTGAGTGCAAAATAAAATGTTTTTATATTCCAGATATATCATATCAACTTTGTAAAACAGATTGCTGATGAAAATTTAGGACAAGATCTCATAATATGAATTAACTTCAACAAATTCTCCCAAATTCCTTCTATGGGAAACATATAGGAATAGTGCAACTTATTCTTTTCAGCTGAGTTTTTATGGTTGTCTGAAGGACAGATGATTTTTACAAAGAAATTGTAAACATCTGGCTATTTCTATACAATGTTGACTTGGAACAATGAGAATTTATAATACTACTACCTATACATGCAATTTGTTGATAACCTTGCCAAGTGTATTTTCAGGACTGGGCAAAAGACTCTCCATTCTGATAAGCAAGCGTTCCACTGTAATGGTTTCTCCACTGTTTCCAATGGCCACATGCTCAATTCGGGGACTGCATAACTTTACCTCTCTGAGGTGTGTACATTTTTCTCTTAGCTCCTGAACTAAGTCCCCATCAGTGTCATCAATGAGCTTAAAATTGATCAGGGACACAGCCTCTATGAGGGGACACATTTTGATCAAATTAGGTACCAGGGGGCTCTCTGAAAGAGCCTCCTTTCGAAGAGGTCCAAACTCCAAAATCCTCAATTTGGAAACAAATTTAAACATTTCTGCAATGACTGACGGAGGTACCCTCGGGGAGTGACTCACCCCCAAGTACCTCAAGGAGGGGGACTGTTGCAGAACGCCCTCCAAACATTCCGCAGACAGGAGAAAGTTCCACCGGAGATCCAGAGTTTCTAGACATTTGTACGCCAATGTCGGCCTTACTTCTTGATAGATTCTCAAGTGAAGAATGTGCCGAAATCCGCATTGGTTCATTTTGAAGTAACGAATGTCCGGCAACCGAGAAATCACGTTGGAAAGTCCGGTTGTGGTCACGAAATAACATCCTGTTAAATCGAGTTCCTTCACCGCCGTTCTTTCCCAGTTTACCGCCATCAATGCTTCATCTGTTATCTTAGTAAAGCGAATAAGAAGCGTAGAAACTAATCTACAGTTGTTGAGGACCCGATAGAGGTACTTGCCTCGGTAGTTTTTACATTCGTTCAAGCAAATCGATTCCAAATGCGGGCAGTTCACGGAGATCTTGAGAAGTGCGTCATCGGTCAAAGTCTCGCAATCTGTGCAATCCAAAATCCTTAAGTTTCTCATTTTAGCGAAAACATCAGGCACAAGACTTTCTGATGAGTCCATTCCCAACCCTACGTATCTCATTTGAGTAAAATGCCTCGGTAATCGCCTCATAAACTTGAAATTTCCCCACGAGTAGCGCAAGTCCATCAACTCCAAACCCGTTGGGAAGTCGCGTATTCCTTCGTGGCTCGTTTCGCTCTCAACTTCAGCTCCATAAAAGACCAAACTGCGCAGCTGATAGCACCTTTTTGCAAGCTCTTTTGCAACCTTTGCCGTGAGTGTACAGCCTCCCAGATTTAATGCTTTTGCCGAAGATAGGCGCGTCCGGATCAACATCAACAAAGTCTCCTCATCGATCGCAGGCCAGAAATCATTCATGTCAACAACGAACCAAAGCGAGCGATCGTAAGCTATGCGTCTCCAGCGCCAGCAAACTTGGGCCACAACACCAAGTTCTCTTTTAGTTAGGTAACTAAAAACCTCAAGAATAACGGAGTCAGGTATTTGTTTCTCCATTTTTGCAAAAGTACGCTACGGTCGATTGTGGTCTCGCAGCTGGCGTTGTAACTTTCACCACGCGCGGAAAAAAATTGCGTGCTACAAGCTTTCAACCAAACGTACTGAATTCGCGTTCCTGTATCGCGATCGAAGTTCCCGTTGCAAGCTTACGCCATATACAAACCACAAAAACAAAGATGGTCGGAACTGAGAACACATTTTTCGCACGAAAGGCTATCCATGCTTCTACCACCGGATCGCACTATCACCAAACACTAAACTCATTATGAAAAGCTCTTTACATTATTGTTTCGCCGGATGAGCGACCAATGCCCACTTGTTTCTGAGCGCTGATTGGAGATGAGGTGTGACGTCACGTGTAATAAACAAAAGAAGCTATTTCGAGACAATAATCGCCTTTGAAACCCCGCGTCACGCGCGCGATATGGAACGCGAAAAACGCTTGAAAGCTGCTTGGGAGCGTCGCGTCGCTCAAACCAAACCCTTTCCACTATTAAACAAAGTAAATTCAAATGACATTCGTGTGATTTTATTACACCCCTTGATCTTGCCTCATTCCAATGATTTGAATGTAATGAAATTTATTGCAAGAGGCTAATAAATGCAGATACAGGAAATAATTACTCGGTGGACGGCACTAGCCATTAAATGAAAGTGGCTTTGGCGAGTGGGCATATGCTTACCGAAGAAAACCACTTAAAGGAGTGTTTTTACCCTTTTTTTAACAACATTTTTTACCTAGATTTATTCAAAACAAGACCCTCTCTTTAAGATCAAAGCAGAAGCTCTGAACATTTTTTTGTCATTTCCTTTCATGGTGATATTTTGCTAAGAGGCTCATATCGATTGTTAGTTTGACAGTAATAATGATTCGAAATATATTATTTATGTTCGGCTTTTTTCACACAAATATTTGACCATGTTTGCATACGCCTCGACTCCATTTCTCCCACTCAACTGAAGTAAGAGTTCAAAACTCGCGAAGAGTTTCCTCTTTCTATCTAAACGCATCATAGTCGATTTTCGCTTCCCGGGTACGTGGAAATTGACTTGTGACCCCGAGTCAGTGTTGTTTCATTTCACGAGTCAGCACGTGAGCTAGCTAACGTGAACGCTGAATTGCGCTAAATCAGTATTACTTTCGTAATTTGGAAATTCCAATCGTTTTGAACTACGAACAGGAAATTAACCGACACTGAGCTTGCATGCCGCAAAACAGAAGCCAAGGAGAAGTACCCCTGAATCCGTGAATCCGGCTACATGACCGAGACACACAAAGAGGTTCTCCGCACATTGAAGAATTTGCATACACAATCAAACGCCAAAATCCTGCTCTTAGCGTCAGTAACTGCTTTGAAAAGAAATCTATAGAATCAATATGCATTTACCGAGCAATACAGATCAATTCTAGGCGGTTCAGACACCAGGTTTCGATTTGCCGACCCGGCCCTTATTCGAGACACTTTGAAACAACGCTGCTATACAGTACACTGTGCATCTATCAGGGGCACCCAAACCACGATCTCCTCCTAACTGACGATTACATTGAAAACAATTTTAGGCTTTCCACAGTACTTTTTGATCTCTATGTATTCTAGGCATATGTATCTGCTCGGCCGGTGATCCTAGCGGAACTTGAGTCTTTTCGAAATATGAAGGGTTTTCGTATTATTTTCCCGAAGACTGATTTTAGATGGAATTTAACGTATTACAAAAGTGAGAATTTTACTGATTTCTTTGTCCATCAAATTTTTAAATCCGAAATTTTTTTTAAGGAGTGAAATGTGAAAAATTAAACTTAAGAAAACCGTAGCGGATTTGTTAGACGAGCTTCGCAAAATTGTGGCTTGGAACGCCACCTAGGACATCTAGAAATTTTCAGCCGTCCTCAAGTAATGGAAAAGTTTCGGCAACATCTGCTTCTCCGTACAGATATTTTACAGAACAAAGTCATTGGGTGCTCCTGATCTGTAAGTTATCACTGCGTAAGATAAAACAGTATTTCTCGCAAAACCAAAACATGTGTGGACTCCTTTTAAATTTTAGCCTGCGAAATTTCAGTCTCATGAAGTCGAATGAGGAATCGGGGTCTAATTCTTAATTTGATTATTTGCCTGTTAGTTGAGTCATGTGAACCATATGGTTCGATAAAGATTCGTTTCAGTTTGCCGTGCTGAAAGAGCATAGCACTAGAAAGGCTCGCCCTAATTTTCTCCAAAAATGGACTTGCCAGTAATAAAAACATATTGCAAATGAAGTCTTAGGTGCACTGAGCGTGCATAGAACGACCTACGAATTCTGAAACAAAACTGCAGTGCGGAGGCTAAGAGGTACTCACTGGGTCACATATTCTGTCAATGGGGATTCTCTATTCGGCCATATAATCATTTTCCGTTAATCATCATAACAATTTATTGACTAACAGACAAGCACATCAATCCTATAATTTTATGCCCGCCACTAGGAAAGTCCTGCTCAGGTTAAGTTCACGGTCTGAAAGGGATATTCAGTCACCTTCCATTGGAGATACGAGGTGTTTCAATTCGTCCCTTTCAATTTGATCATTGTCAGCGTAAAATCGGCCTTGCTTCTTTTAGAAAATTAGATATTCTTTATTGATTTACTTAGTTATCAGAGATTCAAACATTTCTTCTGCTTTTGAACAAGCATTTTTTGCGATGTTTTAAGTCCTTTCAGGACCGTTCAAGCAATTCACTGGATTCAGATGATCTCGTCCCAGTCAATTTACCCGGCGACAATGTCGCACATGAACCATTACTTATGTCGGCTTGTCTCTATCCAAAGATCCCTTTCGAATCTAAGCTTAGATAGATAATAGAGAAAATCGAAGTAACAAAAGACCTCATAAACAGAAGGTCAACCGGCTTTTAACCTTTTAAAGATATTATTATAAGAATTCTGAACATAGGTGCGAGTGAAATTCTTGGCGGGCTCTCAATCGTGGGCGTTTCAGTTCTCCGGTAGTTTGTTTCTTACCCGTTGCAGTTTAACGAGCATCTTCGCCTGCTGCTTCGAAGTTCCTTGATTTAGTGACGCACGTACGTCGGCTCTTATTGGCCCGTCTTATTCCCGGCAACTGCATGGCAATATAGGATTCCGGTTTATTTATGAACGTGATTAAGCAAACGCATACGACATAATTAGTATGGTCAGCCTACTCTTTTTCAAACGCTGAACACGTGAAAACCCGTAAAAATATTACGAAATAGTTTTATCTAGAACCTCTAGTGGTTTAGTTTTCTGGGTTAGCGTTAGCTCGAGCATCGAAAACACACTTAAAATCTTAAGTGCCGATCAAACAACTGTACTGAGCGGCGAGTGATCCAAATACCATAGAATAGACGGCGAAACAAAAAAACAGACAATCGGCGCCAAGCGGGAAAAAGGCGCAGCCGTGGTTTTGCTCACGAATCACGAGAGATTGTTGCTCCCTGTAGAATTAAAAGAATGGATATCTGATAGTTAGGGTAGAAGGGGGGAAAAGGCGGGAACGAAATCCCATGTTTTCTGTGGAGTTAATACGTTACTGAAGAGATAACAGAAGAAAGAAAACGATATTGCGGACAGTAACGAAGGTAAATATCAAATATTGACTTCCTTGTTGCCACATAAACTTTTTTCCCTAAAAAGATAAAAACATAAAGGAACCATCAAGGTGGAAAATTTGTGCTAATTTGGTGATATTTTGAAAGTATGCAGGAGTATGTTTAAAATTTCGCGGGAAATACACGCTGTCATGACAACTGAGCCAGCGATCAAAGTGCGGAACAGTGTGGGAAAAAAACAAGATGGCGGGCACGGGAACGATGCAGATGGACCCATTGTTTTTAGCGATGAGCTTCTATCGGCGAAGAAAATTCGAAGAATGCGCAGAAGTTTGCACACAATTGCTAAAGAAGAACCCGTACGACCAGGTATTCTATTTTCATGGAGATCAGACAAAAATGTGATGATTTTCCCCCTGTCATTTCTTCAGTTGTTTGCCGTTACTCAATGGCAATGCAACTTTCGGCAGAGACGTTTGGTATTTTGGCATCTTATTATTAAAGGATATTTTTTTCTCCTTTAGAAGATTAAAAATTCACTTTCTGTCTATTTTTTGTTTGATCAGGCGTCATGGTGTTTGAAAACACGAGCACTCACAGAGCAAGTCTACGTCGATGAAGTTGATGTCGATGAAGAAGGAATTGCTGAAATGTTGATGGACGACAACGCTGTTGCCCAGTTACCGCGTCAGTAAAACAGTTTTGGCGCTTTATATTAGTTTTTCTTTTAACCCTAGAAGCGATAAACAAAATATTTTCCCTCCCCCTTGGGCAAGCAAAAATGTCCCATAAAGATTACCGTATTGAAGAAAAATTTGGAAAAACAGAGAGGGGTAAAAAAAGGTTAGATCATAGTATTTGTTTCCAACCATGCATTTCACCAGAGAGGTATGAGACACTAGAATTCAGTTTTCTAATATTCGGGATCTGCCCACAAACATCTTAATAAATTATTTGCTAAACAATATTGTTGTTCTTATTCCTGCTGAGAGGAATGGGGAGCAATTTAATTTATTCTTAATATAAATTTATTATAGCATGTAATCTGACCTAGTACATTGAGAAACTGTGTGTTAGCTTGTCAAGTGTTAAGTGGGTTTATAAAATGCATGGATTGGAAACACTCATGAAAATCCTCATACCAGCAATTTGTAGGATATTTGCCATTTTTAGAATTATGAGCAGGAAACTGGAGGCAGCGTGACTGAGTGGTCAGGGTGTGGGAATCACAATCCAGTGGTCCCGGGTTTGATTCCCACTCTGGCCACTTGCTGGTTTTGTTCTAGGTTGTCCTGAGTTCAAATCGTCAGCCACGCTTGTAAATAGGCAACTGGTGCCGCCTCCCACTAGTTGGGGTTTTTAGTCCTGCAATGATCTATTTGCATCATTTGCTTTATTACTTGAGTGGAGGGCCTATAAACTAGATGGATAAGCAAAAGTGCACTTTCCACTTTAAACAAACCTTTAATCTTTAACCTTTTAACCCTTTAAGTCCCAATAGTGACCAAAAGCAGTTTTCTAACGATATCCATATATTGACATGAGATGAGGTTATGAGAATTAATAAAATGTTCACCAAAGAGAAAATACTTTGATCGTTTATCAAATTCTCTTAACTAATTCTTAAAGGAAATGTATAGAGATCAGTTTAGAGAATTTGTATGTGGATATTGGGGCTTAAAGGGTTAACTGGGCTGAGATAACTGGAACTGTTACTAGGAATGGGGAAAAAAGTTGGCCATAAGCTGACTGGCGCGTCCCCAGTAACAAACCCAGGAGCAATTGCAGGATGCTTTTCAGCTCCAGTTCTCTTCTTATTTGTAATGTGATAAATACCTTAAATACTCTTTAATAGCTAAAAATGTTAATACATGTAAGCATTCCCCTTTAACACACGTTTATCTTCAGTGAATATAGCTTCACAAAATACACATGTTGAGAGCGATCAACCAATCTTTGCATCCTACGGGATGCACGTGCCATGAACTATTTTGCATCTTTAAGGATTTTTATGTGTCAGGGATGTAGGATGCGGAGGTAACAAAATCACCGATATTACATGAAGTGACAGCTTTTTGCAAGGAGGTGTGCCTATAGAAAAGATTTATAAAGAATGCTCTCTAATCATAACTGTACTAATTATGATGAATGATTGTCAAACAGGTCCTGGGACATCATTAAAGAAACCGGGGACAAGTACAGGACATGGAGCCCCAACTCCAGGAGTCAGGTAAATTACTAAAGTGTTTACACCAGGGTTCTCAATAGATTTTTAAGTAGGAGGTGATCACTGATAAAGTAGGAGGCTCTTCAGCAAAGCCAGAGGTGTGAAAACAAAGCAAAGAAAAGCGACTTAAACACAAAGTAAGCGGCTATAAATCCCAAAGTAAGCGGCGATCAATCGCCAGGTGCCGCCTTCTATTGAGAACCCTGGTTTACACTCCTAAATGTTTTAGAATAAAGTAGACTCTTACAGTTATAAGTCTGCAGGGTTCGCATTGTCTTAAAAAGTCCCTGAACTCACTGTAGGGGAAGTCCTTGAAAGTCTTTGAATTCCATTTTTCCTTGAAAAGTCCTTAAATTTCGGTGCAAGTCCCTGAAAAATCCTTGAATTTTCTTCAACTTTAAATGTCCCCAAATTAGTATGGGGTTGTTCCCAAGCTATATTTCTATACGGCTCTGACACACTAATAAAGCTTTCAATTCTATTCTATTCTATGTAGTGGCCTGGAAAGTGTTTTTTTGATGCTTTCCGGTTGTCCAAGACAGAATATAAATCATAGCTCAGAGAATTTAAAGGTTATTTACACAATGTGCTTAATGTTTTATGCAATAATTTAAATCAATTTAAGACAAGTGAACTGAAAAATGTAGAGAAGTTGGTGAAGCAAACAGTTCAAGCCTTAACACCTTATTAGAGTAGACTGGGAATGTGCATTTATGTACTATCTGTGAAATTATGTTTCTAGTAGGTGGTCCTTGAGAAGCTAACCCTTGAAACTCCTTGAAAAATAGTTGCAATTTTTATGTATGAACCCTAGTTTGTTCTATTCTGTGGTGGCATATCCTTACAAATCCTCGCTTGATAATCACAGTATTTTCAACAGCCTAGATGTTATGCCATTCCAGGGCTTGAAATAATTTTCTGGCTGCTGCAGGTCAAGTTGTCCTGTCAAACCTAAAGTGTCGAGTCATCCAAGGATTTGACTGGACAAGCTTAAAATATGATTTTGAACAGACATTGTCTGTTGATCTTCGGTTATTTCAAGCTGTGCCTGCTGATTCTAGTAGTCTGCAGGATACCTGCTTTCTGTTATAGTCTTAAAAACCTGGATGGTCTTTGGGGTAATTGAGCAGTTACAGTAAACTGCCTGTGTGCTCTCTCTGGGGAGGCCTCAGATTCAAATCCTGCTTGAGACACATGATGGGGTTGCCACCTACTTGCCATTTGATATTTCTTGGTGTTGTCTCCCAGACCAATGTCACAGGCGGGACGTCCAGTCAGCGGATTTGTCAGACCAGGAACACAAAGTGGAAGACCAGGAACTATGGAGCAGGCAATCAGGACTCCTCGCACTGCCCAAACAGCCAGGTATGCACATACACCCAGACAATAATTCAGTTAACTCGTCCAGTCATCATTGTGACAGTTGTCGCCATCATCATCATCGCCATTGTCATTATCATTGACATTGCTGACCACCATAATCTTCATCACCATTTAAATCATCATCATATCATTGTCATCATCATCATAACACTGTCATTGCATATCAACCTATGACTTTATCAGCCTCACTCTAATCCACATTCTCTCACCAGGAACACTACTTATTCCATATCTTTTCACTGAAACAGTCCAAGGTGACTAGATTTTCTATTGTTTCGTCCAAGTCAGTAATGATTGTGCTCTTATTACAATTCAAACATATGAATATCACATACCGGTTTTAGAATGCATGAAGAAGAATTTTAATAAATGTACAGAAAATCATTACAGTAACATCAACAAACAAACAGACGCAGCTATTGCAGTTTTGAAAGAGAAAGCCAAAAAAATGCAGGCTTGTAGGGGATTCAAGCCTTTGATATGATAGCAGTGCAGTGCTCTACCAAAAATGGAGTACAATAGCATTATACTCAACAAACAAACTGGGAAATGGTTATTTAGTTGTTGTATAAACCTGGGAGAAGATGAAGGCAAAATTAAAAGTGTGTTCATCTTGGATGTTAACTTTTGGTTCAACTGAGGGACTCACTGACGTTATCACTGTGCTTTGTCAAGTTCTCTTGAGTTCATTCTCTGCACTTTCAATATTGGTGACAGATGTGGCTTTGTCAGATTGTTCTACAGCTATGATACTACTTTATGTTTGGATGGTCTGACTGTAAAACCAGTGAGAAATTAACATCACATTTATAACTTACTAACAATAAGATTAAAGACTTTAAAAAAATCTTGATTTGTGGCAAATTATTTGATTTTAATGAAATTATTATTTTAGTGAAATGCTGTGTCCTTAACCAAGTTATTAATTTCTTTTTCTCAATAGCATCCATTTTCTTTCTCTTCAATTGTTCATGTTTAAAAGTAAAATGTACAGTACCAGACATTTCACTGTCGGAAAAAAACTGACCATGCAATGTCAATATGCATTAATTCTTGCTTTCTATTTGACCATGGCTTTATTTTTTAGACCAGTCACAAGTGCATCTGGCCGACATGTTCGTCTTGGCACTGTAAGTACACATTGTATAATCATGTTTGTTTTGTGCTACCATAATGATTGATGTCTTGAAATGACTTCCCATAGTCAAAAGCCTACCATGTAATGATTCAATTTAGCACCCTCCTTCCAATAAGTGCCCCCTCTCAAATAAGTGCCCTCCTTCAAAATTTTATGTGTTTTTGTTAATAAGCACCCCTATTCCATTAAGCACCCCCATTCTGCTAAGCACCCCTATTCTAATATTATAACATTAGAGTATGGGTACCTATCAACTAAGGTTCATCCTCCTTTAATTGCTCACAAACATACCGTAATGCCACATTACAAAATGAGGATCCTTTTGACGGGATCACCAAATCCGACTTTGAAGATACCGCACAAGAAGGCTTTTATTTACGGTATTGATGTAAGTGACACTGTCAAAACTATTGGCTTAGAGATAGATTAAAATTCCCTCATGTTACAGTCTCTGTTATTGTTCCTTTTTAAATAAATATTAAAGTTTTGTTTTGAACATTTTGTTTGTTTGTCAAAAAAGAAACAAACACTTGTCCCAAATAAGCGCCCTGTCTCGAATAAGTGCCCCCCCACCCCTTGAGTTACCAAAAGCAATTAAGCACCCTGGGTGCTAAATCGAATCATTACTGTAATCCCTTTAGTGAAACTGCAAAAATGTCTTTTTGTTTTTTAGGCATCCATGTTGTCACAGCCAGATGGACCATTTATAAATATTTCAAAACTGAACTTGTCAAAATACGCACAAAGACAAAATCTTGCAAAGGTACAATGTAACAACTCAAAATTATAACATACAACCACTATTTAAAATTATTGCTTTTGTTTATTATGTTTATTTGTTTTGGAAAGTCAACCGTTACATATTTGGAAGTAGGTTTCATCTTTGCTTTAAAGCTGTTTGATTTAGCCTGAGGTGATTGTCAACTAAATACACATAATTTCTAATATATAAATTGTTTTTAAAACTTACTTATATTTTAAAGTTCTTTTTTCTGTCTTTTCCAGGCCTTGTTTGAGTACATTTTCCACCATGAAAATGATGTTCGAAATGTAAGTGCAGCTCTTTCAAGAAAAGTGTCTCTTATTTTGTGTTCTAGTCTCAAAATTTTTTATTTAATAACAAATAAACGTTTTTGTTGGTAAAATGGTCTTACATGTCCAGATATTTCCAGTAACTGCAAGCAGATAAATTAGGAAATTCTCATGAAAGTTACCAAAAACCATCCTCAAAATAATTAGGTCACCAATACAAATGCTTCAGTTGTTAAGATGTGAAATATTTTGAAAATAGAAAATATTTATTTATTAAGCAATGCTCCTGGAATTTTGGTCATAGTACAAACTTACTTAAATACCACAAAGTTTACATGTTTGGTGAACAAAAGGAAGTTATGGTTAGAATTTGTTGTTTTTCAAGGAAACATCTTTTGTAATATCATTTGATCGAGTAAAGCGTTATAACTTTCTTTCTCAGTCTTGTCCACTTTCCTTCCAAAAAACTCATCTTTAGTTTACCTTAAGTTTGGTTTTGTAAAAATCAAAAGTACATTTTTTTTCGAATTTTTCCGAATAATTTGACTGCATTTTTTTTGTAAACTGATTATTTCTGTTAGGCATTAGAACTTGCAGCAACAGCAACTGAAGAATGTCAGTTTAAAGACTGGTGGTGGAAAGTTCAGCTGGCCAAAAGTTATTACAGGTGCATACAAATTTCGATATCACATGACCGTTTTCTATGTTCATCGGTTTGTGGGACATAAACTTTCCCTCACTCGCGTCTTTCGCTGGCTGTACTAACTCTCGATAGAAAAAGAGATTACACTGTTTTCGTAGTATGTTTTTTCCTCTTATTTGATAGTCTCCCACGCTCGTCACTCAGCTCTCGAGAGTCGGTCAAAGATAAAAAAATGCATGAACAAACGCAGGGACCCTCGTGAACCACTTCCTTATTTGGCCTAAACGGGTATGTGCCACACTGAACAGGTTGTGGTTTGTGGGGTCTTGATTCTTAAACAGGGTATACAATTCCAATATCTAGTGTCTGGAGCAGAGTGTCTCTTTGGACCGGAAGCATTTGAAAGAGTGTGAAGGTTGGTAATGAGCGGTCTACATGTATAATTTGATGTTAGGTAAAAAACAATTTGAAGTAGGTCTTAAACAGGCTAGTGAAATGAACGTGTTTTTAAAGGTTTGAAGGGTCTGAAGGTCTTAAACAGGCGAGTGAAATGAACGTGTGTTTTTTTTTTAAGGTTTGAAGGGTTCTAGGTCCTTTTCAGAGAGAGGTGTCCTTCTGGAAACAGTTTTCTTAGGGACGGACCATTAGAAAAGTTATGGGGGAAGTGGGGAATTTTTCAGCCGCAGGAATTTTTTTTCGTTATCGAATTCCTTGTATGAATTTTTTTTAGGCCCGTCCCGTATAACACTTTCGTTTTGCATTCAGACTTGGTATGTATCGCGATGCAGAGAGACAGCTCAAGTCAGCGCTTCGTGACCAAGAAGTTGTGGATATTTATTTGTATCTTTGTAAAGTGTACAGAAGACTCGATCAACCACTTACTGCCGTTGAAGTTTATAAAAAGGTCGGTCTTGTCAGTCCTTTGTCAATTCTGTCTCCTTTTTGTTTGTCTGATAAATAAATAGAGTTTTAAAAGGGAAATTTAAGCTGCGTTTGATTTGTTTCGGCTGATGTTGTTATTTTTCAAAAGTTAATCCCCTTCCTTTTGTCTCGGTATTTTCTGGCTTTATTCCCAGTTTTATGGACGTCAACTTCATGTCGATCCTTAAAACCTCGGAGGAAAAACAACAAACCGAAAGGAAAGCGAAGAACTTGGCTGATATCTAACCACCTTGACCTAACAAGCTTGGTCGATAATGCATATTTCCAGTTTTCATTTCAAAACGGTTAGGTTTAGAACTTTGCATCAGTAAAAGTAGTTAGTGGTTCAGTGATTCGTTTTTGTCGTTCAAGTAAAGATACGGTTCTTCTCATTATTGCAGGCCTTGGAGAAATTTCCTGGCGAAACTACGCTTTTAACAGGAATAGCTCGCATTCACGAGGTAAAAAAGCTGTTGGTTTTTCAAGCTCATTTCCAGCTGGGGAGGGGACAGCTGCGAGTTTCTCTCTCTCAGTTGGACAGCATTTGTTTTAAAAGTTCGTCATTTTAAAAACAGTCGATAAATTTTCCACTTTACATGACTTCCATGTTAAAATAATGATTGAAATCTTTTGAAAAAGTCTTGAGCATGAGTGAAATAAATCTTTGTTCTCTTTGTGTTGATGCTGTAGGAGTTAAATGACATGACGAATGCGGTCAAACTCTATAAAGAAGTGTTACATTATGACAACACTCACGTCGAGGCTATCGCTTGCATAGCTACGCACCACTTCTACACAGATCAGCCAGAGATTGCGCTCAGATTCTATCGGTGAGTCTACAGGTTGTTGATCCACTTCCATATTTCACTTTGGTGGATATCAAAGACCTTTGCTATTTTATCTACGAAAATCGCATATAGCTGAGCGATACAGCCTGGTAAGGTGGCTCTAACTTTTGTGTCCTTTGACGAAGTCCTATTTTGTGAACAGTCAAATAAAATCTCTTTGACAGTACTTTAAAATAGTCCTATTTGTTTTTCGACATTTTTACAAAATGAAATTTGAATTTTTTGTGCGATTTTGACCATGGCCACCTCTGGGAGTGGAAGGCGGGTTTTAATAAACTGCGCGCTAGACTTTCTAAAAGTCCGTTGTGTAAAGTTCATTGCTCGTCCCTCTAAAAAGTCCACTTGTGGCTAAGTCTAACTGCGCGCTTATACAGGTTTATATACAGTGCAGCTAAATTTTAGGGTGTTAGTGATTTTAACGTGTTTTCCAACGATTGTACAGTTGTAGCGTCAAGTGATGAGGGCGCATGATAGTATTGATTTATAAAGGTGCTTTAAATGGTCAAAACTGACGATGTCTTGACGATGCTTTGCACGTACCCCACATGACACGCGTACTTTATCTAGTTGCCCTGCACTAGGTCTACTTAACCATTTCTTGACCCCTCCCCGAAGCACCAAACAATGTTTCAATGTTTTCTGAGGAACGTAATTATTACACTGAAACAGGAGTATCGTTCCAAAAAAACTGTGCGAAAAGTACTCGACTTTAAATGGTTCCGTCAAACATGACATTCAAGCATACCGTAATCCTTTCTACTCAAATACAACTTATCAACTATTATTGCCGCTTTTTCGTCATCTTTTTTCTTCCAGTCGCCTTCTTCAGATGGGCGTGTACAACGCGGAGCTGTTCACCAATCTTGGGCTCTGTTGTTTCTTCGCTCAGCAGTATGACATGACGCTTAACTGCTTCGAAAGAGCGCTGAGTTTAGCTTCAGACGAGAACATGGCGGATGTCTGGTACAACATTGGACACGTCGCTGTGGTAAAGTAGTTTATATGTATATATATATTTTGTTTTTCCGTTAGAAATATCATTAAAGGCAGTTTAAATGGTTTTATGGTTAATATACTTGGTTAGTTCCTTCCACTGATTTAAAGAAAAAATGAGGCGGTGATCAGGAAAGTCTTGAATTTGTAACGTTTTTCACCACTACGCTTGGTGATTTACTAAAAACAAAAGGGAAAGAGCTCACAATGAAAACGTAATGTTTCTGTTGTGGTTTCTGATTTAAGATACTGAAGGTTATCTCTTTTAGTTACCATAGTGCTTATCTTAATAAACTCATCTTTATGTATACCATTGAATAGTAAACTTCTCTTGTACATAGACAGTCTATAGATCGTTTAATGATGTATATTTAATTATGTAATTTATACGGTGATTTATACAGAACGTTGTTTGAAATGTTCTTTTTAGGGTATTGGCGATATCCAGCTTGCCTACCAATGTTTCAGATTAGCGCTTGCGTCAAATAACGACCACGCAGAGGCCTACAATAACCTTGGGGTCCTGGAAATGAGAAAGGGCCATACAGAGCAGGTAGGTATATTCCGACCCTTCCCTAAGGACCTCGTTTGAAGGGTTTGTTTTCTCCCCATAAGAGGGACCCTGATTTGGAGACTGTAACACTTAACACTGCAAGCTCTTGAAACGCCACAAGATAGAAGAAATGGAAGCTAGTAGAAATACCTTACTCAGAACCCTCAGGTGGGCCAAAAGTGAAGACGCCGTCATTCGCCTCTAGGAAGCAGCTCCACGGCAAATTTCTCACAAACCACACTTCGATCGATGGTAACTACATTTGTGAGGCTGGATGGCTGCACAAGGGTTTTGGGACCCAAGTATTTCCGTTTGTTTTTCCACGCATTACATTTTTTTTGGTTGGCTGTTCTAAAGGGGGGTGGTTAGCCAGCCCATCCACCCTCGCCGGATCCGCCCCTGCATCTTCAAGTGATCATTCGGACCCTGCTGATCGCATTCATGTTGTTGCACAGCCGGTCAAAATAACCTTTAAACCGCTCGGCTTGGGACGGCGAACAAACATGACGAAGGGCCGAGTTAAGATTTCGCTTGTACTTTTATTGAAACATTTCGGTATTTTGGAGTAAATTGTAACCGCCGTAATGTTCATTTGTATTTCTTCTATTGAATGCAAAAGATCGATACAATGGCGAACAACATGAGCTACAAGAAGAGAGGGCGATCTGCCTGTGTTTACACTTTATGTCATATAAAACGAAGATTAACACAGTTACCCTTTCTTGCAAAATGTCTTTTGACTAGAGACTAATAACTTCTTCTTGTTTACGAACTGAGCCATACATTCTTTTGCATTTGGCCTTCAGAATTATGATCTTACTTAATGCTTACTTACGGACTTGCAAAACAAGGCGATCGCATAGTGATTACAGTTTCTATGGCAACCATAATCACAAAAATACGAGAAAAATAGAGGGGTGTGTACAGAATTATGGGTGCATGCTTTCAGTTTTTCTTTTACGGTTTTTTTTAAAAAAGTTTTGACCGGAATTTTCCCAGCAGATTTGCAAGTAAAAGGCGGAACGCCAAACTGTTTCAGCAAATGTGGGGTTGTGTGTTCCCTACAGCGAGACCACCGGAACCGTTGTAGAAACATACCCTTTTGCGAGTTCTTTTATCGCCAAAATGACGCGGAAAAATCAGTTTAATAACGTTTGCATCTGCGGCATCAGGCCTCATAGCCCACAGTATTCTCTATGGTAATGGAATACTTAGATCGCAAATACACAATTGTCTAATATTCAGTCGTCTATTGCCAATGCTGCGTTCTGATTGGTTGAGCTACCACTAGGCTATATGTTATAGCCCCCTAGTAGCGAAAAGCGCGGGCTTTTTGGCGGCAAAAAAGGATTAAAGTCTAGCTTTAACTAGCTAAAACTTTTTGATTCTCGTTATTTTTAACCAAATAGTTGGATTTTACTAAACAATTATTCCTCGAGCCCGAATGGGCTCTGAGTCAATAGCCCATTAGGCCTTCGGCCTCATGGGCTACTGACTCAGAGCCCATTCGGGCTCGAGGAATAATTGTTAAATATTCAGTTTTACAATTCTTTGTTGTTGCTTTGCTTTATCAGGCCCGTGCATTCCTTCAAGCTGCCGCTTCTCTTGCACCGCACATGTACGAGCCGCACTATAATCATGGGCTGCTGTCACACAAGGTACGCGTTGCTTTTGTAAAGTGAAACTAGTCAAAACACAACATCCAAAAACGTTCCTTCCTCTTAGGCCTTAGTTCTTTACGGATATCTTGAACGGGACACAGGGAAGCAAGAATGTTTTTCTTAAGATCTCAGATGAGCATGTTGCTAAAATTGGTTTCCTGTTGGGTGTCCCGTGGTACTGGGGAAAAAATCGAGAATGGCGGCCATTGTTTTTATCACGCAAATGTACTTTGTCTTGCACGCCAGCTGCGCGAGGGAGCGTCTCCTCTCACGTGCCGCTCGCACGAGACTCCAGGTAGAGAGCTTGCTCGCACACTACATACTTGCCTTCGTGAAACCTTTCACGTTGTTCGTTGTCTCATAATCATGTGATATCGCATAGGCTCGTGGTTGCTTGTGAACCATGTGATATCACACGCGTTCCCTATTGCCACAAAATCATGATATCACACACGAACTGAAATCTTGACCCCACTTGACTTAACCCATTCGGCCCTAGAGATTTTGCCAAACAACGCGTTTTGAAGCTTTCACGACAAAGCCGTTTACAGGTCATACTCTTCGTGGCCTTATGATCCAGATGCAAAATATTAGCTTGCAAAGTTCGGGCATGCGCAGAAAGCAAAATTTCGAGCTATGGGGTTTAAAAGTGACACAGCAGTCTTGACTTTTACTTTTCGCTTTCTCTCCTCCCTTATTTTTTCGCTTTCCTTGCCTCATTTTTTTTTTCTTTTTTTGGGCATTTAGTAGGCTTCATTTTGGTGGGAAACGTTTTTAGGAAAGCTTTTAGGATCTTAGGTATAGATGAAAGGAAAGGTAGGTGGGTAGTAGAACAAGATTTTCATGGCAATTTTCGGGTCAATGTTACATGGTTTTTTGCCTTTTTCTCCGGGGTCCTCGACTGAATTGTGCTCATTCTGGTATGATTTGAAAGATCTCTTCACTGCACTCGTTAGCGGACAAAGTTGTCCTCGACCGTTAAAACTGATGACGTCACAAGTGGTAGAAGGGACGTGGATCCGCACGCGCGGTTACGGGCGGCTCAGGGGCGAATGGGTTAATGAATCTGTAATCACTACTGGGGGTGCGCTCGATTGGGAAATCTGGATTTAGATTGTGAAATTCGGAATTTCGGATAACAACAAAGACGCGAACTCCCGTAAAAGCGGATTAAACGTGAAACATCTGTCCTTGACTTTCTAGTTTCTTTCCGTTTTATTGGGAAATCCGCAAACGGATTTGAAAACCTTTTCTCAAGAATACAGTGGTCTTGCACGCACACGCATAATTTGCAGAGAAACGACCACTGTTCACGAGAATAGTTTTGCAAATCCTTCTCGGATTTCCCAATAAAACGGTCAAGAAGGAAACCCATGAAATCCGGATTTGGATTTCTAAATTGAAATCCACCCTGAGTACGAATTTCTGGAAGATGAAATCTGTTTTCCTGTTTTTTCGTTCAACTGCGAAACTTGTAATCTGGGTTTCGAAATCCAAACGCACCCTGGTATGTAAACAAGCCGTTTTTAGTGTGGTCACGCAACGCCCCTGGGGAGGAGCGTTGCGTGACGACACTAAAAACGGCTGTTTAGCAGACTAACCCTGGTAATGACCTCCTTATTTTTGGTGTTTGTAGATCGGCGACCTTCAGAGCAGCCACGGATCGATAAGTAAATCTCTGGAGGGTTACCCAGATCATTCTGACAGCAAAGATGTTCTCAAACAACTCAAGGAAGACTTTGCTGCTTTGTGAAGTCACCAGAATTTGCGCTACATGTACAGTGCTATTCCTTAAAAAGCGACTCCTTCTGTTTTGTAAATAAACTCACCGAAATTCTCGTACTCTTTAGGGCTTTTCCTTTGTTTCAAATTCATTCTCATACACTACCATGTCCAAAAACAAAGAAAAGAAAATATAAACCAAGGACAAAATTCCACTGCCATTCTAACAAGGAGATTGAGACACAAGCAGCATCTGAATAGGCTTTCTGGTTAGAGATAGCTCATGCCCTCTCTATAGAGCGATTTTTGTATGACCTTGAAGTCCTTGAAAAATGGTTTCCGCAGTAAGGGTTCATTATTTGTTTTATCACGGGATAGATGAAAAGATAAAATCATGGACTCGTTGTTTTTCCGCCAAATAAATCCCTGAGACAGATATAAGCATTGTTCGATTATCTTATCTAGTCGGCAGCTTCAAGTTATGGAAAATAACTTGCGCTTCTGTCTGCCCTATAAACCAATCAAATTATTATATCCTTGTTAGTTCACCGTTGTGATTTCGTAATCATTTTAAGGTCAATCTAAAATCTTTAACTCTGTTGTAGTGGAAAATTTACTCTTTTCTTTCCCCGGACATTCTTTTTTCGCGGTTTTTCTTCGCTAGACAGCCTGTTTACATGCAATACTCTAAGGCGCAGTCTCTATCGAACTTGGTCACCTTCACTCACGTGTGTGCACAACTTGTTTCTAGAGACCTGCATTGTACAAAGTTCACGCCATATTGTACATACTTTACCTTTAAAAACAATAAATGGAAGCCGTAACAATTTTCTTAAGGTGAATTTATTTAGCAAAATACAATTCGCAGGCACCTTTATCACAAAGACCTAGGATGCACTGGGTAAAAATTTTTTTCAATACTATATACAGGAGTGTTCTTTAAATTACCACTTAAAGCCGTAGCGCTATAAAAAATGATCTCATTTACAACGATCTCTAAAATACACAATGATCATCTTAATCAACCATAGTTGGATGATGGTTTGTCCTGTCCCACCACCCTTTGCCCTCAAGTCTTTAAGTAATTTCTTTTTGCAGTAAGTAGCCTACGCTGCTGGCGGAATTGCTTACGCGCGCGCGTGCGAGAGTTTTGTCGCGAGAAAATTTCAAAGCGTCTCCTCCCCATTCGCAGCTGCTCTGCAAAAACGTTTCTCACGCTCAAGATCCCGCTGGCTACGCAGGCTAGCAGTGAATGGAACACGCAACGGAGTGTAAAACGATCTTTTAGCTTTCCAACAATTTTCTAACGATATCCATGTTAAAACTTAATATGCTAATGTGGAAAACAACTACTACAGCGAGAAACGGCGGCAAAGAGTGTCAAAACTTAAAAGCGTATGAAAGCAAAAAGATATGCCGCCAGATGACTCAACTGTGTCAACAATTAGAAAATAAAACATTTTCAGATTTTACCTCACAAGATAGATTTTGAAATAAGATGGGAATATTGAAGCACGGGCTTGTTTCTGTATTTGTCGGTCAAATCAACAACACAAAAAAAGTTATACAATGTTCAGACACCACCTTTTTCCGATACAGCCTGATTTTAGAAGAAGTGTCTGCCTTTAGAGGCCAATTTTTAAATAGCCTTAGAAATAAATACCTATATAATTATATTACGAATTCAATTAAAAGCATAGCTGCATGATAAATGAATCAGTTAACTGTTACACTTTAAATTAATTTTAATAAACTTTAAATAATGACATTTCCTTTCGAATCATTAGTGCCATTGTCGTCATCATGTTTTTAAAATTGTTGGAAATTCTACAAACCAGACCAATGATCTCAGATTTAGTTTACGGCACAAAGAAAAATACTTGCAGAGCAGTTAGAATATAAGCCCGAGGGAGGGGGGTACTCCCTATAATGGCCAATACGGGGAGGCTCCGCCAGGAAGGGGTACATCGGGCTTCACGTATTAAAGGGTGGATACTTCACAAGTTGCAGTATATGCAAGAGTAGGAAAATCTGTCATTTCGGCGGGACACGGAATTTCTGTCGCTGAGGCGCAGATGTCACTCCTGGCGAAATGCCCCTAGAGGCGAGGAGAGACGACTATTTTCGCAGGCTATACAATTTGTCAATAGAAGGTATACAAAAGGGATACCTTTTCTGTCGAAAATGGTATATAAAAGGGTAAGGGTTTGGACCTCGGGGCGGAGCTTCCTTGGATAACACTTTGTTGAGTACACCCCCCTCCCTCCCTGGAAAATGGGCAACCACGACAACGACGACAGTGGGAATGTCAGGAAAAAAATTAACAATTTTTGGAGAAAAGCGTGGCAGAATATCACTTGTAACTAAACTCAGTTGGACGACATTGCGCATGAGCAGCAGACCATTATTTGTTATTTTCAAGTCACGAGGTGGGCTCTCGGCCAATTAAAAGGAAGAAAAATTTGCATCGAATGATACCGTAAAATTCCGAAAATAAGCCCCTCCGTGTATAAGCTCCTCCAAATGTAAGCCCCCTAAAGCGGTAACGCAAAAAACCCTCCGTTAAATCGCCCCTCCAAATATAAGCACCCCGGGGGCTTGTACTTGGAAAATTGCCCTCAAATACAAAGTAAAACAAAGCAAATACGGTAAATTTCCTTCCAACTATAAGGCTAGCTCAATCAATTTTGAAACGCAAATTTCCCTCCATAGATAAGCCCCTCCAAAAATAAGCCCACAAAAATGGCCTTTGAAAAATATAAGCCCCGGGGCTTATTTTCGGAATTTTACGGTAATTGGTTTTGTGAGCAAAATAACGGCTCTCATTCCATTTGGTACATTACGTCGACGTCCACTACACGACTACGACGTGAAACTTCAGTAATTAGTCGTGGACCTGGACACAAGACAACAAATTTTCCTTTTTCTTTTGAACTTGGATACAGCGGTTGAGAACCCAACTGCAGGCAAATTCGCCTACAGTTGACAAACTGAGTGAAGCTAAATTCATGCGATAAAATTTCAAAGAACGCAAACTCAGTTTTTAGAGACGTTTTCACTGCCGTCGTCGTTGTGATTGCTTAAGCTCCCAAATGTCAACTTCAGCTACGCGAGAAGCAACAAATTCCGAAAGTGCTGCAATTTGATGAGTTACGGTAAGGGTTTACGACAAACAGGGACAGCTGCAGTGGAGGATCCCGGGGGACCAGCCCCCCGCCCTTATTTTTAGACCAAGCTGAGGCCCGAGGGACCAAAAAATTTTTTTTGAGACCGGCCCCCCCGCTTATCTCGGGGTCTGGATGACCGCCCCCCCCCCCACCCCTATCTGAAGGTGTGGATCCGCCACTGAGCTATGTTGCGTTTTATCCTAAATCATTTCTAACGAAGGGACGCAACACAGAGCAGGCTGAAAATATGTAGCTTTTCTTTCTGAATACTTTTTTTTGCCATCGACCAACTGATCGAAATTCTCAAATTTACATTTTTGTTCAGAGAAAAAAAACCATCGATCCTTCCAGAAAGAGTACATTTGTGCATTTTGACCCAATGAACAAAATTCTCTAGAAATTAAAGGCAACCATAAATGTTAATGTTAGTTTGGTAAAATTAGAAAATAACTAACCCTTATTTATCTAAGACGATTTATGATAGAGGACTCGGATCAACGTGAATCACCACAAACGACAAACTTAGAAAATTTTCCTTTTTTTTTTTCAGTTTATTGTATTTTACTTTTTTCGCATTTGTTTATCGTTTTGTGCGAGTACTGGGGTTCGCACTACACAATGCTACCACCGCAGCAAGCATCACTGCTTAAATTTTCCAGGTTTCGTAATTTTACCGTCCTTTTTCTAAGAAGAATCCATGGTCTTTCTTTTTAGTTTCGGAGCGAAAATAAAATTGAAGGGAAGAGAAAAATAAAGGGAAAACTAACTGGTACAATGCCCTTCAACTTACTCTCAGGTTTCAAATTACCACAGGCTTGTCGCTTATGGCAACCAAAGGACGAATGAAATCCAGGCGAGATTTGCTCGGCTTGTAACGGCGTAATCTACAGAAGACAAGACAAATATTCATTTAATTCCTCCTGTAGTTTGTCTTTCAACAAAACTCAAAGCCCTTACAATGATAGAAAACTATCGTCAGGGATACTAAGTCAGTAAGTGTAGTGATAGGAAAGTAGAATCGGCCCCCAACGTAGCCTGAGAAAACAGTCAACATTTCGAGACGCCTACACTGGTTTCCCCGCGAAATGACGTCTGAGAAACGAGCGCAGAAATTCCATACTGGTGTCGTTCACTTCCCAGATCTGGGTAGTGCTTCTGATTGGTTGAAGCAAATTTTCAGCAAATCAGAAGCATCATCCACATCTGGGTAGTGTCACGTCATCGGTATGGAATTGTTGCACTCCTTTCTCCGACGTCACTTCGCGGGAGAACAAGTGGTGACGTCGCGAAATGTCGGATGTTTTCTCAATCTACCCACAACGCTGTTACTGCAGTCATGGTTAACTTGCGTTGCTCAGAGTATAGGCTGACTACCCTATTCAAGGTACCAACTAGTTTTGTCATGGACACTTTGCTTGTTCTGGCCGCATGTCTAAAAACATTTTCCATCATTTTCTCTCGGCTCTGTGTGAACGCCGTCTTATCTACCTCGTAGCCAGGCGCGTTCTAGCAGATTGGTAATCGAGGGCAACTGGAGCGATTTTGGTTCGAGCAAGGGATCATGGAAAGAGCTCATTTATACTCGCCCACCCCTCGCGGTGTACTTTGCGCCAACACTTGACGTTTCTCTGATCCATTGCGCGATGCTACTTTATCACTTGCAGTCGCACTTTTTACCAAACACTTGAGTCGCCTAACAACGAGAGAGCCGTCTTATTCTGACTTGGACTTCTTGGACCAAGTCAAAGTTAACCTTTTGACGCAGCCCAGGAGTTGTTTAAATGTATTTACTTATTAAGTTAACGCACTAGATCGAACCTTTTTCACCGCCTACCTCGCTGAAATACATCCCCGTTCTGATCTGCCCGGCGGAGGTTTGGGTCTTAGAAGCGAGTCTCGATGATGAGATTCAGCCTCGACCTCATCCAGGTTACCAAACTCCTGATGATGCGCGGGTTCGTCGGGTTCAATCGCCCAGTAGTCGTCATAAACGTCCTCAGCTGCATCTTGCTGAACATCGTCTTTGTCTCCTCCTCCTCCAAAGAGCTCGTTTAGGCTCGGTATCCTGGGCTCTGCAGCCAGCAAATCCTGTACCGCACCTTTCACAGGACTCTCTTCCGCAAACTCGCTCTTAGCTGCACCTACGTTCTCTCCAGTTTCATTATGATTTTCAACTACATTTTCACGGTTTCCTTCCGAGTAGAAGTTATCGTCTTCTTTCTGTTCTCTCTGACTTGATGGTTCGCTATTTTCAGAGTCGGCTTCACTCTGATTACCAATATAAAATATACTATTTCTACGCGTGTCCTCATTTACTTTATTTTTATCAGATTCGCTCTCTTTCTCTTCCAGCGATGATATCTTACTGACTCGTTCCTCCTCACAAACTACCTCATTCTCTTGATCACCATTTGTGGAAGGGCTATTCAGTTTTGCCTCATCTAACCTTTCATTGCTCTTCGAAGGAAGGTCTTGATTGGTTTCGGCCGGATTATCATCGACAGAAAACTCGGTATAATTATTTTCATCCCTCGGGGAGTCGACGTCCTCACAAACAGAATCTTCAGACAAGGATGACACGTCTTCCCCGAGATGTGCTCCTTCAGTGTCTCCTAACACAAACTCTGCTTCACTGTGATGAATATCCGGACACGTGGTGACACCCATCGCATGGGAGCCAGCAACGTGAAGGGCGTGGTGTGAGTGGGTTGACCTGGTCCCCTCCTGCTTGTCTGAAGCAAATTCAGCAGAATCGAGCTTGTATTCATCCACGTCAGGGGGGGTTAATGGGGGTTCGTCGTCTCTGGCGACAATAGGCTCTTCATCCATCATCTGTTCTAGTACTGAGGGTACCCGGAAGAGTGCTCCAGGTCTTGCCTTCCCAGCCTCCTCAGCAGGTGGTTCATCTACCATTTGTTCTAGTACTGAAGGTACACGGAACAGACTAGGAGGTTTCGCCTGGGGAGGGGGCTCGGGCGAGTTCCCTCGCGAATTGTGGTCCAGCTTATGACTGCTCACTTCGTCGTGGGTTTTCCTCTCATCGCTGCTGTGTCTCACGGGTTCAGAATCCAGCGGAAGGTCGCGCACGAGCTTCTTAATGTCGTCATGGTGATGATGATGTTCAAACATGGCGGACAAATGATGGCTACTACCCATGGGCAGTTGCCGCTCAGTTCTACCTACATTGGCGAGTTCCTCTAGCTCCTCATCGTTCTCCGTTTCTACGACAGGAGGGGGCATGTATACAACAGGCTGGTCATCAAAGACACCCGGTGACCAAGGAGACACAAATCCCTCTTCCGGGTCCTCCTTCGCAGCTTCTGGATTGGAATCCGCTAAAGCAGGCTCCCTTATGAGCGGAATAGGGGTAGCCGGGGCACCGGCACCCGGTGAGGGAGATTCCTTAGATACGGGTATCGTAGAGGGAGTTCCTTCTTTCCTGAAGTCAGATCCACCATTACCTACTTGACGTGGGGTCATTCGCTGTGGACTTTCAAGCCCACCATCGTCTTCATTTTCCAACTCCATCCCTAGCTCCACGAAAGGTTTGTTTGTTGCTGTTTCCTGGTAATGCATTCCACGGGGGTCAGGAACAATTTCGTCTGAACGATCTTCATTGTCATTTTTTTCACTGTTTATTTGAATCTGTGGAATTGGTATGATGTCGATCGCGTTGTAGTCGGCAGGTTTGTCCAGTTTTTCATTATTTTTATTGAGATGTGCTCTCTGAACATCCTGCACAATAGCCGAGATCATCGCCGGCGTTTCCATATTTATTTCTCCGTTCATCGGCTTTTCCTGTCAAAAAAGAAAAACGCCCTTCGTTAAGGACTGATAAATTGGTCCAAAACGAAAATTTTTCTATAATTTGTCAAATTCTTCAATCCGTTGAGATAATTAGAAAGAGGAAGACGATCTACGCATGCTTGAGTGCATAGATTGAGAGCAGCCTTAAGGGCAGCCCCTTATTTGACTTTCGAGTTTTAGTAGATCGCGAACACGCGTGAGGGTCGAGCAGGGACCCGCGTGGAACGAGGGCGGAAGCTCAAGTGAAAAAAGCAAAAACAAAAAAAAAAGAAAATAACCCCTTTTCATCTCTTCTGCTTTTTACCGTCAAATTACACTATCAGCTTTTTCGCTCGCAACGCGTGGCTGTGAAGAAAGAAAATAGACCTCGCACGGTCTATTGCGTGCAGTTTGACACTGATATGTTCTGATGACTCCTCAAAAATCCTGCTAAATTTAACTTGGATCATGACGTCACCATTCAAGTTAAATTTAGATGGTTTTGTGTGCACGCATTTAAGAGCATAACAGTGTTAATATCTAACCGCCAATTTGCATTGACACGCTGATTTTAGACAAAGGGGGCATTGTCGTCTTTTTCTCTTGGAAGATATGTATCAACAAATCCTTTGATTTCAGACGTGTTAATAAATTCATAACGTCACACCTCACGCTAACACCATTAACTGCCTGAAAAACGACAAGGACTAACACAAGCTGTCTGTCTCAGAGAACTGTCCGTTAAGGGAGAGTTTACAGTACTTTCAATTGCATTATGCAGTTGATATAGGTGTTTTACAAAAAGGAATTTACTAACACCAGCTGCCTGTCTCACAGAGATGTCTGTTTAGGGAGAGTTGACAGTACTTTCAAAAGTATTATGCTGTCGTTTTTAGCGTTTTACAAAAAGAAATTTACGATTTTTGACTACAGAATTTTGACTTTGTCCCCTTTTTAGTGCAAAAAGATTGATGTCTAGCATAGATTGTAGCTGCTCTTCCATTCCATTTGGCAAGGTAAAACAAAGCTTAATAAACTAACACAATGTTCAACACCGCTGAATTCTTGCCAATCACAATGATAAGCATTAAAATAACAATTATTCACTTTTTCTTCCAACGAACTAAATAAGAAAATAATCTTCCGCTCCACATACCTGTTTGACAGCCCTCTGAAGCCCATAAACACTTTGTGGTTTCAAAAAATGACCATTCTCCTTCTCCACCGCGTCCAACACCTCCCTGATCTTCTGAATTACTCCTCTGTCTGATGTGCCCAACTTGTTCTTAGCATTCCCATTCTTGACTCCATTCTCTTTCTTATTTGCTTCATTGCCATGCTCACTGGGATCAGCCTCTAGCATGTCGACAGTGGATATTCTCTCCGATCCATGCAGGTTTGGAAGGCCAGCCTTGTTGTCTACCGGTGTGGTATAGATCTGTCCCATGGGTGGGGTACTTGTGGTCGTGGTTGCCTGTGAGGCATCGCCAGGAGTCTTTTCCCAGTCAAATGGATCACTCTCTTTAATTCCCTTTTTTGCAATGGCTTTTTCAATGATTGAAATCAACATCTACAAAGAGTGGAATAGGCCATAGTTTTGAGTTGCCCTAAGGTTCTGTTTCGAAGCGAGGCCAAGTACAAAGCCACTGATATGAAAATGAATTTTAATTCTTAAGAAAATAAAACTCATTTTCACAAGAAAGGTTTTGCACTTAGCCTCATTTTGAAAGTGAGAGTTTTGCAAACTCAGAAATGGCTTATAAACTTGATGATAATCTACTGCAACCTGACAATGAACAATGAAGAACAATATAACACAAAGGGTATTGTAAACAGGCTAACCCTTTAACTCCCAAGAGAGACCAACATCAATTTTCTCCTACCAACATCAGCAGATCATCAAGAGTAAAGGTTATGAGAATTACCAAATTGATTACCAAAAAAGAGATCGCTTTGATCTTAAACCAAATTCTCTTAACTATTCTTAAAAGAAATAGGTGGAGATCAGTCTGGAGAATTTGTATGTGGATCTTGGGACTTCAAGGGCTAAACTAAACAAAAATCAAACCCCACCTTATAATCTGGCTTATCTTCATATTTCAGCTTACTAATGTGCTCCAGGAACTGTTTGAAGCCTGTAGGCAGCGATTTCAAAAACAACTGATGGTCATAGCTCTTCTTCATCTTGCCAACTTGTTCCTTTTCCAAAACACAGAAAGTTATGGTAATCGATGAATTTCGGCAATGTCATTTTGTACTTGTTGTGGTTCAGTTTTATCCTTGGCTTAATTTATTTTCTTCTGTTTTAAATTGATCATAACACACTACCCTACCCTAAAAACAGAGGAATATAACCCAAGGATATGATCAAACCACAACACTTTCAACAACTTAAGTCGTTACAATCAAACTTGACAATAGACCCCTGGTTTGAGAAGGGTAACAAACAGAATCAACAATGTTTGAAAGAATCCTTCCCTGTTTTACTTCTGTCAGTTAGGGGAAAACACAGTCAGCTTCTTCAGGTGAAGTAGCTGACAAGTTTTATTGAAAGCACACATACCTTATCCTTGATTTTTCTCCATGGAAGATGCCCTATGGCAAACTCTGCCATCATGTAAAAGAATGACCACAGGTCATCTTGTCGTCCCATTTCCTGACAAATAAACACACCAAACTGAAACAAATTTATATGTGCTACTTTTGCAAACAAGTACAACACTTGGAGACTTCTGCAGCTATGCATATTTTTAGGGTTTAAACCTTTTGGAAGTATGAATTTACCTTTCACTAAATTCTAACAAAGATCACAGGTGTTGCATATTTTTCAGGATGGCTCGGGATGGGGTATGTCAATGAACAAAAAACAACGCATTCATTAAAAGACCTTTTTTCGTTCTTCATTGATAACAGCAGTGAATGTGACACACACCTTATTCTCGTGAGCATTTATTGAAGCATAGCGCACAGTGCCTCGGAAACCTGCTGAGTTCCTTGCCTTAAAGAAATGAAAAATTTCACTACGTCAGGAATAACAAGGGAGCTCAGGGAAGTAAAAGTAGTTGTACATGATCACTGGAAAGACACCAAAGACAAAAAACAACCTAGGCAACACTTTGATACTGGAGATTTGAACAGAACTTAAAGAGATGTTAACAGTTTACTCACTGCTCTAACTTCTCCACTACTCTTGACGTACTGTCTTGCCAAGCCAAAGTCCAACATAAAACATGAGTGGCACATATCTGGAGTTGTACCCATCGCAAAATTGGACTGCAAACAAATAAACCAAGTAAATGCAAGTTAGTTCACTATAATAAATTATTCTTCTATTGCCGTTAGCACTAGGTAATTACTTCTCCTGTTCTAGGTACAGTGGAATCCAACGTTACGGCCACCTCAGTATAAATTACAGCCACTTTTTTTCGGCCTGGCAAAACAGCCATACGTTTCTCTATAAAAAAACACCCAGTTAACGTGGGCACCCATTAATAAGGCCAATGGCCGCATTTTAAAATCCCAAACAGCAGAATCTCTTATAATTTCACCCCGGAAATACAGCCACTTGTTTGAAATATAGAAAATTAAAATGCCTGTGGCATGTCAATTTTACTGACCTGCAGTACTCTGAGCCTGTTTTTGAACTGTTTTTAGACTGCAGTACACAAAAAGTGCTCTTGTTGCGATTTTATAGGTGAAGTTTAAAAGTGTTTTATTTACTGAAGGAAAATTTTAAGTAGTTTTTTACTGTACTCGATATCTTTATTCAGTTGTTTATAGATGAGAACAGTTGTTCAAGAAATGTGAACACAATGTATGGTGTATTTTGTTATTATGGTCCTCAAGTCATAAAAATTAATTTGAGCCTGCCCGGATAATACAGCCAATTTATTTTTACCCATTGGTTACCGTATTAACGGGGTTCCACTGTAAGTTAATGTAATTCTCTTTTTAGTTGCCAAGGTGTATTATTTTTTTAAAAAAAGTCCCATCCAGCAGTCCGGTACAAGTAGATATTTGTTCCCGGCAAGTAACTTTCAAAGCTCACTTGCCCAATGGGCAGGGTCCAGGCAAGACGTGGCCCTGGGCAGGCAAACTGTGGCAGCTGCTTTCCCAAAGGACCAGCTGGAATTCTAGTTTTTTTCAAGCCCTGATTTGCACAAACAATATCCTTACTGGTTTAATGTCTCTGTGTAGGAATCCAGCTTCATGTATGGATTTTATGGACTTAAGAATCTGAAAACTAAGTCGTAGCATGGTGCTCTGGGAGAACACTCCCTTGGGCTGACTCCGTCGCAGATCAGCTAGGTTACCGCCTTGTAGAGACATCACCAAGTAGTTGAAATTCTCATTCCTGCCACAGCTTATAAACTTGCAGACATTATTACAACCTTTAAAAAACAATAACAATAATTGGATTAGACTAGCTCTTGATGCAAATCGAAATTTAAAAAAAAAAAAAATTCATAGAAAATGATGGAGTTTAAACCAGCTAAAAATGGAACCTACCCTAATTTTTTAAAAAAATAATGTACAGAAAAATAATACATATATTTTTCTATCATTATTCATTATTGACCAAGCATCAAATTGACGTCAGGTTGGCTAGATATTGGCCAAGGTCTTTAATGCATATTTACAAAAAGTCAATATAATGTATTAAACCTGACAATGTTTCTGGTTTTTCCAACTAAAATGGTGACCTAGTGAGATATAAATAAACTGCTTTCATAATAAATTATTTGCAGTCCAGCAGTGGGAATTAATGGTTCAGAAATCCACTTCACCGAACAACTTCCACTGCCTTCCTATAATGAAGAAAGAAAAGAAAATTACCTTGCAGTTTCTTGAGCACAGCAACCTCCATTTTCAGGACCTGTTTGGATTGGTTGACAGACTCCACCTTCAGGGCAACAGAATCTTTGCTTACAAGATCAAGGGCTGCATAAATCTCCCCTAAATTCAACAACAAAACAACACCACTTAAAGTCTGCCGATGAAGATTGCCATTTCTATAACATTGGTCCTTTGAGCATCAAAGGAGTTTGGAATCTTTCTCAGAAACATCCAGAATTAATATTAACACTCCATTAGTATTGTGTGTGCAGGAAAGACATCACAGAAGTTTACAATCACATGATCAAAATGTTTCTTTACTTGTTGTTTAACATTCATTATTTTTACCACCAAAAAATGTTTCACTTCATGATCAGGTTCATCCCAAATGATTTTTTTTGCTCAGTTTTAGTTTACCTGCTCATGAATTTTCGAATTTAAGAAATTGCAAACTTGAATCTGATTATTTAATGTATTAGACTACATGATTCGCTCACTATGCAAAACAAATAACTATTTAAACAATAAGCTTGAGTAAGTCCACATTTATTTTATTAATTTATTCAGACATACCATAATCGAAAACAAAAATTTATTGATAACGAAAAAAGTCTCTCTTATAGCCAGATACACCTGATCTCTCCATCAAAGAAACCAACAACACACCAAACTGTGTGAAGTCTTAAATTTACGCCTGTTAACACATCCTCCATGTTCAAATTGCAGTTAAAACATTGCTTGCTGCTCTAAGATTTTGCATATGCACTATTCCTTATTAACGTCTCTTCAGGGGCACGTGTTTTTGAAAAAAATAATTACAAAATAATCCAACAAAAACTCCAAGTTGAATTATTTCTTATTTGGTCGAGATACCAGGATTACTCTTTTTAGCAGTATGTGTTTATTGCTATACATTGGCAACTGCTTGTGGGGTCGCATGTATTACAAACAACCAACTACTGCCAGAAGTCACATGCTCCTCATGTGCTACCAAACATGTTCAAGTAAAATTGCCGCAAGTATTTTATAGTCATTGTTAGCAGGAGTCACTGTGGCTACATGAAGATAATGGCTAGTATAATCTGGAAAATTGTGGTTTTAGATATTTTGACTACACTCAGAACATCGCGGATTATAACCAACATAATAGGAACTATTAAATCTTAATTACAGTAACATACAGTAATAGAAGAACTGGAATGAACCATGTGCAATATCATTGTACTGTGGCTAAAATTGGTTATGATTTATTGACATTGGTGACTTTACTCAAATGCCTTGACTAAAGTTCATTTGTGAAGAAAAATGCAAATAATCAGCTCTAAGCAGGTGTAATAGAAAATTACTAGATACTTAAACATTATGACAAATTTTCCAATAATTATTGCAATTAGTTGTCTTAAAGGAATTACAATAGCTAATATTATTATAGAAGTACTGCATTATTTTTAGTGACAATGAATATATGAAAGGACACGTACTGTACTCATTATTCATGCTATAAATTTATATGATTTCACAACAAACACTCACCGAATCCCCCTCCACCAATCTTCTTGTCCTGTTTATGAAAAGAAAACATATATATAAGCTTACAAGGTCACGACCGCGCTCTCTATGCATATTGTAATATTGCAGCTTTAACTCAACAAAGCCAAACAGCAAAGTCCCTTGTAAACTATACGTTTTGCACTATTTGAAAATCATAAACAGAGAATTAAAAATATGAAAGAAACTTGCACCCTCGCATGAATAGTTAGGTCTTTTTTTGTTAGAAGTTGTACATTTCAGTCTAGAGAGAAATGAGAATTGTCACGTCGTCTGTACAAGTGTTGACTCGATATCATTTAAAATTACACAACCCAGTTGTTATTAGAACTGTCAAGCCATGCATTCACGACATTATTTACATTCGACAAGATGGCTAGATAAAATAAATGCATATGAGCATACGATTTCTCAGAGCGGAAATACACCTGAAGGCTATAATTTCCTTTCGCATCCTGCTTCCGCGATTAAAACTGAGTCAACGTTCTCAGAATGGACGCAAAATGATTACAAACAACACAAAATGAGCGCAGCTAATGTTAACAATAGTTTCACCACTGTGGGAGATTTGACTCGATGACTCATACAACCGGCATTTTGCTTGAATATCGCTACGTTACGAAATCTTTTCGATCGACTTCCTGCGTGTGGTTTAAGACTCGACGAGTGAACAAAACGAAATATTTTCCCCAGTAGAATATAGATTATAAATTCGCTATGGAAAGCCTGTATTTTACTTTAGTTTACATCCAAAGAAGATTCAGTTGTTTATAGCACAAATACGCGATTTCCCAAACAGGTTTTTAATTGCGAAACAAAACTGACTGAGCCACGCTGGCGAAACCAGGGGAAAATTGGACGCAAAAAAATGATCATTAAATCAGCTTAAACTACCACCATTATCTATAAAGGATCGGGTTTCGTTCTTGAACTTATAAAACAAGGAAATCAGCTTTAAAATGTCAAGGAAGCGTACTTACGATCTTCCATCGCTGCCTGACTATATCGCCCGGCGAAAGAAGATCCGCCGCCATAGAGCTACCTGCCCTTTATAACACTAAAACCCAGGAGAAACATTGGTGATTGTGTTCAGGAGAGAAATGCTCTCGCCTTCCAGTCTCTATTAGACTACTTAAAAACTCTAAACCACTATAGACAATTCATATCACTTCTTGTTGAATGTAAAAGTCGCTGAATATCAAATACGCGAATTCGGCTTTCGGCCGCGACAATACAAAGTTCGTTGCTGTTATGTAAGGCAATCAAGAAATTTTCGGTCCTGCGGTCTTCTTCATGAAAATTGAGACTTTGTTCAATGTTTTCAGCGGTTGCAAAAAAAATAAGTAAATTCCTTATGTCCGATGATGCGGACTGTCAATCGCAAATGGCAAAATGGCGCCTTTCATAATGAAAGTTTCCGCACGTGATGTTTTTGATGGCAATTATTTGACTTATCTTGTAGAGATCTAGTATCGCCGTCATCAATGAACGGTGATGACAAATTTACAAGACTTCTGTGGATCTAAGAATGCATCACAATTCGTGTTGTGGAACAACGGTGACTTTGGCGAATGTTTCAAACTTCTTTGTCTCGTTTGTCCGGCAAATTTTCTCTTGGTTTGTTCCAGTATATTCTTTGCCAGAAGAAAATGGCGGACATTCGAGTTTCTGCAGCATCACTTGTATTTACTTACGAAGCTTCAGGCCTTGATCTGCGCGTTAATTTTTCTGGAAGCACTGATCGAAGTTTCATGCTCATGGTCTTTGAGGACTTACCATCCCCCAGTCTATCTATTATCGTCCTTCTTAATTGCCTTGGCTTGGATTTCAAATGCATTTACAGTGTGGAGAAACAGACAGGTCTTTATTTTAAGACGGTGTTACCCTGCTGTTCACGTGGCATTCATACTATTGGCTTTCCTTATGAGCTCTATTCAAGTGTACTCTGTTTTCCATAAAATCCATGGAAATGATTTTGATTCTTTACTCATTCACGAGTATGGCACCTTGGTGAGAATTTGTCTTCAAGTTATGTTTTTAGTTTTGTTAATTATACCAACTGCTTCCAGCACCTGTAACAGGATTGGTTTGAATGTAGACTCATCAACAACTACATGTAGGATTCAAAGTATGAGTCACACTGAACGAGAAGCAATATTAAGATCAGGTTCAAGAGGTACATTCTACAGCAGTACACAGTGTGTTACAGATCATCTTGGTGTTGCTGAAGAAAAATCAAACTTATTTTCCAAATTAACGTTTTGGTGGGTGCGACCCATGATGCAGAAAGGTTTCAAGGGAAGACTTCAAAGTGCAGCAGATCTATTTATGCTACCTCAAAGTCTTTCAACGAAGAGGGTCAGATATTTGTTTACTGACAATTTTGAATGCATGGATAACCAGCCAAATCAGTCAAATCAAGTGCTAGATGATAGCATCTCCGATGATCATGGATATACTTCAATAATATTTTTTCCAGGAACACAAAAAAGTGTTTCTGATCCAAACTTTAGACTGCGATATGGAAGCAGGTCTGTCAGAAAAACTATAAGTACCAATAGTGCAGACTTTTCTGAAAATGAAGATTCTTCTATTACAGTTCCCAAAGTTGCTGTCCAGAGAACCCTTTTAAGAGCTCTGCACAATTCATTTGGTTTGCAGTATTACTGTGTTGGACTCCTGAAGTTAACAGGAGATTCTCTTAGCTTTGCTGGACCACTCTTGTTACATGCATTGGTTTCTTTTATGGAAAACAAGCAGGCAAGTGAATGTTTACCACACACAGGTATCCCAACTTAGGGGAAATGTTTCTTCTATCTAGGGATGCCTGTGGCTTTTGATTGCCCTCTCCAGGTTCAAGTCCTACCATCCCAATGGGGGAGGTGCGGGATTGATTTAGAGTTTAAAAGAACAAGGCATACTACAATTATTGTGCTATTTCTAGTCTTTGTTATGTAACAAGATGCAAAAAGGTTTTTTTCTGCAATCCCACACCTTAATATTGAATTATTTCCTTGGACTGGAAATTTTGCTCTACTTTTTCTTCACCCAGGCCCTGCTTGTTTAGACATTGGATAGCGTTATCCTGTGGACAAATCTCTATCCAGCAGACAGGGCTGTCAAAAAGTTTCTAAGTAGCAATCTGATAATGAATAGTAGGTAGCTTTGTAACTCGCACCAAAGGCACAAGTTCTTGAGGGAGGAGGCATATATTGTAGAGACATTTTGAAAATTAGAGTCTCGGAAATGGTGTTTCCAGAGGTTTTCAAGAGGTATTTTCCACCGCAGGTGCCATGTTGTTTCGTCAGAATACACAAGACTAGAAGCAATGCCATCAAAATGTCCGTTAGAATATGCGTTCAATGTCATTCAAAACTGGGAAACCATGGTTCACAAGAGCCTTGAAAAGTCCTTGAAAATTGAAAAATTGATGGATATTCTTGAAAAGTCGTTGAATTTTCCACAGAAGTCCTTGAATGTGTTGGAAAGCTCCTTGAATAAAAATAGCCTTCATTAAAAACAAAATGTTTTGTGCAAAGGAATGATTGAAAGCACAGCAGTGCACAATTTTTCTTGGTGATCATGAAAGTGTTTTCTTATGATTTTGGTGTTCTTGGCACAGTTCATTTTCCGTTTTTTTGAAGTACCCTGGGAACTATGCCTTAATGGAGGAAGGTATTGCAATAAGCGACCCCTCTCCACCTTAAAGGTCTTTACTTCATGTTATTGGGGAAAAGGAAGTCCTTGAAAAGTCCTTGATTTTTCCCAAAAAATTCTGTATGAACCATGGAAATGGATGCTTAACAATTTTATTCCTTGGTGCTTATTTTTTGTTAGCAGTTATGGTAGAAGGAGATGAAAGTAGCTGGCTAAAGAGGGCTGACTAGCTGGAAGTTTTGGCTGGCTACTGGCCCTTATTGACAGCCCTGGCAGATAAATATTAGAGAAACCAATTGTGCTATCCACTGGATAGAAATTTATCCAGTAAAATGTATTATGTACCTTTTGAACAACTTGCCTGGCCCCAGTTGTTCAAAGGCTGGATAACACTATCCACTGTATAAATCTCTATCCAGTGGATAAGACAATTGGGTTCCCTAATATTTATCTGCTGGATAGTGATTTATTTCAATTGGTGGATAGCACAATCCAATGTTTGAATGTACAGTGGAACCCCGATAATAAGGTCACCAATGGGCTGAAAAAAATTTGGCCATATTAACAGAGTGGCCGTTTTAATGAGGGTTTTTTTTACAAGAAAATGTGTGGCGGTTTTTGCCAGGCGGCCATAAAAAAGTAGCTGTAATAACAAGGTGACAGTATAACCGAGGTGGCCATAATAAGGCGGGATTTCACTGTATAAATGGGTTCTGGTAACATACTGCTAAGGATAACCCTGTGATTGACTAGCATCCTGTTTAGGGGGAAATAACAATGCTCCTGGGTGTTTTTTGCTACAGAAGCTGGAGGAAGCTTTGTGAAGGGTCGTGTCACGAATTCATGAATGACAATTTTGCGTTTCACAAGTCACAAAACAAATAAAGTAGTTATTGACCTTTGATCTCAGCCACATATTCAGGTGATCTCTGCACGGCTATAAACTCCCTAGGGATCGCCATCTGTAGATGGGTCTGAGTGTACTGAAGTGTGAAGTTACATCAAAAGGCTCAAAAGTGAAGTTAAATCAAACCACCAGGTGCTAGTTATGATAGTTTGGCAAAATTTCAATTGATCTTCAATGTACGTGAACGCAATCAAGGATTTTGACAGTTCACGTTTCATGGAGTGCACTTCAATCACCATTCACAGAACAGTTTTTCAGTTTGTCACGATTCATGGACACTAGTCCTTGTGGGCTCCATGGCTTGTGTGCACCTTAAGCTGTTTTATTTTTTTTGCCTCTTCTCATTAATAACTGCCTGAACTTATTTCAGTGAATGAGTGAATGAATGAATATCCTTTATTTAAACACAATCAGAATAAAAGCAGTAAATTGCTTGAGGGGTCATGTATACTAAGAAAAAAATGTATAATCATTCTTATCTAACTACTGTTTACATAAAAAATAAAAAGCTAAAAAATGTACATTAAACGTTAAAAATAAAGATTAAAATTTAAGATTTTGTAATTAATGATGTGCCCTGATAGGAAGCCTTACTACACTAAACAATGTGCATCTTGTAATTGTCTCAATATATAACTCAATATTTCAGGAACCAATGTATCATGGCTACCTCTATGCATGTGGACTGTTTCTGACCACATTTTGCTCAGCATTCATTAATTCACAGTTCAACTATTGGGTGAGAAAAATTTTTTTCAGCTTCAGTCAAGCCATTTTTAGTAATGAAATAACATTAATTCACAACATTTTATCATAATATATTTTTTCAGGTGAATAAAATTGGTTTGAAGATTAGAGCTGCTGTGATAACTACAGTTTATGACAAATCTTTGTCTGTCAGCCTGACAACCTTGTCAAAGTTTTCTTCAGGAGAAGTATAAAGTTTGCCTTAATTTGTAATACTCACCATTAATTGACACACCCATTTACTCTTGAGTTTAATCAGAGTTTAGAACCGGTGGGGAAATATCAAAACAGAACACTTGCAAAATTTAGACAAGTGCAATGTAAAATTGTTAGCTAAAGGTATATGCAGTGGGAGCGAACTACTACACACTGCCATGCTGCCTCTCAATAAAAAACTAAATACATGTGTTATAAATTTGTTAGAAAAAAATTGCATATTTATATACCTAGGAATATATTTTTTCGCCATCTTTTAATAACAGGGTTCGGACAGTCTTGAAAAGTCCTTAAATTTAAGGGGAAGTCCTTGAAAAGTCCTTGAATTCCATTTTTCCTTGAAAAGTCCTTAAATTTCTGTTCAAGTCCTTGAAAAGAGCTTGAATTTTCTTCAACTTTGAATGTAGTAGCCTGGAAAGAATTTTTTGATGCTTTTTGGTTGTCCAAGACAGAATATAAATCGTAGCTCAGTGAATGTAAAGGTCATTTACATAAAGTGCTTCATGTTTTATGCAATAATTAACTATCAGTTTAAGACAAGTGAACTGAAAAATGTAGAGAATTTGGTGAAGCAAACAGTTAAAGCCTTAAAGTCTTATTAGAATAGACTGGGAAATGCATTTTTGTACAATCTGTGAAATTATATTCCTAGTAGGTTGTCCTTGAAAATCTAATGTGGTCCTTGAAAAGTCCTTGAAAAATGGTTGCAATTTTTTGTCTGAACCCTGAATAATTCACCCTGAATTATTTTAATAGGATCAGTCCGAAGTTTCTTGGTGTCGTGGCTGAGGCAGTCACTCACTGAATGCCAAGAATAGGTGGATTCAAAGTAAATGATGGGCGCAGCTTTGATTAAACTTTTTCCAGTTAGTGCTCACAAATTTCTACGCATGGTCTTTGCAGGTTGTAAATTTTATGAGTACAGACACAGACAGGGTGGTAAACTTTGCTCCTAGTTTTCATCAGTTTTGGAGTTTACCATTTCAGATTGCAGTGTCACTGTACCTTCTCCATCAACAGGTAAATAAAATAATGCTGTTTGACTATAAAAGAACAAATTATGAATTATTGGGAGGCATTTTGTGACAGCTTGGTATAATTAACATTGTGATTTAAATTCTTTGTTTTTTGCTATTTAAAAGATCAGAAAACTTTAATGTAATGTTTTAAAATAATGAGGTACCGGTAGTTTTAACCTTAACTATATTAATATTCTGTAAATCCTCTATTTAGCCCCTGGGGGGCTTTTTTATTTCACACACATTTAAGCGGGAGTAGGGGAAGCTTAATACAGATGGGGGGAGTTATTTGAGAGGGTGGGGCTTATTTAATTTAGCCCAAAGGATGGTATCAGTTCTCCATAAAGAACTAGAATACATTTAGTGGAAAAGCTCAAGTACAAGAAGTTGGAGGTCATGCAGCCGAGGATCATAAATAAATGCGAACTTCCAGTTGGTGAATAAACATCCTGGATCAGTACACACGAAGTTTTACAATCATAATTCATTAATACAGTCTATCATTTATTAGTGAAGAATAATGAGGGGGAAGAAGAGTTATCATTAATAAAAAAATTGTAGCTTAATAGTAAATAAATTATTACTGATATTTAATATTGATTATTTTATCTTTCAGGTTGGCATATCATTCCTTGCAGGTCTTGGCTTTGCTCTTCTTCTTATTCCAGTGAACAGATGGTTGGCTGAAAAGATACAGAAACTCAGCCAAGAAATGATGACCCAGAAGGACAAAAGAGTCAAGGTATCAGCTAAAATCCATTTTGTTACTGAACGAGTAGGGCAAATAACCTTTTTAAGGTTATTTGCCTTACTTTAATTGCTTGATCAATGCAGACTATCACTCTGTATACTGTAGACAAGAGGTCACTATAAATTTTTCAATTACTGTCTATCTATAGTAATCAGTAAGCTTCTCATGTTAAGCATTTTTTCATGGAAATTTTCCTCGCAAACACCATTTGAAGCTATAACTAGAGTTGTTTTATGGTAGCTCTCTGGCTTAACCAAATGTGCATGTATCATTTCTGCGTGGGCATTCATGGGTGATTCAAGCATGAATGGTCTAAACAGAGTGTGCTTTGAGTCACAGTCCACTTGCAGAAAATTTGATCCTTATTAATTTTCCTCAACTTTTGTTGATTTTTGTTGTTGTTGTTGTTTACTTTTTTACTAATTTAGGTGATGAATGAAATTTTACATGGTATCAGAGTAATTAAGTTTTATGCCTGGGAAAAAAACTTTGAAGAAAACGTTACTGAGTTAAGGTAGGGAATGAAATATCCAAAAGTTATTAACTATTACTTAAGCATCATTTCCTCATGAGAGTTGATTTCTTTGCTAATGGGCCAATCCCCTAGGCAGACTTGTAAGCAAAAACGTGATGACACCTTCATACAAATATTGTGTACTTCCAGAAAAAAAATTAATGTTTATACCCTCACCGACAGAAGAGATTTATACCTCTCCCCTCCCCTCCTCTGTGGAAATTCCAAATTTTGCTTCATACACTGCTTTTTAAAATTCTCTTTAAGATGCATCCCCTTCCTTCTGCAATTTGCAATCCCCTCAAGGGAAATATTGGTATTTTCTATGACTTTGCCTTTAAATTTTTGGCCTTACAGAAGAAGAGACTTCTCTTATGCAGATCACTTTTTCATTCTGGTCCCAAGCAAGGGTGTTGACTTACTATAGGCTCAATTATTGTTTGAAGTTTGGTATTCAAATTATTGATGTTGAAAACACAATACAATTTATTTTCAGAGCTGCAGAGTTGAAAAGCTTAAAAGGAAGGAAGTACTTGGATGCCTGGTGCGTTTATTTTTGGGCAACAACACCTGTTATCATCTCTATACTGACATTCACAACTTATGCTTTGCTGGGAAACAAGCTGACAGCAGCTAAGGTGCAAATAGTTTTACTATTAATGTTTAAACATGTACAGTGGAACCCTGTTAATACGGACATTGACAGAGCACGCCATAGTGTCCTTAGTAAACAGGTGTCCATATTAAGTGGTTTAATTGTAGAGAAAATATATGAGTCTTTTTTTGTAGGTCCATACTGAGTGGGTATCAGTAAAAAAAAGAAAAATGCAAACTTGAAAAATAAATTTGAAAAATTATAAGTTGTTATTGTGGCATGATATGCCTAGTACTAAAGTTTCCTATCAAAGAAACACATTAAAGAGATCAACAGCGACCTTAAAGCTTGTGGAGTTGTTGCAACCTGCAGTTCTTGACACTTGTAACATTAAAACTTTCCAAATCATTCTTGTTTTCAGCGAATCTTGAACAACAGCCCATGTTCAATATATTTAAATTCGAGCATTACTCCAAGGCTTTCTGGTCATTTTTCTATATTTTTGGCAATTGGGAGACAATGGAGTCATGAAAACTTTGCTATCTTGTCTGTAGATCCTCAAAGTCATGTCAAAATATTAATTTAGTACAGTGAATGTGGGCCATTTAAACCACATTATTTTATAGTCATTATTACCCTGTTACTTTTTTAACATGAATGTCAAGCAAAGTTTATAGCCTGCTTAGCAAGCGTTTCCAATTGAGTCATTGTGCGAACATTGCAGAGAAGGGGGAAAAAAAGGGAAGAAGGGGAAGGAAAGGGGAGGAGGAGGGGAGAACAGGAAACGTTCTCCCATCTCCCTCTCCCTTCATTCCTCTTTTTTTCTCTCATCCCAACTTTCTCGACCAACTGTACAAATAACTATATTTTGTCCAAACAAGAAAATGTCTCATGTATGTCTTCGTGATTCTAAAATGCCTGCATGTCAGCAACATGATGGTCATCATTACTTCATTATCATTATAATTTTTACTACTACTCTTAATCACCGGTATGCTACGAACTATGATTCTTAAGTCTTCACTACGGGCCCGTTTACATGGAGGTGGGGGACCCCAGGTTGGTGAGGTAACCTGCTTAGGTGGGGTAACCCGCCTGTCCATATAATCTGTCATTTTAATCTGATCACGTTTACATGATGAGTGGGGTGACCCGCCACATGTTATCTCACCTACGTGGGGTCTCCCACCTCCATGTAAATGGGCCTAAATGTGATTCATTATTTGCCTTTGCAGGTCTTCACTAGTGTGGCGTTGTTTAACATGCTCATTTCTCCACTGAATGCCTTTCCTTGGGTGCTGAATGGACTGATGGAGGCCTGGGTCTCAGTTAAGAGAATTCAAGCTTTTTTGTCTTTGAATAACCAGGATTTAACAGGCTACTATGGACAGCTGGAATGCTCTGATAAGGCAGACAGTAAGTTTAGCTAATAAGGTTTCCACTCAGAAAAATATTCCCCAAAGCATTCAAGCTGCTCTTGTAGAAACGGTGCTTAAAAAAGTTACCCAGCGAAAGGTGGAATTTCAGAGTTAACATGGAACGCGTAAATCAGTGTAAAGTGCCATTAATATTTCGAGTAAATTTTGTCTTTGACAAAAGGCGACTTTTATTTACGACGAGCCGACCAAAACGGACTTTTCAGTAATACTAGCAATTTCAGTACCTAACAATATATTTGTTACAGAATAGACAAGAATATCAAAATAACCGCTTAAAGTTGTAGACGATCAGAAAAAAAGCAGAAAATGCCAGAAGGTAGCGTTGGCTCGACATTTCTTTGGTTTCCTTTTCGCTATATTTTCTTGTATGGTGTAGTTCAGTTTTTTTTTCTTTATGTAGCCGTGACTTTGTCAATAGGATACTTTTTCTTGTTCAATTTGAGCTTGAGTTCGTACATTACATGTTAATTAACTACTTAAATAAGGAAAATTATAATTCAATGAAATGATTTGAAAATGCCTTGACGAAATTGATAACAACAGAATTGTGTGTTCTATGCCTCGTTCTTGTACATTGTGGTATTTTTAAAATGTCTTTTGGTACTACACGTTTCAGTTGCCCGTGCCCCTGAAGTATTTATAAGCAATGGTCATTTCAGCTGGAGAGAACTGGAGGAGTCTACAGGTGAAGACGGTGAAGTCTTCTCTACCTCAGGAGAACTGACAAATATAGACTTCGGTGCTGAGAAAGTAAGCAATCTTCCCTAGTAGGTACTACCTAATTGAAACCAAGTCGTGCTACTGCCGTGTAGCAAGGCAAGCCTGGAATATATAGCCATTTCACTACCAATATGTGAGTATGTAAATAGTGATAGGTAATAATTTAACGTATTCCTTTCTTAGGAAACGTTATAGGATTGACCTCGTGTTTCCTTTTCATGATGTATTTTATTTTTATTTTCTTACCTTTAAACGTCATGGATAAACCAGTATTGTTTATCGCAAAAATTTAAATTTCCTGTTATAAAATCATAAGAATTGAATAGTTGCAAAAGTTCTTCCAGAGAGGTTTTATTTGAATGGTAACTCTAAAGAATTTTGTCACAGACAACTTAAGAGCCCGGCGACAGATAATCTCACCGTAGTGTGGCCCAGGAGGGAAAGGATTAAGGAAGGTGTCCAATGTTTTCGCGTTGCACCATACATGAATTTACCGGGAAATGTGGGTGGAAGCTTGCAAATAGGTTTTCTTTTTAGAATTGACATTGACATTTTCTAGAAGGGTCACCGTTTTAGTCAGCCGGACAAACCGGGAAAATTGTTGGACATTATGTTGACCTTTTACAAATCTGCATGGTCAAATATGGAGAAACGTTGTCTTAAGTAGTAGGGTCACCCACCTACCCGCGCTACACTGGGTGACTGAGCCGACTTTTCATACATTTCCTTGCAAAACTTGGCGAACCGTCTACATGAAATACAAATAGTTCATTATATCTTCCTCTGACAATATAGCCCTTGGATCCCTCTGTTGAGGCGATGACAACTGCTGCTAGGTTTTCAATACTGGCACCTTATACCAGAGGCGTATAGCAACACTATTGCAATCGCACATCATTATTATAGACTTTTGTCCCCGGGGGGACTCCCATATTAAAGTGACCGGATGCTCATCGTCTGGCTTTGCGGTGTAAATTGTAGATTTTGGTCTCACTTAGGGTGTTTGGGATGGAAATTCACTGTATTTGCCCATTCACTGACCCCACATATATCTCCCTTAGGGGCAGGAGCCGGTTTGATTTGAATTTTTTGACAAGCATTCCCGTCACTTTTATATGGAAATTCCGCCGGGGCTTTTGGCAAGGACCACGGAGGCGTCTAGTACAGTAACCGGAAGTAATTTTTTTCCCGCCACGCTTCAATGTCTCAAGGTTTTCAAACCATGACGGCGACAGTGGTCAAAATGTCGCTTTTTAAATAAAAAACCGAATTCCCATTCTTTCAAACTGGTTCGCGATTATTACAAGTCGCTTTACAAGGCGAACTTAGGGCCCGTTTACATGCAGGTAGGTGAGGTAACCCGCTTGTCCATATAATCTCTAATTTTTTATGTGATCACGTTTACATGATAGGTTGGGTGACCCGCCGAGGCGGGTAGCCCTGTCTGCCAAACCGGGTAACCCTCAGGTTCTCCTCTCTGGGGTCCCCCACCTTCCTGTAAACAGGCCCTTATAGAGGAAAAACCTTCGTCTTCGTTTGTTTAGCCGTTTGTTTACTACCTCAATAAGGTGTGAAATTAGGCATTTTCACGTTGTGGTCGTGCAGTGATGGCAAAGAAATGTCGGTAAAACAATAAGGTACGCGTGCAAAGTTGTTGACTTGTTAATTTTAACTTAGAAACTGGCTATGCTACTCCTCCTGAATAGCACGTTGAGTATTGCACTTTTTATGCTTAGAACGTTAGTGTGTATTTGCCTTTTTGGGTCATCCACTCACTAATAATCGGGCACGCAAAGGTACCCCTCACATGTATAAACGGGTAACGGGCCCATAAAGATACCCAGTCACAGTAAAAACAGGCTCACAAGGTTACCCAGTCATTTTATAATGGGGCTCACGAAGATCCCACTACCTTTCATTTACCTCACAAATATATTCGTTGCCTTTTTTGTATATTAAACACACAAAGGCGTTTACTCCCACCAAATACTAAACTCACTATCGATACATCATTTTGGACAAATGAAGGCGGGTTTGCCAATGTACTAAACCCCCCGGCCAAAAAAATCCCAAACGATTCTTGAACAAGGTGGCAAGGCATGCAAGTTAAAAATAAAGCAAAAGTGAAAACATAAAGCAAATGTACACTGGAACTGCCTCCCTGAAGCCATGATTGTATCATCACGTTTAATAGAGTCTTTTAAATGTTATTTATCAGCTTTTCTCAGGTAATAGTTACATAGTTATCTTTCCTTAATTTAAGATCATTATTTTATATTATTTTACGGTTGGTGTGATGTCTTAGCGATTTTTACCGACCTAATATATGTAGATGTACACCTTATCACAAAGGCGGTAATAAATTCCCACGAGTTTGGCCTAAGTGTTGTTTTCGAGTGGCGCTTAATTTTTACGAGCGGACGTGCGTTAAATTGACGTTCGCAAATAACATAGAGGTAATGCATGAAAGGTCGCTCGTAAGAGTAAAAGTTGAACCACGCTTAACTTCTCGTTTAAGCTCAGCATTCTTTATCTTGCCTCTACTATATTTACGTGATTAAAATTTACGTGCGTTAACGTCCGTAGCCAAAAACGCGTCAGTGGAAATCAACCTTAACCAACACAGGCGAAACTCCGACCCGACCCGCCGAAACGAAGAAATAGATAACAACTCACCATGTAGTAGGCAATACATGTGTCCCTCGAGGAAAAACAGAACCTTCCACAACTTGCGGAAAAAATGTACAGAGCAAAAGGATTCCGTCACCTCTCCTTGGCGTAGAAGTGGAGTTCGAAGGTCTAGCACGTGGCTGAATAGCATTGTGTGTTCCAAGACAGTCACACTCGCCGACGCACCTGTCTGAGCTTCATTTCCAACATCTTGTACTGTTTGCGGTTGCAAAGGAAGCACGGCCTGGTGAAACGCGGCCGACGAAACGGTAACAGGCCGTGCGGAGCAGAGCCTTCCTGACCCGCGTTCAGTGACACTCTTTACGAACTGACAACGTTGCATATATCATTCAGATTTACGTAATGCCTAATACGTCATCGTATAAAGGGATAATGAATATTACATGACTGTGAATATCATCACATTATCTTCATTTTATGACTGTCAATAGTTGGCTTGACCAGAAGGGCGACCCGCTATTGTGATGATAGGGTCACCCCTCCTAGCCAGGCCAACTTTTCTCCCTAATAAACACTTGGGCTGGCATTGCCGGGTCAACTCGGTCAGCAGAGCCTGCGCTAGCGTTGTTGGCTTGGTTATAGGGCAAAGGGGTCAATTTTGCTCAAGTTGACTCGGCTGGGAGGGCGATCCGTCTACCGGAGACAAGTTTTTTTCCATATGTAGCTATTTCGAGAAAGGTTGTCGGATAAAGTGCACGCGACAACCCCCAAAGGTATTGTGGGTGGTTTTGAGTTCACTTTTTTTCAAAGAAATTTGATAGAATGGCAGGAGAGGCCATGGACGGTATGTCTGTGAGTGCTAAAGGAAAGCAACAAAAGTAGGTTCGACAGATACAGTGTCAGGAACAGTGTATTGAACATATCCTATATTACCTTTCGGGATTGTCGCGTACACATTTTTTCCGACAACCTTCCTCGAAATAGCTGTAAACGAGGCCTAAAAGATGTCAGTGGCGAGAAGAGCATATATGTATAGCGATACTTCTTGTTTGTAAATGTTGTAGGTAATTTTTTCATTTCAGTTAATTTTTATTTTTGCAGTGTTTTTGGGTATGATAATGTATGCTAATGAATTTAAAACGAAGGAAAAACGAAAATTAACTTAAATAAAAAATTAACTGCAACATAAACATTGTTTTTGTCATTCAAATGTGCCAACCACTGAAAAAAGAACCCACTGTTTCAAGAGCCAATAAGCCCGTGGCTGGCACATTAATAGTGAACTTACGTAACAGAACGTGAGAGGAAAGACGACGGCAAACCTCGTGTGCAAGTGTGACGATAATTGTGTTTGAAAAAAACCTTCCACCAAACTTAACATTCCTTTAAACAGATCTTTTTTTAGAAGAGCAAAAAGAGCAGTGTTAAGTGAATTCCTGACAAACACGCAAGTAATAGTCCTGTCACGTTTGTCACACTCAAGCGTTTTGCCGTCGTCTCCTTTCTGCCGTCCTGTTGTGTAAACTCACTATTACCGTAACGCAAAATATCGCTATATACAGCAACAAACGGAGGGCCCGCCCTTTAGAACGTGACAAGTTGAAGAGTTTCTTCCTTCTCTTGCAGGGACAGCTTATAGGTGTAATCGGAAAAGTTGGTTCTGGAAAGAGCTCGTTATTAGCCGCCATTACAGCGGAGATGGAAAAACGGCTGGGAGAGGTACGTCTTAGCCTCCGTTTTAGCCAGCTATATGACTTTGAGATTGTTCCTGGTTCTATTATTTAGGATGTTTGTATGATGTATACCGTTCTGCTGTGCTTAATGTAGGTTTTTGTCAAGAAATTGGAACGCGGATTTGGCTTAGTTACCCAGGTGAGGGCCTTTTCGACTTGTGGCTGTTCTGTCTCATCATTTTGTTGTTGTTGAGGAATAGACAGTGTTTTATTAGCTTCATAACTTGCTTCCACTGAGTTGTTTTCAAATTATTTATGTGAGTGCTTTACCAAATTTTTGTCCAATGTGATCAGTGCCAAGGGCAACAAGATTTTTTTTTTACAAGACTTAACGAAAAGCAGCTTTATATAAGTCAACCCTCATCTCCCATGCGTTGCACTGGACCCAAGATTTCCCGCGCTTTAGTTATACCGTTAAATGTTTTTCGCCCGTACTTTAAGCTGGTTAGGCGTTTTCCCGCGCTTTACGTCAGTTACGTGTTTTCGCACGTTTTTACATCTTTGCTCCTGCAGTACGTTTACCCGAGCAAGGCACCTTGCCAAAAGCACACTTTTTCCACAGTCACGGCGTTGTGATTAGCCACATTTCGTGACTATCCTTGAAGTCTTCATTTTGTGGAGAACTTTTGCAAGTGGAGAACTAACTCATCTTCTCTGGATACTTCAGGAATCATGGATTCAACATGGGACGGTGAAGGAGAACATTTTGTTCGGCATGCCTTTTGATGTGGAGAAATACAGTGCAGTGATTGACGCTTGCGCTCTGGTGGAGGTATGAAAAAAAGTGTGCTGTTGGTTACGCTGTACCGAACCGCATCAGTGAAGGCTTAGGGGCTTATTGGATTATTGACTGCGGTGCAGCGAAAGATATTTACCGAGAAACTAACGAGAGTACTTAAAAGCTGAGGTTGTCAATTTCACTGTTTCAATTATCAATTAACTGTAAATTAAATAAACGTTTTGAATATGTACTAGAAAAAGTTCCGAAGGTTTGAAAACTGAAACTGCAGAATTGTCGTCCCCATTTGCTAACAAAATTTTACTTCTTGGCCGCGAAGGGTTTTCAACGAAAAGAAGCTTATTATTAATTATTTTTTTAACCTGGTTAATCAAACTTTATACTTCGACATCTTTGCCCATGCTTGACCTCAGTAAGGTCTGAGAGAACTTAGCATCGTTCCTGTCAATTTGTGTGTTAGGCTACCTGATCACCGTAGACAACGTTCAACCGTTCACTTAACCACCACGTAACATCGACGCATCAACATATGCCAGTTGTTGTGTAGGTTTTATAGGAAAGTATACTGTCACCTTAACAGTCAGTTGCTGGGGTTGGTCGGGGCTTTAGTTTTGTAGTGCTGGTGTGTCGTTAGAGATTCCGGCTTATTGAGTGAATTAAGAATCAACCTTATTTGTAGTATATACCGGAGTAATCCCTTTTATAAATTGAGTTTCTGAGAGCTGTCAAATTGTAATGTGTATCAGAATAAAAATTAGCACTTTTTACTGTCGCAGTTTATATGAGCACTGTTTCTTAACTCGAAGTTCGGTTGTGGGGTTTATGATCGCTGCAGCCAGGTTCCTCCTCACAATCGTAGACTCTGGAACAGCACTGAGAGACACTGTTATTTTCCTTTTTTAAGGACCTCCAAATTCTTCCATCTGGTGATGAAACTGAAATTGGCGAAAATGGCGTTACGCTGAGTGGTGGTCAAAAAGCGCGAGTGTCTCTCGCCAGGGCTGTCTACCAGGTTTGAATCATTTTAAGTGCTGTAAACACACTTTTTATAGTGCGTGTTTTTGTTGTTGTTGTTGTTGTTGTTGTTTGATTCTTGTTGTTTTTCAGAGTGCCAAAAGGAATTCTGTGGTTATATTTGGTTTTGTCATATCACTTTTTTGTGACTCGCTTAATAAAAAAATCACTGCATTTTCTTAATCCATCACAACTGAAGCCAGAACAAATCATTACTTGCTCACACACATGGCATCCGCTGATGTATTTGCTGAAAGATCTGTTAACTTGAAAATTATTGCGCCATCTCCTCGACCAACCAGGATCAAAGCCAAGAGTAATCGTGACTTGCTCATGCGCTTTTTCCCCGCCCATGGCATCCTTTAAGTGTCTTTGAGAGCAAAGTAATTGCTATCAAGAATTCTAAGAAACTGTAAGCTCAAGATTAACGTTAGAAGACTTGCAAAGTGTTTGCGTCGTTTGCTTCTAATTTTGTTCTGCGGTAGCCAGTTTAAGCTCTTTATTGTCGGGCAGAAACCAATTATATTTTGGAACTTTTGCTCGATCCCTTTTTCCCACGCTTGTTAGACTGTTGCGTATTTGATTCTAGGTCTCGATTGTTCGTTATTTTTATTTCTTTGTATTTCGCTCGGTTCAGCTTGCATTGTTGTTACTTGTGTTGAGAATATTCTTGGTGTTTTTATACTCAGGATAAAGAGATTTATCTTCTTGATGACCCTCTGGCGGCTGTAGATGCCCATGTAGCTGCGCACCTCTTTCAACACTGCATCATGGGGCTTCTGAAGAATAAAACCAGAATACTTTGCACCCACCATACTCACTTCCTGTCAGCTGCGGATCTGTTGGTTGTCATGGACAACGGTTCGATAGTCCACAGTGGTCCTCCGGAGGACATTCTCCGAGCGGAACAGATCATGAAAACTATCGCAGAGGTCCCAGAGGAAGCTGCAAGTGAAGGTGGAAGTAAAAAGGAAAGTATAGAGGACAAAGAAGATGAAGAAAACGTGGACGAAGGCTTGGTAAAAGAAGAAGAGAAGGAAGTAGGCGTGGTTAAACTGCACGTGTACAAGTCGTACTGGCTTGCGATTGGTCATTGCTTGGCAACGAGTATTTTACTGTCACTGCTTCTTATGCAGGGTAAGGAAATTCCGCCGGTTCATCTTATCTCTCGCAAAACAAGTAGAAACCTGTAATCATCAACGGTTCCGTGACTAACAAGCGAAGACAGATAGTTTCATTGACAGCAAGGTGACATGTCTTTTGTCGGCTCACACGTTTTACATTTTTCCCCCCTTAACAGAAATTGCCCACTTTTCCATGCTTGTCACCGGTGACAGGTTTTTCCTCGGCTGTGCTGCAGGTTGCATGTTTTCTCATAATTTGGAACAAAGGCAAAGACGTTTCTGAACGACACACGGCTTCAAGTAACTTTTTGCATTCTTAGGCAGTGGTTTGACCCAAATTTTTGGACAGATCGTCTCTTTAAGAGTGAAGACACCTATCAATCTGCGAAAGGTTTGAACCCAGGAGTCATTTCAAAAGTAGGTTGAGTTTGATCGTCCTGGTGAACGTAGTCCTTAATAGGACTGTTGTTGTTGACGGTGACTGACGTTTCGACAACCTGTGCGGTAGTCGTCTTCAGAGTCAAAGTGAGCTGTATCACGTCGGTTGATGGTATTATATACTCTGGTTATTGACCTATCAATAGCAAAAGAAATTTGGTAGGGTTTCTAGTTGACGTGTGTCGCGAAAAACGTCTTTGCTTAAGTTTTCTATTATGTATTGAATACATCATTTACCATACCGATAAACCTATCCTTCTATTTGTCACCTTTTAGAACTGTATTTCCTCTGCTTTTGTTTTGTGTCTTCATTTTTTAGATATATCAAATTCCTTCAAAGGAACGCCATTATTTTTTTTCCTTTAGCTTCACGCAATGTGAGTGACTGGTGGCTGGCGTATTGGATTTCTCACTCCCGCGTTACTAACAGTACAGCGGATCACGTGAACTCAACAACAAAGTATAACTTGAATCACGTAATTTTAAGCGCACTGAATCCTGTTCAGTCGGGATTACGTGTCCATATTGTCAAGAACACTGTGACATTTTATCTTCTTGTCTATGGTGGACTTGCTCTTGCTAACACGGTTAGTTAAATTTTAAGCATTCAAAACATTACTGGTTCTCCTTTCCTCGTTTCAACTGTTTTGCCCATCTTGTTATCGCAAGGTTATTTCTCTTCTTGCGATTCGTCCTTAGAATAAAGTTCCTTCCTATATTTACGTTCGTACGCTAGTCGAGGATGAAGCTATATTTGCAGCATATCGTGATCATTGAGACTGATCTCATAATTTTACCTCAGTTATCAAAAGAATGGCTCAAGTCTTCCACCCTTTGAAAAAAGAGAGAAGTAAATAAAGCCTCTGAAAATGAACATATAATACAATCGGTCGCAAAATTAGTTGAGACACTTTGCCCTGAGGGACATATTTCATATTCAGTTTTTTCGACACAGTCTACTTCAATATGGGAAATGAAGCTATCCCTCCTAATCCCCTCGAAGAATTCTACCTCAAAAAAGGAAATTGTACCTTTCTCTCCCCCACCCTCTTAAAAAGATCACATTAAAAGGTTTGGTTGCGTACGGCTGTTTCGCAAAGTGGACATCTATACGCGCATGCTAAACTCTCTGTCACAAGTCTTGCTAACTCTTAGTGTTAATTTTATTCGATGTTTTTTCGTTTTTTGTTATTTACTTTGTTATTATTTTCTGTAGATTTTCACTCTGTTTCGAGCGTTTCTGTTCGCTTATGGAGGAATATGTGCTGCTAAAGTCCTTCACAAAAGATTGCTGAAGAGCATTCTGTCAGCTCCTGTGTCATTCTTTGACGTAACTCCGGTATGTCGCCATTACGTCATTACTTGTCCACTTGCAACTGCTAAGAATGCGCTGATCATAATTGCTGTCAAGACTCAACAACCTTTGAAAAACGCTTTTGTCTTGGTAATAGTCCAAATCTTTGTAATCAGGATTCCGATATATCAACGCTAACTGCTAGGACACACAGTGCAATGTATAAGCGGTAACGTGCAACATTTGCTGTGCTTACAAAGTAGATTCGTAAGTTAGTATTGGCCAAGGATTCAGTCCTCTGATTCTCAAAAGGTGCAGATCACCCGGACTGGACCTTCTAAAAATCAGGCCAAGGATTCAGTAAATATTTCCCAGCAATCCATGCCTACCCGGCTATACTAATCATGCTATTGCCAAAAGTAATCTATATCTCTGATTCAGAATTTAATTTTAAATAAGCTGCTTTTGACTGTTTTGATATTGCGACCGTCAACAAAACCGTTTTTTTTTACTTATTTTTTAGATTGGACGAATTGTGAATCGGTTTTCATCCGACATTGTAAGTAACAGTAATGTACTTCTTGTGTATTTGTTTGTAATCAGTATGTACGTCGTTTCTCTAATCAACACTTTTGTAAATCCCATTATTTTCAGTACTCGATAGATGATAGCCTCCCGTTCATTCTGAATATATTTCTAGCCCAGGCCTTTGGCGTGGCTGGTACAGTGGTGATCACGTGTTATGGTTTACCGTGGTTTCTTCTCGTCCTAGGCCCTCTCGTTCTTATGTACTACTACATCCAAAACTACTATCGGAGAACGTCGAGGTAAATGAAATTGATTATTACATAAATAAAATACCGACTATATATCAAAACTGTTGTTAGTGTGTACTCTACGTCCCTCAGTCGACAAAAAGAATAGCTACCATTCTTCTTGGTCATAATCAGACTAACGGTTAACGGATGCCTTCAGGGATATCTCATATGCTTGGGATGTAGCGAGTCCCGACTAAACTGCAGATTAAAGCTCTTTGAACTAGCTATCATAAAAAAATCTTGGAGTGTTGATTTTTTTAGATTTAAATGTCACTAAGTAATTTTTCCTGTTTGTTTTTGGTTGGCTACGCCCACTAAAAGAAATTCTCTTGGCTCTATACCACACACAACTATCCCTCCCTCTGAAATACCACTATCCTTTCTGCATTTTGAACTTTCATTCTGTTGCTTGGTTTTTGGGTTAAAGAGATTTGACTGCATTTAGTCTTAAGACCTTTTCGTTGAAACTTTTCATTTTCACCTCCGGACTTTAATTAAACTGCTTACCACTGTGAACAACCTTGTTTTCTTTATGCAGAGAATTAAAGCGTCTGATGAGTGTCACCTTGTCGCCGATTTACGCGCACTTTTCAGAGACTTTGACAGGCCTTGCTACCATCCGAGCGTTCAGAGATGAAGCAAGATTCAAACAGGAAAATGAACACAGGCTGGAAATCAACCAACGAGCGAACTTTTGTGGTAAGAAAATTCGACTTCGGAAAGTTCTCGCAGCGACCAAAACAATTTCACGCTCAGAGTCCTCAGCTTTTCAGCTGGTCAGTAGTTGAGAGAGAATTTTGGGACACACCCAAAAAACCGAGAATGTCACTGCAAAAGTTGTTTGAAATCGTTACATTGTAATTAAATCACTGAATCATTCTTCTCATCAGCTCTTGTGGCGTCACAGTGGTTAGGCTTATTCTTACAGTTTATTGGTGTTGCTATGGTAACTGCAGTTGCGTTTATTGCGGTGCTTGAGCATCACTTCAGTACCGTTGATCCAGGTGAGTGTTTTTCTTTGTGTACACGTATAGGTAGACTTCCTCGCACATCGTGAAGCCATAGCTTTTATGAGATTCCAGCAGAATCCTACAATGTCCTACAATGAGAACGTGGCGTTCTTCAGGCATGTCGTCAGTCCTTCAATAAAGGATAACGCCTCTTAAAACTTCAAATGCGAGGGCTAAATTCAGTTTTCTTAATTTTTCATTCCCATCCAGTTATTGTTTTCCCATACAGTGTGCCGCCTTGCGCTTTATTTTCAGTCAGAACTATTGTCGTTCTGTGCTATTTTCCGGAAGCGGCGCGGCTGAGAGGCCAGAGTGCTGAACCTGGGGGTACAGAGCTCAATTCTCGCAACTGGATTTGTCCTCGGTAGTCCTTAGTTAAAATCGTCGCCCACGCCTGAAAGATAGCCAACTGGTTCGCCTCCTACCGGATGGGAATCTTAACCATGTTATGTTCCACTTGTATTGCTTGTTTCATAAAAGCTCCATAAGGGTAAAGATAATTAAGTATTTATACCCTCACATCCTTCCTTTCCTGACTTTCTTGTTACTTTGAGTCCCGGCGCTCTCCCTAGAGCCCTGATTTCTTTTTTGAGCTCCTTACCATCCCTTAAACTGCGCAACTATATTGTTTATTTATGTTCTCCATCAGCTGTGAAGGGTCCTTTGAATCTTGGCCACTCTTTTTAGAATGAGTGATTTTTGAGGGCTAGGCACACAGCCCGGTGGTGTACGCCACCCCCGGCCTCCCTCTTTCTTCCTTAAATTTCACGTTCTCACGACTCCGTTAAATTTAACATGCCATGGTGGTAACATCCAAGTGGTATTTATTATTATATTGTTCCGTATGCCTTCCTCTAAAGGTCTGGTGGGTTTGGCAATTTCGTACGCGCTGTCAGTCACGGATCGCCTCTCAGGCATGGTGACTTCATTTACCGAAACTGAGAAGCAGATGGTGAGCGTGGAGCGAGCGGTCCAGTACATTGAAGATGTTCAGCCTGAAATCAGTCCTCCTGGCACGGTCAGTATAAATAATAAGTGGCTCGTTTTTACTTCCAGCAACCTCTTCCTCCCTTGACCCTGGCTTAGACAGGAGATGACAAGAGTTAAAACGCTCTTAATCGTCTTGCGGTCAGGTCGATTCTCCTAGATTCGCGCATAATTGCTTTAGATATCTCATTTTCTTTGGTACAACAATTCGGGGAGGCTCTTGAACCTGACGCGAACAGAGCAATGTCTTGTGATTCTTGTGCGCCTCCAAAGCATTTAATGAACTCTTATATTTATATGACTTGAGACGAATTTTGTACTCTTGGTTACTCTCAATCTACAGACATTTGCGACGTATTGTACATGATTGACTTAACTCCAAGATAGACCCATGAGTACTGAAACTAACGGCGCGCATTACTTGTACAGACTTCGCCCGCTGAAGTATTTTAAAATTAAATTTTACTTTCAGGTCATTTCCACTTGGCCATCTCATGGTCAGCTTACCTTCCAGAAAGTCAGCCTTGTTTATCGGTAAGGGCACTCGAAATCGTCGTATAATTAACTCTTTAAAATTACCATGACTAATCTTGTAACTAATACATAAATGATGAAACGAAACCGCCGTAACTGCTAAACATTTTAACACAGTGGGTTATTTCCCCTAAATAGGTTTTGCTAAGCACGAACGAAGAGCCCGCTTGAGACATCCTCACGCGGAGAACGTGAAGCTGAGGCCAAGCCCACGAAAAAGTGCGAGACACTCGATCCCAGCATCGTAATACATGTACACGAATCAGTTACTTGCTACGTACGCTAAAATAAATAGGGAAAACCCCGAGATGCGCGCACTAGTTGTATGAAGCACGCAACATTTCGTTTGAGCCAAAGTGCACTTGGCATTTAGTTTTCAGCGTTTCTAAATGTTTATGGCAAATTCACTGTACTGTCTATCGTTACCGACTTGGGTATCAGAGATTATGTCTTAACTATCTCAGTGTCATATTTACTCATCGAAATTTGTGTTACCCATTCCTCTGGAATGCGCCCTCGCGGAAAAAGATTGCCTATTTAACTATGTGAAATTGTCTTTCTTTTGCTTTCTTTGTCCCGACAGAGTTGGTTTGCCTCGTGCTTTGCGCGGAGTTTCATTTTCAACATGTGCAGGAGAAAAGGTAACCGGCAACTATGTAGTAGACTAATAAAGACAGCAATTATTTATTTTATGGGCACGTTAGAGGGCGACTAACAAATTCAATATCAGAATGAAGGACTCATATCAATGGAGGTTTTTTCCTTTTTGTAGCTTGGCATTGTTGGCCGAACGGGATCTGGCAAGTCTAGTCTCTTCCAAGTACTGTTTCGCATGGTCAACAGATTCGAAGGAGCTGTACTTCTAGACGGTATCAGTTTGGCTTCTGTACCGCTGAACATTCTGAGGTTAGTATTTCTGTGCCTGCCTAGTTTGATGTGCTGCCTCTTTCTTCACTGTAACTGCCTCCGACTGTAATGCAAGGTTAAATATCGTCTTCTTAGTTTTTGCGTCGACAAGGCGTTCCCCTTTATCCGGTATGAAACTTAATCCTGTACGCTGGAATCGTTTGGTACCCGACACCAACGAACCCTGTATGTATATTTGGTTTCAATTCTGGTGTCCTTGCACAGAAAAGATTTCAGCACTTTTATGATGGCCTTATAGTAGTTGGCCGTTTTCTTGGATGGCGATGAAGATAAATTTACGGTAATTCCTCTTCCGGCTTCACCGCGAATTTCTCTTGGCAAACGAAACCACGCAACAGCTGCGCACGCTACGGTCCTGGTAGTGTTGCTCCGCAGAATCCCGTTTATTTTATTGTACCAGGTCGATGACGATGACGTTTTTCATTATCTAAATGTTTTTCAGTTAATTTCTCCGATCTTGACAGGTGTAAGTAAGTTCTGTGTCGTCTGTTTTTTCGTAGATCGCGGTTGGCTATTATTCCACAGGATGCTTTTTTGTTTAGCGGTGGAGTGCGAAATAATCTTGACCCGTGGATGAAGGTAAACTTTCATTGGAAAAAGAAACACTATAACACCATAGCATAAGATATGGATTTGTGCATGCAAAATTTGCCTGGGAACTTCCTGTCAAAAGAATCGTGAATATTGAAACGTTCTAATAGATTTGGAATCAAAGATTAACGCATGAAGGTTTCCTTGTATTTGCGCTCTCAGTCTGTCCACCCGCGCAGAAATCACCGAGAGTTTGGGAACTGTTGAAGCGCTTTAAAAGAAGTAGGGAGAGAAAAGGAAATGAACTGTAATACTATGACACTCAAGTAGGTTTGTGTTCAGTCTGTTCTTTTGCTTTGCTTTTCACAGCATTCTGACTCGCAGTTATGGACAGTTTTAGATCGTTGTCACCTGGAACACGCTGTAAGACAACTCGGTATGTTTACAACATAGGGTTTTTGTTTTGTAATCACGCAGTCTTCTGTGTAGGAGCCTGGCAGATTAGGTAATTTGTGAGGGAATCATTTATTAGCTAATAATGACAAAAGAGAGTGTTAAATGTTTTGCGAGAACTGTTTCTTTATATTTTTTTTGAGACTACAATTTCTTTATATGTTTTTAGACAATTGTTTCGTAAGCTGCTCGTTAATCGTCCATCATTTCAAGAAAAAAGAGCGTTTGAAACCTTATATGTACAAGAATTAGAGCGTGGTCTTTCGAATCGGCTCTAAAGCGTTATACGAAAACTGAGTGATCAGCTGAATTTCAGTTCTTCACTGCTCTATATCTCTCCAGGGGGCCTGGACGCTGATGTCGGCGAACGTGGCCGTAATTTTTCAGTTGGTCAGCGGCAGCTCATCTGTTTAGCCAGAGCTCTTTTGACGCGATCGAAGGTAATTAATTACTTTGGGGAAAAAATGCTGAGAAAACTTGAAAACTCAATTTATGACAACCCCATTCTTAATTACAGGTTACCAACATAGCCTGCTTTTTTGCCAGGCGTTCGAAAGGGAGTGGGGAAGGGAAAGTTTGCGCTCAAAAACACCCAATTTTGCTCCCTCCACCCTCTGTTTCGGAGGCTTGCCTCGCGGGGCCAATACCAAGATGTCCAGGTCAGTACCCATATTTCAAATGAAACAGACATACTGTAAGTATAGGAGCCAATCAAACCTTCTCTATATTATTTTTTATATTTCTTGGAAAAGCCTTTGGAATTTTAAATTTTGTTAGTGAGTTCAAAATATGGAATACAATGTCCTATTGCGTTCTACTTTTTTAGCAGCAGTGGAAAAGCAAGAATGATTGTCTCTCAGTAGAGCTGGCAGTATTTAGTTACAACCTTGGACGAAAGTCTAAGACAGTTCCATTTACTCTCTAATTAATTTCGCGCCTTTCCGCGCGAGCAGAAAACGCGGAGGGAGAGGAGGTCTACTTCACCCTTCTCAAACTCATTAATAATTCATAAAGAAAATTCAAAGGAAATTAATGTTTAATGAGTGTTTGGATATCGGATGAAAAACTGCTCATTTTTGCATCCTTAATTTCTCCTTCAAAAATGATTTTGTTTGAGAAGAAATATCAAACATTCGACACAGTGTTTCATCACCAGATGAAACACCTCGAAGTTCGTCAAAAATACTCCGCTACGCGTCGTATTTTCAACTCTCTTCTCGGTGTTTCATCTGGTGATGAAACACTGCGTCTCATGTTTGATATATTACTTAAAAACCGGCGCCGGCTACGCAGGCTACGACCGCTTAGGAAACTCTCTTATTGTTCTCAGGTGCTGTGTATTGATGAAGCAACAGCAAGCGTTGACCTGGAAACAGACACACTGATACAGCAGACGATCAAAAGTGAATTTAAGGAGAGCACTGTTTTAACCATTGCTCACAGGTTAGATACCTTGATACTAGCGACAAATGATGTAATATTGATTATCGAGACGGCTAACTTAAGTTTGACACGGAGTTGAAACCCATCAGTTGAATTGGCGGCTTTGTTCTAGAGTACACTAAAAAATTGACTTTAGAGAAAACACACGATCCATATTAAGCCAAATCTTTGGCTTTCTTTCTTTTTCTGAATTAATAGAGATAATTAGAGCCTGTTTTGCGGTTGACGGCAAACGTCAGTTGACAATTTTTACATAGGATGTGAGCTGATAAAAACAGTCTTTGCAAAATAACCCTTATGGGTGAACCTGAAACGAAAGTAGTCTACTAATTTTTCTGTAGATGTAATCAACAGAAGACGAAAGGGAAAAGTTGGTCACGTGATAAAAACTTACGTTTTCCGCTTTTCTAAGTGATTCTAAGTCTACAAATTCTGACCATCTGCATTGAGTAGGCGGCACGCGTGCACATCATATCGAAAACCAGGCGATGCGTTTGAGTCCCTTTTTCTCGCGATTGCAGGTGATAGTCAGTTCTTGGTCAAGGTCTCTGGTTGCTAGACGTTGAAAGTAAGGACGTACCATCAATTTGGCCTTCTCGAATACTGGCTACGTCCCAAGCTTTTCATGTCTACTAAGATCACACCTAAAGCCTTGGACAGCTAACCCGTTAATAATAATTATAATATTAGAAAGTGGCTTATGAAGACTAATACAATTCAGAAGAGTTCCTTTGTTACTTCTGATCAACGCTTCTCTCAGTTACTTAGCTTGTTATCGAGTGGGTAATATTAGGGAGCTCAGGCAAAGAGACGTTTTTGAGGTGCCGTTGACGCAAAACCACCGGAAGTAGACCTTTTTGCATTGTTGGGTAGTAGTTTTGCCCAGATTTTTGGG